TGATAGTGTGATCTTTAATATACTGTTCAGGCTGACACTCATCAAGTATCACAGGTCTATTGTACAGACTTAGAATAAAATACAGTAGTCTTAACTTGATAGTCATTACACGATAGTCTTCACTTGATAGTCTAATATGATTGTTGATTACTACATAATACATAAGCTGTGAGGGTTAGGATTATTATGGAAGATATGACAGTCATGGTTATTAAGAAAGCTTATATTATGCCTAGCAAGTTAAGACTATTGAGTTAAGACAATCATATCCTTAGTCTAGTAAGCACTGTCAAAGCTTGTGACCTTCTGGTAACCGTGTGGCAAAATCATATTTTGCTGATGTATATATCTTGTGATTGTAACTTTCTTGCACTAGTGCACAGTGATTGCCTTGAATTTCGAGTTTTTTTGTATTTAGAGATACATACCACTGACAGATACTGTTTCAGGGACTGGAACAGTACATTGGAAGCCAATCTATCATATTATACATAGGTGTGATCATAGCAAACCTGATGCAGTCCCTGATGATGTGTTTTTATGTTTCTCCTGATGTTTTAGAATTTTTCCCACACAAGGCTGACAACAAAAACATTGAACCTGCGAAGCTCAGACACACCCAATAAATTGTATTTTGCTCATATCTCCCTCAAATCATGTCTGTTTGAGGCAAAATATGATCCCCAACATCCCTTCAATAGTATATGCAATATATAAGGATACTAGGACAACAGGATTTATTCCTGTTGTGCTATGTGCTTACCCTTGGTGCAAGGCCTGACATCAAAAATCACCCGATATGTAATATTTTGCTCATATCTCACTCAAGTCTTATCCGTGTGAGACGATCTGAATTGTGACAGGCCCCTGAGATCAAGTTCTATCTGCTTGTGAATGCCTGAATGCATTGAGGCTAGACATTGCAAACATGGAAAGCATTGACCTTACAATGCTGAAATACACACAGTATATGGGATTTTGCTCATATCTCACTCAACTCTTATCCATTTGGGATGGGCTAAATTCTGCCAGACCTGTGAGATCTAGGGCTATCTGCATGTCAATGCCTGAAGGCATCGAGGCTTGATATCAATAACATCAAAAGCATCAAACTTCTGATGGTGAAATTCACTTGGTATATAGTATTTTGCTCATATCTCACTCAAATCACATCCGTTTAAGATGATCTAAATTCTGATGGGCCCCTGAGAGCGAGGGCGATTTGGGTGTTAATACCCGAAAGCCTCGGGGCACTCGGCACTTGGAACTCGGCACTCGGAACTCGGCACTTGGCACTTGGAACTCGGAACTCAAAACTCAGCACTCAGCACTCGGTAGTCAGTATATACATAGTATGGTGCAAATATCTCACTCAAATTATATCCGTTGAGACAACGTGAATTCTGCCACACCCCTGAGATTGAGGGCTATCTACATGTTCATGCCTGAAAGCATCAAGACCCGACATCAATAACATCGAAAGCATCGAACTTCTGATGCCAAAATTCACCCGGTATATAGTATTTTGTTCATATCTCACTCAAATCTCATCCGTTTGAGATGATCTACATTCTGACAGGTCCCTGAGAGCGAGGGCTATCTGGGTGTTAATACCCGAAAGCATCGGGGCACTCGGAACTCGCAACTCGGAACTCGGCACTCGGCACTTGGCACTCAGCACACAGCAGAAAGCTTGATTGCAACACTGAAGGCACTGAGGTGGATGCCCGAAAGCATCAAGACCCGACATCAATAACATCGAAAGCATCGAACTTCTGAAGCTAAAATTCACCCGGTATATAGTATTTTGTTCATATCTCACTCAAATCTCATCCGTTTGAGATGATCTACATTCTGACAGGTCCCTGAGAGCGAGGGCTATCTGGGTGTTAATACCCGAAAGCATCGGGGCACTCGGCACTCGGAACTCGGCACTCGGAACTCGGCACTTGGAACTCGGCACTTGGCACTCGGAACTATCTAAATTCTGACAGGCCCCTGAGAGCGAGGGCTATCTGGGTGTTAATGCCCGAAAGCATCGGGGCACTCAGCACTCGGCACTCGGCACTCGGAACTTGGTTCTCGGCACTTGGCACTTGGTACTCAGCACTCGGTAGTCAGTGTGTGGTATTTTGCATATATCTCACTCAAATTATATCTGTTTCAGACAATCTAAATTTGCCACACCCCTGAGATTGAGGGCTATCTACATGTTACTGCCCGAAACCATCGAGACCCAACATCAAAAACATCGAAAGCATCAAACTTCCAATGCTGAAATTCACCCGATATGTAGTATTTTGCTCATATCTCACTCAAATCACATTTGTTTGAGATGATCTAAATTCTGACAGGCCCCTGAGAGCGAGGGCTATCTGGGTGTTAATACCCGAAAGCATTGGGCACTGGCACTCGGAACTCGGAACTCGGAACTCGGAACTCGGAACTCGGAACTCGGAACTCGGAACTCGGAACTCGGAACTCGGAACTCGGAACTCGGAACTCGGAACTCGGAACTCGGAACTCGGAACTCGGAACTCGGAACTTGGAACTTGGAACTCAGAACTCAGCACTCGGCACTCAGCACTTGGGACTCGGCACTCAGCACTTGGGACACATTAAATCACATCTGTTTGAGATGATCTAAATTCTGATGGGCCCCTGAGAGCATGGGCTATCTGGGTGTTAATGCCTGAAAGCATCGGGGCACTCTGCACTTGGCACTCGGCACTTGGTACTCAGCACTCAGTAGTCAATATATTGTATTTTGCATATATCTCACTCAAATTATATCCATTTCAGACAATCTGAATTCTCCCACACCCCTGAGATCGAGGGCTATCTTCATGTCAATGCCCGAAAGCATTGAACTTCTGATGCCAAAATTCACCCGGTATATAGTATTTTGCTCATATCTCACTCAAATCACATCCGTTTGAGATGATCTAAATTCTGATGGGCCCCTGAGAGCGAGGGCTATCTGGGTGTTAATACCCGAAAGCATCGGGGCACTTGGCACTCAGAACTCGGAACTCGGAACTTGGAACTCGACACTTAGTACTCAGCACTTGGTAGTCAGTATATTTTATTTTGCACCTTTCCCGAGTACATACCCTTAATTTCAGAATGAAGTCCAGATGAAATCCAATGAAGTCCGAAGGACTTCCGGAGACTGGCTACTCTGATGGAGTGCTGGAGGACTTCTGGATGAGCACAGGAACCTTCTGGAGGAGTATAGAAACTTCTAGAGAAGTACAGGAAACTCTGGAGGAGTTTCACCTGCTGCATAGGGTCTGAAGATAAGACTTCTGAAGGTAAGCTTCCTAGATGGAAGCACATGGAGGAGAGACTGCAAGGGACAGAGTCCAAAGCAGGATCAGATAGGAGGAGTGGTCCAGAGGACAGGATGTCTGAAGGTTGCGCCATCTGAATGTTCAGATGTCCAAAGGTTAAGATGTCCAAAGGTCATGATGTCTGAAGGTCATGATGTCCAAAGGTTACAATGTCCGAAGGTTTTGATATCCGAAGGGTAAGATGTCCGGAGATCCAAAGGTCCGGAGATCCAAAGGTCCGGAGATCCAAAGGTCTGGAGGTCAGCAGGAGTGGACAGGATTATAGGACAGGAGAATAAAGGCTACCATGGACAAGGTCTGGAGTAGAAGCAAACAGAGGTAGGCTACACTTAGGTGGAGTCGGAGATAACAGGAAGTAGACATAAGTCTTGGAAAGACAGGAAGTGCCAGAAAGGCAAAGGTCCAGCTTAAGGAATCAATCCTTAAGCTTGGATAGAGATGGAAGGACAAATCCAAAGGTTTGGAAGTCCAGCCTAAGGAATCCTTCAGGTTGGACTCGGATCTCAGTACACTTCACTTGATTTTTGATATCCGGGACTCCATAGTCGGAACTTGAGTCTTGAATCTCGGGTGTCGGGTGTCGGGTGTAGGGTGTTGGGTCTTGATGGTTGGGACTCAATATTTGGGACTCGTTGGTCGGGACTTGATACTCGATTGTTGGGATTCAATGGTCGGGCATTGGGTTTCAGGACTCAAATCTCGGGCTTTGGGACTCGGGTTTCAAGACTCGGTAGTCGGGACTCAATGGTCGATTGTCGGGATTTGATAGTCAGGGCTCGGATATTGGTACACTTCACTTGATTTTTGGTAGTTGGAACTTGGCATTTGGCATTTGGTAGGCTTGGATGATGTTGGCTTTCAATGATCTATTATCATATATTGCTCAATGAAATACCAGACGATCGGAAGTGTGCTGGACATCACATATTCATTTGTCGAGACCCGGGTCTCGGAACTCAGTACACTTCGCTCGAGTTTCCACTTCACCCCTTTGCAAGGCTCCATGCCATACTACATCATTAGATGACTTTGAATTATTACCTCCATGATATACAACTAGCTGAGCTCCATCATGTCTACAATTATCATTCTCCTGGGCCCACCCATTTATATTATATACCCCTACGTCGGCCTACCCGTCTATGCAATATATGTCTACCATTGGCCCACCCGTATATAATAAATCTTTCACCGCTCCCTCGGCCCACTCGTCTACAAAATAATACCAATATGTCGGCCCACCCGTCTACAAAATAATATTAATTCGTCGGCCCACCCGTCTAATATGATATATATCTGGGCCCACCTGTCTATGTGATAACAAGCACCCTTGATATACCCGGCTATTTGATACATATCTACCTTGGTACACCCATCTACATAATATCCAACTACCTCGGCCGATCCGTCTATTGAAAATTCATGTCCATCGGCCCACCCATCTACTTTACATATTCCCCACCTGGGCCAACCCGTCTCCATCGGGAATAATAACACTCCCGGCCCATCCGTCACAGTCGAGGATATATCTACCTTCGGCCCATGGTCCGCTGGCCCGTATCATACGGGATATTATGCACGTCCGTTCACTCGTATAATACGGAGATATGTTACTGCAATATGTGGCGAGGGAGCGTTCATCAGGTGTAAGCAGTCAAGCTTTCCTGAAGGTAGGTAACCAATCAGGACTGTCGCTCTTGCTGACGTTTGCCGCCGTTTTTCTTTAGCAATGTTTCCTATAGAGAGGTACACAGGATATGCCATTTTGTCACCTCGGAATTGCGACAGACTCGTTTTGTCTGTTGCAAGAATAATTGGCGCGATGGTCGCTCCTTCCGGCACCTTTTTCTGGACAACACAGGTCAGTGCTTGTCATTTTCGATGTTTTTTTTGATATGGTGCTTACTTGCATGTCACACCACCAATCTGCAGTCCACATGTCGTCTATCACCCGGTGGAGTCCTGCAGAGTCCGTGTATGCGCGAGCAGGTGTGTACACCATTTGATCCTTGAACAAAGGATTTCCGATCAAGTCCTTGATGCACTCTACAGGATTGCGCATCCACAGTTCAACATCTTCATGCAACGGTTCGCCTTTTTCGTCTGTTCTATTTCCCTGAACGCTAATCTTCTTACAGCTCCAGGCGGCTCCATGCGGGAGTTCATCAACCTTCTTGAGGAATGATCGGTTGTTGTGGAATGAAGCTTGCATTCGGTTTTGGGTCTATCATGCTGGTCAGTACATTTTTTCGGTGCTTGATGCCAAACTTACAATCGGTAACTTTAGAAATTCATCGGTTTGAGTCTGCCCAAGGCTTTTTACAAGCCACTCAGCGAGACCCCACTCTTCCCTGGCAGCTAAAGTCAGGCAGAGGCCATCAACATGAAAGGGTACGTACTCGTCACAAAATGGAGCCCACTCGTCCTCACCCATGCCTTCCTTGTACTTCCGGTATCGTTCAAATTCAGTTTCCCCTTCCCGCAGTGCCCATCCACCATCAGAACATTGCTTGAAATAGCGCCCACCACCTCCCACTACCTCACCTTCATCCACTACCTCACCTTCGTCAGCGACATCCTCGACCGTCACACGCCGACTTTTTGGTGCCGGCGGATTAAGTTCATCAGCCTCAAAAGAGTTGGACCGTGAGCGGCGAAGTGGGGAAAATGAGTTGCCAGCATCGTCGTTCTCCATAGAAGGTGCGTTGTCTTCCAAGTCTTTTTCTTCAATCATTAACTCCCATGCCATTCTGCATTTAGGCCAGTTAGCTATGTGTCTCTTGATGCCCCCCCTCATAGGGAACTCCTTGCCACAAAATGTACAGCAGTGCGACATAGTATGTGAGTTGGTGAGTGTTTCGCCCTGGTCTTAGGTGACTTGTCTCATTGTAGTATGCCCTTTTTTTTTTTCAATGGCCTGGTCTAGACTTAAACTGGGCGCAGTTACCGGGCGCCGCGCCACAACTAGATCTGAGCACCACACCACACCACACCACACAACCCTTAATGAGTTGGAAAGTACGGCAAGTCTTGGCTGGTTTTGTTGATTGGGAGGGGTGTGCTTATCCTGATCTTGCAACCAGACGTGCCCTCACAAAGTGCAAGAGGGACTTATCCCGGTTCTGCCACCAGACGCACCCTCACAAACCTACAGATTACGGCCTCGTTTAGACTCGATCGGTATGCCAAAGTTACGGCCTCGTTTAGACTCAATCCATGCGCCAAGTCGCAACCAGGTACGGGGTTTTTTTTTTTGAGGATGATCCATGAGGTGTGCTTACCCTGGTCATTCCGTCTACAGTAAGATAGGCAAAGATCCTGCCTGCCATTCTGCTTACCCTGCCATTCCGTCTACAGTAAGATAGGCAAAGATCCTGCCATTCCGTCTACAGTAAGATAGGTACGTGCTCTTATTCTGACCGGTTTGAATGATACTTACATCTTGCCTAGTTCCCAACACAATTCCATCTACAGTAAGATAGGCAAAGATCCTGCCCGCCATTCCGTCTACAGTAAGATAGGCAAAGATCCTGCCATTCCATCTACAGTAAGATAGGCAGAGATCCTGGTCATTCCATCTACAGTAAGATAGGTACGTGCTCTTATTCTGATCGGTTTGAATGATACTTACATCTTGCCTAGTTCCCAACACACAACCTCCATTACAATCTTCCTCGTCTAGCGAGAGAACAAGATCGAGAGAGCCAATGACCAATTCTAGTATATTAATTCTCGTCTCTGATACTAGCTAATTTGATGTGCTACGTTAGTTTGGAAATACCATGGGCGGCCAGAAGTACCTCTAAAAGCTGCGCCCGTTTGGCTTCCTCACACCGTTTCACCTCCGCATCCCAGCGCTCAACGACGAGCCTTTGTATGCTCGCTTGTAAGATACTAATAGCTGGGCCTGGTGCTATTTCTAACAGTTGCAGTTTTTTTGCTTGCTCGCAGGCCTTCACTTCTGCCTCCCAACGCTCCAGAATTAGGTTTCGTATGTAATTCTGGGAAGCTGTGACAGGGCCAGGTGTTTGACGAAACGGAGGGCGCAGGAACATGGGCTTTGCATCAGGCCTTTCGAGCTTGGGTCTGCAAGCCGGTGAGTCTTTGAGTGTAACGTGGAACGGCAACTAACCTTTTGACGTCAATCTTCGTGTCTTCACAGCCAGCCTCTTTGCGACCAGCAATTTGTGACATCGGGCTGCAAGATTCGTCAGAGCACAGTGAGTTTTGAAGCAAGCTCCATACCGTTTTTTTGACGAGTCGGGGGTATTCATAACAGTGAAAATAAATTGTGACGGTATGATCATACCTTTTTATCGTCCCTCTCGTTTGACACAGCTTTCAGCCCTTCATTCTTCAAATCAACAATCAATGAACTATTAAGGTTCAATTGTGAGTTATTTGTCTGTTTCGCAGTGGTATAAATTGTGCTGACCTGCTGTGTACTTTGACTAGACAACCATGGCACCTCGTAAGCCTACCTCCAAGCCAAAGCGCGCCCCCTCACCACCTGCCGCGAAACAAAAGCGCGCCCCCTCACCACCTGCCGCAAAACAGCAGGTGCGCACTGCAAGTGGTCGAGAGCGGCGACCAACTGAAAAAGAGAACTACCGTCGTAAGTACCAGCACATTATGTTCCGCTCACTCACCATCTCGTTCTACAGTCAGTGAATCCCAACATGTTGTCCATCGCCAAGAAATCAAGGAAACCCGGACGGCAAAACAGAAGAAGAAGGCCTTAAAGGCTGCCTACCAAGGGCATCCTGACGTCTTCGAGAAAGAGCCGTCAGAGCTCCTTAGCGACATGGACAGGCAAGAAGACACAATGGTACGAGCTTTTGTTTCTTTCCTCATCTTAAATCAGCCGCTGACATTTATTTTTTTCAGTTCTCTGACCACAGTGTCAATACAAGGTTGTCCAACACTAATAGCCTGACATTCAGTACAGGGAAAATCCCTCCAAGGTTGCGCAACTCATCCATACCTACAACCAAAGGACCAAAAGGTATGTTTTTACTTTATATAATTACACTACTAACCCTCCATCAAACAGCACCACATAATGTTGACGAGTCAACAGACAACAATGACGATGACGCTGCCGACGATGCTGACAATGACAACGACGAACAGTTGCCTGCAGCTCGAGGGACCAAGCGATCATTCGATGACATGTCGTATGAAGATACCATGGTGCCAAAGGTCAAGAAAAACGCTGATGGTTCGCGTCGACGCGTGAAAGCCAGCGACTTTGATGAAATCTCGAAAGAGATTCTCATAACTGCTTGCTCCATTTATCGGTGTCTCATCGTCACACAGGCACCTTTTCCGGATTCCGTTGCAGCTGAGACAAAACTGGCGAAAGAGGCCTGGCGCGAGGCATGTCAACTCAAAGGTGTTGACGTCAAACTGACCCCTTCGGCGGTGAACATGGTGAGCACAGTATTTTTAGTGCATTCCTGGTCTTATTCGTTCAAACTTCAAAGCTGTTGAAACGCACTTCACACATGCGAGGCGAACTCAAGACGAAGATGCATCCGCTCACGGCTTCATTTCACGGCTTCCGCTCAAGTAATTCTATGGAGGTGATAAGGTCAAACCAAGATCTCGCAGAGAGATTGAAAATTGGCTCGATCTTTGTTTTCAAGGTGAGTATTCGACGGTCTACATAACTTAGTGCTGACATTGAGCAAAAGGACCCGTCATCGAAGTCAGGCATCTACAAGACCAAGTTGCTTCAACAGGGTATCAACAGCATGTGGTTCTTGAACCGAAGTGACGAGGGTGTCATCTACCACAAATACTTCGACCCCATCCCTATCAAAACTATTGCGCTCGTGCTTACGGCTGTGAGCTGTTTTTCAAACCCCTACTTTCAACTTGATGACGCTGACAATATCTTATAGATAGAATGTTGTGTTGATGAGTGGTCACAAGGCATCAAAGAGGACATCAAGTTCACATCTGCTGGTTATGGGACCGTCTACAACCACCATTTCAGCTCACTGCAACGCTTTGATGAGCGCACTGCGCCTTACAAACTCCTCTCAAAAATTCGTATCAATCTGCATGATACAGCGCGGTATGTTGGACTTTTATCTCACTGACTCTTCTAATGCTCGCGCTTCTCAGCTTCCACGCAGGTGTCGCATCACTCATTCCATTGTCGGCTACATCCCAGGCCCACATCGACGACGCAGCGTTTGAAGACACTATTCGAGAGTACCAGCGTGAGGGGAAGGATGCGGCAGTCGAGGATGAGGTCGAGGAGTATGAGTATCCTAGTAGCGAGGGTGGGGATAATGAATAGGGACGCAGTGAGTAAGACATTTGTATTATGCTAGTTTTTGTTTCAGGTGCTTGAATTTAATTGTTACTACGAGGTGCTTTGGTGTGCTATATAGCTGCTGGTAGTAATTTATAGCTGTGTTTAATAGCACTCCGACAAACTACAGTAGTACCTCGTAGCTACTGGTAGTTACTACGGGACTCTATGGTGACTACATAGAGGGCACTTGACAACGGGGCTACTCGCGCTACCCTCACTATATAGTACTATGTAGTCACTTTGTTTTTTCCTGATGGATGGCTGACATTTTCGAAGCTGTACAGTGAGTTTTCGCTGGTATGCATGGTGCCGTTTTGACGCGGATACTGATGCTACTCGAAGGACCTTGAAACGGAAGGGCAATGATCATCTTGCCAGTGAGCATCGAGATGCACTGGCGCTACTCGACCTGGATGGCATGGCCGACGATTAGGTCCTGTAGTGCTGATCTATACCCGTATATGTTGCAGATTCGTTGATCACTCCTAAATTTCGCATACCCCGATCTTCAGCAGTTTGTTTGATTACTCTTATACGCATCTTTTAATCCAATATTAGTCTTGTTCTTGTAACACTGTCCGGCGCGTGTGATCTGCGAACCAAAGTTTGATATATCCTTTCTGCAATTCACAACGATTGTGTCTAGTATCAGCTAAATCTTGATAATTATGCATCACAGACAAGGGGGTAAGAAAGTCCTTCTAAACTACATAATCTTCCTAATTCTCCTAAGGCCGTTAATTAGATCTAATTCTCGGACATTATTGAATATTATCGTGAATTACTGGTTTTTCCCCCAGGAGGTTTTTCCTGATGTTGTCCTCCTTTCACTGTGCAGTTAATCATAATAGTTTTCTCTTACTATTCAACATCTCAATCACCACTCATACATCATGTAAGTGTACACCGTGCCCGACGGTCACGGTGTGTCTGATCCTGTCTGATCCGAGTCAGATCTGATTGGTGACACATCGGAGGTTTGGACATTTCACCTCCTGCACAATTTCAATCAAAAGCAGACCTAGACCTGGCTAGAGCATTCTAGACCTAGCCTGGAACGCTCTGGAGCGCTCTAGATTGCATTTCGAATGTGATTTCACTAGTGGTAAGATGTGGTAAAATGTCGAAACCCCCGCTGTGTGACAATCTATTTTACTCTGAATAGGCTTCTGACGCTCGCCCCCCAGTCTGAAGTTGCCCAGCCAGGACATAATAATGGGCAAGCTCACCGTGTTCGGGTTTTCTTCGCGAGCAATGGACAGAGCTCCCGGTCTCCACTGCAGACGTCAGCGACCAGTCGCTGGTCGTGGTCGGTACTAATGTCGGGCTTGGAAACGAAGCTGCTGTGCATTTAGCTCAGCTGAAACCTAAGAACCTGTTGATCACCAGCAGAAACGAGGTCAAGTGCGAACTATCAAAAACAGGTATGCATGAACCCTCTGGAGGTTATCAGGGGGATTTATGACTTGTATAGACGTGGAGACTCGGTCTGGCATGACTGGTATCGAATCCTGGCCTCTTGAGCTAAGCTCATTCGATTCAGTGCGTTCTTTCGTGGACAATTTTGAAGCGAAGGGATACACAGTCAATGTTCTTATCGCCAACGGTGGCCTATCGACGATGAAGTACGCGAAAACATCGGATGGTTACGAAACTACGTGAGCGCTTTGTTATTATCGCCAGTATTTTGCCTCGAGAATTTCCATAGATTTCAAGTGAATTATCTGTCGACCGCTCTGTTAAGCATATTGATGCTGCCTCACCTCATCAAGACGGGGACTCCTGAACATGCCTCTAGACTAGTTATTGTGTCTAGCGTGGTTCACTATATGGCCGACAGACTAAAAGGAGCAGACAAATGGTCTAGTATCATCGAAATAATCAATGATGAGGCATATTGTACCTCTAGGCAAGTTTCATCGCGTCTTTTCCTGCAGCAATAATAACACACAGCAGCATAATGAAGAATCGCTACCACTTATCCAAGCGTGAGTTGATAGAGTGCATGCATTATTATGCTCATCCACACCGTTATGCGCAGTCCTCGAAGTGATGTTCATCCGTGAGCTGTCTTCTCGACTTCCCACTCCAACCCTGGTCGCTGTTTCGGCGGTCAATCCCGGTTTTTGTCACTCTCGTCTTACGCGAGAAGTCGATTCGAATCCTTTCCTCAAGTTTTCCATGAGCATTTTGAAAAGGCTACTGGCACGCACGACTGAGATGGGCAGTCGGACACTTGTCCATGCGGCAATCGAGCCAGGTGAGAGGGAACGGCATGGTCACTACCTGTCGAGCTGCAAAGTCACCGAAGAGAGCGATTATACTCTCAGCGCGGAAGGAAGGGAGGTTTCGAATCGTTTGTGGGTACGTATCTGCTCATTTTTGACTACCATGGTGCAGGCTGATATCGACTGAACAGCATGAGACCCTCAAAATCCTTGGAGACATCGATCCAAGAGTTAATACAATTGTGTCCGAACACCTCACCCAGGACATTGCATAAATTGACTGTTATTCATAGACCGCCACTCTATATCGTGCTGTGATCTGATCTGTAGACGTCAGTGGAATAGATTTTAACCTATCGAACGTTTACAGCAAGCGCTTGAAACATCTTGTTCATGTTTGGCAGATCGTCGTCGTCGTCGCTATTGTCGTCAAAGATGGTGAAAAAGCTTCTACCTTTCGGCATGAACTTTGAGGACGATAGCGTGAAAGAACTTCGAACTCTGATAACAATATAGCGATAATATTAATGGCCTCGGAGGGACCCCCTCTTCTTCCTGCCTCTCCTCCCTTTGCAAATACACCGCTGCTGTAATACGACTGCTATCCCTTCATATGGTAAGCTAGTCTCTTGGAACATGATATTAATCAGGTCAAGACTTTCACTGACCTGCGTTCGAAGGTCATGATCAGCTCAATCTCGACAATTCACCACTTCTCTCAATATCATCGAATGTCATTTGATTTAGTGTAGTCCAAGTTCCAGCGGATAACAATGCAGAGTCAGTAGAATAGAGCTACATATGTGTGAAATGAAGTTTACTCCTCGACATCGGGAAGTAGATTCGGAAATGCTACAGTCAAGAATATATGGAAAGAGAGGAAGAGCACGGCATTAATGCACAGTGATGGATATTAACAGTATCTGTGGTACGTAGCGTACGAAATATAGAATAAAGCGTCTGCGTCATCTCCGTCTGAGTCCACATACCCAAGGAGAAACTTAAATCACCTGCATGGTACCCTGTTCAAATCATTCGGACCTTTCTCGCTTCCTTCGAACCAACTTCGAACGACTTCAAACCCTACTGCCCGCGCGCCGGCTCCCGCCCTCCCCCACGGGGCCCCCGCTACCGTCTTTTCTTCGTTAGCGTCTCTGCTTCGTTACTTGACATGGCGCTTCCTGCCGCTGACGTAGCAGTTAAATTTCGTTAGGATGATGTGTTATTTGTATCTCAGTATGTAGCACATCAATGAATCCAGTCATATGATAGATAATCTTATACAACTTCAAGGATGCGTGTCCGGCTATCGTAAAATAAAGCGCGCCTCGAGTCTTGGGACAGGACGAGAGCAGCGAAAGTTACGGAAGAATGGAGGTTCTATGCACATATACGACAAAATGGGAGAGCTTTCCGCAAAACCTACTCATGGCCGTAAAATGGGTCAGAGTGTCTCGTTGTAGGTTGAGTAGACTAAGTTTTGGGTACCGCCTAGGTTATCATCATCCACACGGTGCACCATCGAGAGTACTGAACTGTGAGACGGGAACATCGGCGAAGTGGAGTGGAACGAGTGAGTCGTCAAACTCGCTAGTCACGAGTGCAGTGATATGATTATGTATAGTATGCTGCGGCCGCAGATACGGCTCCGGTACTCCTCTAATATCTGGCCGAAGGGCATTAACAAGTGTGCAGGATGGTATGGTTATTCTGGGCGCTGGTTACTGAGCCTTTCACGTACTTCGAAGGTTATTGCAGCACTCCGAGTTCAGCAGTGGTGCATCCCCAGCGAGGCGGTGCCGTCTGTAATGCTTCTATTCGTCATCGTCGAGTCACAGGTAATAGTGTTCCCTGTCAGTATTTGAACTCTGTTAGTACAAATGCTACCATAGCTGTGCATGTGCCGGCGCCGCTAGTGCGACAACAAGAGTCCGCCGCGCATCTGCTGATGTGCACGTCGTCAGTAGTTCAACTAGTATTGTCGCTGAGGAACTAGCGAGTCTGTTTATGACAAAGCAGGAGATACTGCACTCACTCGTAGAGGGCAGACATATCACCCAGTATGAAGGTATTGAGTTGCTGGAGTCATGCGGAAGCAGGCTGTCGTCGGACGGATGTTTACAGCAAGTGCATTGCAGGGTCACATCTCAATCTGCTTGGAGAGTTGAATGCTCTTTATATATTAACAAGTCTGCGTGTGTTACAAAGTGTTAATAAAAGAGAACTAATACACTAAAAATGCAAGAAGGACGAGGAGAAGATCGAACTGACAAAGTTGAAGTTAAAATGGGGGGAGAGAAGTATGCCGGGAAGTGGGGATATCGATATGTTGAGACCGTTATATATACTGCTTGGTGACGGCTACGTTTCGAAATATATTAAGCTGAAGCGAAGATGTTGAAGACAGTTGAACGGAGTCTGGGGTCCGAATGACGTGACTGAGGGTTTGAATTAAGAAAGGTCCGAATAGTTGTCGCTTCCGAGAACAACTGAGCAGCACTATTAATAATTGACCTTATGGACCAACAGGTAAGTACTGTACACAGAACACGCTCAGTGTTGGGAGACAATAACAACACACAGAACACGCTAAAGAGAACATAGTAAGAGACGGCGAGACGACAAGAGACCAAAGAACATACCTCAGTGTACAACTGAGGTATGAGGAAGCGTATTATATATGTAAGTGCACGTGATAATGTATGTGCTAAGAGCGATGGACGATTCAACAGGTACTAATACCAACTTCCACCAAGCACCCACTATACCCCCCAGCTTGAAGTTGCACAGCTAGGACATAATGGGCAAGCTCACCGTGTTTGGGTTTCTTCACGAGCAATGGACAGAGCTCCCAATCTCCACTGCAGACGTCAGCGACCAGTCGCTGGTCGTGGTCGGTACTAATGTCGGGCTTGGAAACGAAGCTGCTGTGCATTTAGCCCAGCTGAAACCTAAGAGCCTGTTGATCACCAGCAGGGACGAAGTCAAGTGTGAACTAACAAAAGCAGGTATGCATGAACCCACTGGAGGTTATCAGGAAACGTTATAACCTGTATAGACGTGGAGACTCGGTCTGGCATGACTGGTATCGAATCCTGGCCTCTTGAGCTAAGCTCATTCGATTCAGTGCGTTCTTTCATGGACAATTTTGAAGCGAAGGGATACACAGCCAATGCTCTTATCGCCAACGCTGGCATATCGACAATGCAGTACGCGAAAACTCCGGATGGCTACGAAACTACGTGAGTACTTTACTATTATTACCGTTGTCTTACCTCGGGAATTTTCATAGATTTCAAGTGAATTACCTGTCGACCGCTCTGTTGAGCATATTGATGCTGCCTCACCTCATCAAGACGGGGACTCCTGAACGTGCCTCGAGACTGGTTATCGTGTCTAGCGAGGTTCATTATATAGCCAACAGACTAAAAGGAGCAGACAAATGGTCTAGTATCATTGAAACAATCAATGATGAGGCGTATTGTACCTCTAGGCAAGTTTCATTAACGTCTTTTTCTGCAGGAATAATAACATGCAGCAGCGTAATGATGAATCGCTACCCCCTATCCAAGCGTGAGTAATGGTGTACACGTATTATTATGCTCACCACAGCATTATGCGCAGTCCTCGAAGTGATGTTCATCCGTGAGCTGTCCTCTCGACTTCCCACACCAACCTTGGTCGCTGTTTCTGCGGTCAATCCCGGTTTATGTCACTCCCGTCTTTCGCGAGAAGTCGATTCGAATCCTATCTTCAAGTTTGCCGTGAGCATTTACAAAGGGCTACTGGGACGCACGACTGAGATGGGCAGTCGGACACTTGTCCATGCGGCAATTGAGCCAGGCGAGAGGGAACGACATGGCCACTACCTGTCGTGCTGCGAAGTCGCCGAAGAGAGCGATTATACTCTCAGCGCGGAAGGAAGGGAGGTTTCGAATCGTTTGTGGGTACGTACCTGCTCATTTTTGACTACCATGGTGCAGGCTGATATCAAATAAACAGCATGAGACCCTCAAAATCCTTGGAGACATCGATCCACGTGTCAATACAATTGTGTCTGAACACCTCACCCAGGACATAGCATAACTTGACTGTTATTCATAGACCGCCACCATATATCATGTTGTTTTCTGAACTGTGGACGTCGTTGGGATGGAATTCAATCTATCGCAGTACGAACTTTGAGGACGATAGCGTGAAAGAATTTCGCGTACGTGCTATAGTAACTGTAATAACGATATAGTGATGATAATGCTGAGGGGCCACCTCTTCTCCCTGCCTCTCGTCCCTTTGCAAACATACCACTGCTGTAATACGACGTAAGCTAGTTTCTTGGAACATTTTGTTAATCAGACCGTAGTGCGTTCGAAGACCGCAATCAGCTCAATCTCAGCAATTCACCCTCACTGCTCTCAATATCATTGAATATCATTTGATTTAGTGTAGTCCGAGTTCCAGCGGATAACAATGCAGAGTCAGTAGAATAGAGCTACATATATGTGAAATGAAGTGTGCTCGATATCGGGAAATGCTACAACTAGTTAAGAATATATGAAAAGAGAGGAAGAGCACAACATTAATGCACAATGATAGGTATTAACAGTATCCATGATGCGTAGCGTACAACATATAGAACAAAGCGTCATCTCCGGCCGAGTCCGCATGATAAGCTGTGGCAGAGTTACAATGCAAAGCCAGCAAAGGGATTCGTTGTCCTTTTCATCTGCGTCGGAGATACTGCGTAGGCGTCGTCGTCAAACGGAGTTGCAAACGGGTTTATGGTGTTGCTGGACTTCCGCGCATGAGCTGTCGTGAGAAGCCGTGATACGGGCGTGACGGATTCTGGGAGGGAGGACGGCACAAGCCCCGGCTGGGGAGGGGCCATTGCTGGCTTGTTCTTCGCAGCGAGGAGCGCAGCTTGCACTTGTGACGGGTAGAGCGTCAATGGGACAGTTGCATGCTGTAGGGGCGCCCGCTCGAAGGCGTGATGGAGCGGCATGGCGAGCGGGCTTGGTTCCTTGGCCTGCGGAGGAGTGAAGCCATATTCGTCGAACGGCTCGACGTCAGTAGGCACGCTGGCTTTCCTACGCTGCTCTGGATGGAGCGGTGGTGAGGAGAAGGATATAGAAGGAAGCGCTGGGTTCTTGGTGGCAACAACGGCGTTCTTCGTCCATGGCCGAGAGGGTGGAGTCGGTGAGATAGACCAAGCAGAGGGAGGCTCTTCTCGAGTCGGAGATCGCTCAATGTGTGGTAGGTCATCCGGCATGAACGAGGAAGAATGCGCGGTCGAAATTGTCAATTGAGGTCTAGGAGGCCGGCCTATCGGCCTGCTGACGACAAATTCTTCAGAGGGAGCAGCCTTCTTCGCAAAGAGGTTTGTCACGGGCTTGAACCAGTGCGATTTGGGTTGTTCATCTTCCACCTCCTCTCTGTCCCCACTGTCATCATCTTGCTTCCTCTTTCCCAGCCTGCTGATGGTGCGAGAAAATATCGACGGCTGCTGCGTCTGCTCAACTTTCGGCTCAGCTCCCTGACGGAAAAAGCTATCCCAGCTTTTCTCAAACCGTGGCTCAAGCGATTTCAGCGGATGATTGGCAGACCGGCTGAACGGATTAAGGCTGAATGCTGAACGCGGCTCAGAAAGAGGCGTAAACGAACGAAGACCCAAATCAGGCGTCTTCTCGCCCTTCTCCGCATCCTTGCTGATATGAACGATGGGCGGTGCGTTGGGAAAGGCTGCTATGATATCATCGATATCGTCGCGCTGCTCCTTGCGCCATTTGCGCTTCTTGTAGGCTTCAACCCAATTTCTCGCGTAGGAATGCCAGAAAACAACAGCGAGACCCATGAGTACAACGACGCCCCAGAGAATCAGGAACAGGGCAAACATGATTCGTTCCTGCTTGAGGGAGTCAACGTACGTCGCCACAAGATCTCCGACGAGGCCGCCTGAGTCACTCTGCCCGCCACCAATCGCGGCGGTTGCAATTGGCTGAGTGATCTCATTAACATCGGACGATGAAAGTACCAAGACGGTCTCGTTGACAGTCGGAAGATCGACATTCAAGTTCTCGTTCAGGAACGTGAGTGCCTCCTCGAGTGCATCGACCTTCGACCCGATGATGCACCGGACGAAGTCTTGCGCAGTGTTCTCCAGGACGGTGCCATTGAACACGCTCGCGACGATATTCTGAACATCGGTGTAGAAGTTGTTCAGCGTCGTATTGAGTGTTGTGGTAGTGCCATTAACCCAGCCGAACAGACCGTCGTTGACGGAGGACTGAGCAGTCTCAATACGTGCATTGATGGTGCCAGCGTACGATGAGGACTGGTTGTACATTGAACTGTTCACCTGCGCAAAGATCGTGCTGGAGAGATCCTGCACACTCGCAGCCGCTTGTGCAGTGTACTTTGCTTCCAAAGGGCCGACGGCGAGAAGCTGCACTTGAACAGACAGTAGACCAAAGAAACCGATCAAGAAGCAGGCAAGAGCAGGCGCATGGAAAATGTAGTGCAGAAACCATCGCAGGTGAGTGTGCTGTGACGGGGACATGCGTAGTTTAGCTGAGAGGGTGTTGGCTATGCGAGTAAGCAGTGGATGTTGCGCATCCGTCTGGAGCACAAGGAGATTGTGGTCGGTAAGCGTGACAGAAGGGGCGCTAGCGGAGCCGGTGTACATCGTAGTGGGGTCAGAAACCCATGCCGCACGAGTGCGGCGGAGGTGAATCTGCAAGCAGTGCCACTTGTACCACTCGAGGGCACAGTGCCCTGCTAGCAAGGCGAAGAGAAGAAGAATCAATATAATGGTGCCAATCTTCGTAATCATGAGGAGGTCATTTCCAAGATCATCAACTGAGGAAGTGTCCAAATCGTTGCAAAATGAAACCGAATTCTGAGCAGGGACAGGAAGCGTCGTTACATCGAAGACAAGGCCTTGGAACGTGCTGTTGATATCAGACTTCACCGCCTCGAAAGGTGTATCGACACTAATGGGAGTTAGTAGACGCAGATGGTCATTTTGGTGTTATACTTACAGAGATTCAATGGAGTTCTTGATCGACGACACAGTCGGCAGTGAATTGTTGAGCTGAATCAACGCATTCTCGAAATCCGTTGGGATAGTGATACTGGACAGAGAGTTCAGGCTCGAGACGTTGAATTGTGGCGCATTGATGTTTCCGAAAGGATTGACCTTGTTGAGCTCGTTGACTATGGTTGTAATGGCAGAGTTGAGCGAAGTGGCATCGTTCTGCAAACCTGACACAATGCTGGTCAGGGTGCTTTGCAAGAAAGAAGTGATCTGAGCTACTATTAACAAAATTCACCAGAAGGCAAGCTTTTCATACCTCTTGAACAGCAGCAATGAGAAGCGCAAGCCCACCTCCAACAATCAGTTCGAGGAAACACAAAAACGTAGAGCGGTAAATGTCAATAAGGAAGTTGATAATTGCTTCCATGACAGTCAATGAGAGAATCAGAGCTGCGCGCGCGTCGTTCATGGAGCCATTGATAGTATCGGTGATTAATTGATTTGAGGCAATCGCCATATACCGCGGAGCACTAGCCGCAGCTGTAGCAGCTTGCTCTGCTGCTTGACATGCGGTCAAGAGGTCACCCTTTGCATTAGCCACAGCAGCTTGAGCAGCTTGGGATGATAGCTGGAGCCTAAAGATCACGAAGATGAGCGAAAGAATTGGATATGCTAGCCAGGCTAAGGAAAGGATGTGTGGGAGTTGAAGGTATGGTCTGAGGGTCGTACTCGAAGTCTGTATTGTAGAATGAGGGGCATAGACTGGCGGAGGCGATATTCCTCTTTGAGTGCGAAAAGAGAAGGACATCTGGGATGATGATGGTCGACCTGCGACGTCGAATAAAAACCTAGTCACCAACTAGTGGCGGTCGTCAGTAGAAAGATAGAATAATTAGCAAGAAAGAGAGCCCTGAGAGAGAGAAGCGCTGGGGTAATCCATTCTTTATCCTTTTGAGAGCCAAATTATCATTGTCCCAGCACGGCGAGTCCTCCGCATCCTCATTGTTCTTCAAGGGGACTCGCACGAAGTGGACGAAGCACAATAAGCAGTTCCAAATTGGGTAACCTTGTAAATGGTCGGAGTTCGGAGTCTTTTTTGTTTCCGTTGGCGTTCTCTGCCGTACTCGAGTGACTGGCGACCACAGCCTACCACAGCTTCTCTCAGACCTTCTGCACCGGATCATTGTTATCAGTTGTTGTCTCACCAATGACCCGTCATCGCAGGGTTGACCTGGAGAGAATCCACTAGCGGCTACATAATACATGAAGGCCTCAAGTCGCAGAGAACTCAGAAGACTCCATATTTTTAAGACAGAAGTCACTTTGAAGTTCAACGAAAAGTAGCTCGGCTTATCGAATCCTTCAGCTTGCAGCCTTATTAGTACTGACGTTTGACTTGAAGCTGTCAATTCGTCCTGATCGTCTGTGAGCGCACATCGCCATCCTTCACCAACTAGCGGTCAGCTAGCAAACCCTTTCTTTCCCACGAGAAAGTACTGGTCGTTGAGCGCGGATGCCTTGGCAGTCAATACCAAGTGTCCAAAGGATTTTCCCCGTCTTCGCTGGCGTCACTTGTGCCCGACTCACCATATTATCTGATCTATTGCATCCGATTGCATGTCATGTGAGGCTCCACGCTTGCCATTCTGCGCAGTCCAACGTATGAAATTCAACTCCTTATTTGTCTTCCATGATGATTGCATTCAATGCTTTGTTGTAAACGTTGCTTAGTAACCTCATGAAGCTATCTTGTTCGGGAAGATTCTCTTTCAGTTTGCTACACAAGTCTAAACATTCAATGGAAGGGCGAGTGTCATCCAAAGATTTACCCTGAGGCCCGAGGTGCGTTACGCGTAGCTTTTCCCTATCATGGTTTGTAAAACCCGAAAGATACGCGGTGTGTAGTCGGGTAGTCGGTGTCGTTCATACCCCCTCCCTGGCACTCGCGATGGGAACTTCATTGCACCATCCCTTCCTCTTCGACTGTCAGTACTGACGCGAATGACACATTTTTTCCAACGCAGTTCGACGCGACGCCACATCCTCACATTTGAAAAAGCCGGCCCGTGCCTCCTTCGATTCATTAATAGCACAGGCCGTCTTTAGTCCCACATTTGGTGCGTTGTCATACTTATACATAACAGAAACCACCACCGTAAATTTGTGCAGATCTGCACATACCCGCCACATATACTCCCTACCGAAAGGAGAGATACACTCTAGAGCGTCGCTGACGAACAGACGGAAGAAGAGAAGGTACACTTCAATGCTAGCTACTGACAAGGGCAGAACACGCCAGTTAGGCCTACTCCACTGACCATCTTCCTTTTGCGGCCTTCCTTTTGTACCTGACTACTTCACGTGGCAGAGACGACTTCGTTTTCTCAATCCGCCATGGTATGACGAGACAATGTCCAACATAGAGTCTATGCATCATCTGAAACAGTTTTTACACGAGTCAGGCTGATTAATGCATACCGCCCAGCTTCTCCACTACATGAGTCATGATCCTGAGCGCTCCGGCTTGAGCGCACTGCTGATTTCTCCTTTTAGAACAAAACCTCTCAAATGGCTTAGTTGCTTATGTATGTTTAAAACAAAATCCACGAAACACAGCCCATTCCTACAGCTTGTGTTGATACTACCATGAACGAGAGCCTTGTCTCCAAGTACGAAGATATCGTCACCTCCAGAGGATTGACATACCACTATCTGTCCATACCAGCTGTGGACGACAAGCCCACTCTACTCTTTATCCATGGCTTTCCCTCGATCTCATACGATTGGTATCATCAGATCAACTACTTTTCTGAGAGGGGATTCGGAGTAGTAGCGCCTGACATGCTCGGATACGGCGGCACGTCTAAACCTACCGATGTGTCCTTCTTTCTGCACACCGCGATCGTGCAAGACTTGCTTGACATTCTTGATGCTGAGAAAGTCCAAAAGGCCATAGCCGTTGGGCATGACTGGTGAGATATAACTGAACGCGCACTAGCTATATTCAGAACCGTCATCAGGGGCGCACCCATAATCTCCCTCCTGTCAATGAAACACTCTGACCGTTTCTTGGGTTTCGCGTGGGTTGCCGTCACATACCAAACATATGGTCCCTTCCCTCCCATTGATGTTATCTTGGAGATGAATATTAAAGAATTCGGCCGGCCACTGTTGGGGTACTGGAAGTTTTTCGAACAAGAAAGCGCTCCCCAAATCATCGAGAAGAATGTGAGTGCTTGACCAACGTTTGGACCTCTTGTTATTGATGAGACGCAAAGCTGGAATCATTGATTTCCGTGCTTTATCCGGATGACCCAGATAGTTGGCTGACTCTGATGAATCAACCCGGGGAGATACAGGCCTTCGTCGAAAATGGAAAGACGACAAAGAGAGCCAGTTATCTCATAGACGAGGTATCTCTTATTCCTGTCAGGCTTGTCAGAATTGACTGTGTCCGTAAAATATAGCACCACTCACGCTTGTTGGAGTCACTGAGGAAAGGTGGGTTAACGAGTGCCCTGAACTGGTACCGGTGCATGCTCGGTGGTGTTAATTCTCGTATCATGGAAGGTGCGACACGATATGTAGCACATTGCTCGATACTGCATTATCTGATCTCGTTTTGTTGCGGTGACAGAGATACCAGAAGAAAATCAGTTTATCAAGAAACCCGCGTTCTTCGCGGTCGCAAAGAAAGATCACGTATGTGTGTATGATTACAGCGTACCACTTATGAAGAAATACGCGACGGGAGGTCTCAAGATGGTAGAGTTCCAAGGAGGACACTGGGTTCACTTGGAGGAACCGGAAACGTTCAACAGAGAACTCGAGGGTTGGATTCGCGATACGTTGCAACAAAGTTGAGGAACGTAGGCGGGCTGGTCACGAAGACTCATGAAGATCAACTGTATATCACAAATTCACAATCTACTCAATCCCAGCTCTCACCCAAGACGTTGTGAATTAAAGGGTGTTGCGCATGAGCGCGGGGGCGATGTGGACGAAGACAACGCCAGAATTGAACTAGCCACACATTTGAGTTCGTCAAAATGCGCGCGTTTGTTGAGGAACGAATTGAACCTTAATGACGCTGTTGCGGAATCTGTGAAATCAAGAGAGGCGATTGTTTTGGTGGTTGGCGTAACTTGCGCATGGTCAACTGACAGGTGAGATGGTGTACTCTAATGATGCAACAAACAACAGTAAGTTTGATGCAGATGTATAACACAAGAACTAAGCCAGATGGGCTGCAATGTCAGTGTATCCAAGCTAATACCTGTTGTTGTCCAATCCAGACGTCAAATTGTAGGTAAAGGATGGTATATGTGGAATGTATATGACACCGCGGTGAAGCGTGGAAAGCCATCGTTGGTGAAATGTTTGTCGATCAAGACCTATCATCGGTCAGCGTACGGTCATTATCACCACGAATCGGATTGGGGGAGAAAAGGGATGCGGCAAGAATGCAAAATCACGCACATTTTGTAATCTACTGTTGTTTCCTCTTCCTCGTCACCAACTGCATACGAAATGGCAATGTCAAGATCGCGGTTGTTCCGCTTGTTCGGTGCGCAAGAAATTCTGCCAGTGATTTCCTGCCCTCTTTTGATAGTGACTGTCGAGGGGGTGTAGAACACTGTTTGCCTGTTTAGAAGAAATAAGTACCTGAAAAATAGAAAGTTGGGTTGCAAACGTACTTCCAGTGCGTGTATTGCGCATGAGGGCCAGTTGAAAACTTGACTTTCTTATGTGTACAATCGAAGACGATGTCGAACCAAGCGAGGAACGCATGAACATCTAAAGTAGCGCGCATGAATGCTGCAATTATACCTAACGCGATTACACTTACAGTCATCGCGTGTAGCAGCGAGGCTAAAAGGTGCTGTGAAAGTCAGGTCCTCCTTTGTTGCCGTCAAGAGGTCGATTTCCTGCATGGAGTTAGACAAGTATCATCAATGACTTGGTGGCAACAAACTTTGATAACGTATGGATCGGTTACGACTGCTTTGAGTTCAACGGTATCCACCAAAGGTTCGCGGAGCGCGATGTCTTTGATACACGAGTAGTCGAAGCCATACACATTATCCCAGACTACAAATACTGTTCTCAGCCAGGCACGTATATAACACAGATATACGTACAGTTGATCTTCTCTTCTTTGTAGTCCTGATCTTCAATGGCAGCAAAAAGTAATTTTGCGGTGTCGGGGAATATCAATCCATCTGGCTTGAGGTATTTGTCTCTTGCAAGCAAGACAGTGTCTAACATAGATTCGTAGAGAAGGAAATAACCCATCCACTCTGAAATGATGATGTCGAATTGATCGATAGGAAGCTCGGCTTCCTCAAGTTTTCCCTTAACAAGGGTAATTGCTAATGCATTGTTACTAAAGACGGTATCAGCAGCATACAGTCAGACATACTGTCTTTGAAGCCGTTTGCTTCTATAATCTTTTGGGCTTGATCGATAATATTCGACATGTCGATCTTCAAAGGCATGCAGGAAATGATACGAGCAAGATAGGGGTGTGGCACTTACACCAACTACATGTGAAGCACCCGCTTTTGCAGCGAACATACTCAAGATACCAGTTCCGCAACCAACATCTAGAACTGTTTTACCCTTGAAGAGGTGACCGTTGTTTATGATCGCAGAACGATAGGATCCTGTCCGGACAGTGTCCTTGAGCATTTCCTCGTGAATACCTGTCAAGATATGTCAGAGTAATAATAACTCGAATAGATGGATCAACAAACCAAAATGCGCGTATGAATCCGCATAACTGGAAGAAGGGAAGCAAAAATTAGATATTAGAATTTCCTTGAGAAGATATGCGCAAATGTGCGAACTAGTCTCTGGAAGTCATCGAGTCCGATGTAACATCGGGGGCGATATGGTGGGTCGATGGACCTGGGTTTTCAGATGGGACATCGGAGGGGATATGGTGGGTCGATGGACCTGGGCTTTCCGATGGGACATCGGAGGTGATATGGTGGGTTGATGGTCCTGCACTTTCCATCTTCAATCGAAGCAATTGGGTGAAGCTGTGAAGCACAAAGAGTTTGTTGTTCGCAGATAAAAATTCGCCCGTTCCCACGGTAGCTAGAGATCCCAGGGGTTCTCCTGCTGACCCGTGAGAATAATTCTGATTAAACTATATAGTTGAGATTCATAGGTCGGTTGAATACTCAGGCCTAAAGGTCAGTTGCTCTCCAAGAATTATTTTTTCAATATTAATGACTTATTTATCAACGCAGCTCCCTTTAGAATACCCTCTACGTCTCCTTGTCACCGAGTCCCGACTAACTATGGAACAGCTCGTTCTAATAATAGATAGCGATGATCAAAACAAACAATGGAAAACAAATTCTGATCGGTACGGCAGCTCTATGTAGTAATACGTGACTCAGTGCCTCTGCAGCGCCGCGCTTATGTACCGCAGTGCGCAGCTTTCGAACCCATACAAAAGCCACGTAGCAGAACTTATCAATGATCATCGATCCTCAGTCAAACATGGTGAGTCCCTTTCATATATATATGTAAACTCGATGGCTCTGGTGTTAATGAACCCTCAGGTGATCAAGCATAGTGGTGTAGATAACCCGCCTTCCTACGACTACGTCGCAGCTCAGGCTAGTTCAAGTCTGTCTTCACATTCGTATTGCCCTGGATGATCAGTGGTTTACCATTATTTCAGATGTCGAACAGCAACAGCCACCTTTGATGACTGACAAGACTGCGAACCAACAAGTGCAGCTGCCTTCAGTGCCTCCCAACTCCGTGACGGCTGTCCACGGTCGTACTATGCCTATGATGCAGCAACCCATAATCCACCATTATCAGAATCCCTTGACTGGCGAGCACATCGCCTCGCTACTTCCCCCAAACCACCCAGAAATGATATGTTTGCAGGAAGGGCAACATGTTAATGAAACCAAGTTCGGCATTCTAGGTAGGCACAATCACATGCTAACGGGCAAGCAGTTGATTGGTTCCTTTCTTTAGGCATTTTGGCTGCAATAGTTTGGTTCCCATTGGGCATTGGCCTTTGCCTTCTTGACCGGAGGGTCAAGTGCAAGCGCTGCGGGGTGGTCATAGACAACGGTATTTGTGGTTAATTAGTATTGCATGCCCTCAGCCTTTCTGTTCTTTCTATTCCCGCAACGCACATGTATTCTTGCTATTCGGCGTTTCATCTCTATATCCCGGTTTCCGCATTGCTCCTATTGATGTACGGTTTTAGTGTATGGATTATTATTTGACGGACGGATATATATTAGATGCTAATTCCAACTTTGCTAAACAAGTAGATGATGAGAGTCTATATAGTCAACAACTGATCGTTTGTGCTGCAATTCTTCTTTTTCGTGAGGAGCTGAAGGACCTGAAGGACATTGTTAAAGGATTATTTGACTAGCTGGACATTGATATTCACCTTCTTTGCCACGTCTTATATAAAGTAAAACATTCAACCATAACCTGTAGTACCTCCGTCGAGAAATGTAAACCATGTACACTTAAAATAATTCTTAGGGTCCCAGCCTTGCAGCATTAATGTTGAGAACTGAGCAAAAGAAAAAAAGAAGGGCCTTGCTGGGAATCGAACCCAGGCCACTTGCAATTGTGAATCACCCAAAGCAAGTATCGTACCTCTAGACTACAAGGCCTTGACAGTTGTGCACATTTGTATACACTTGACGAGACTCACTCATTCTATTGTGTACACACTTCCCACTGTCATTGAGCGGTCCGACGTCGTTCATAAGGAGACGCTGTGGTTGCCCATCCACTCCCCCTTCCTGGCGGTATGCGCAGCTTGACATGAACGTCGACATACTACGCATGATCCACGCAATGAATTTCCTCTAGCGGACATATCCGAGTCCAAATCATCAGCCAGGCTCTTCCTAGTTTGTCCTCACCAGTGAAGAGACCCATCGAATCTTCCTTCAATGCAGAAACTCGTTCTATATCATCCAACCCCCCCAAATGCTACTCCCGACATTTCAATCGAGGAAGAACGTAAGCCTGATTATGAGCCAAAACACCTTTGGCCTGTGAAACTGGAAGATGTGGTTCGTGAAACCTACCGGAGTGAGGGTATGGTGGAAATTAAACAGTGTAGCTTGTCAAGGATGTTTGTCGGTACGTGCCAGTCGTCCTCAAGCTAGGTCTCACATTATATAGTTCCTAGACGACTTTGACAATCTACTCGCTATGCGACACTGAAAATCTGCACCAATAAACATGTCCATGCTACATCTGCTTCACATCGGTTGCAGATGTTGAGCCCATCGCAAAAGTGAACTCATCACGTCCAGGCCGTATTTGCGCGAACCGCTGTCGATTCGTTTGAGGCTAAAGGCCTGTACGGAAATCATAAATACCTCATCTATGGACTCATGCGCATTGCGGGAACCCATCTGATTGCCTCAACGTCGTCTTATTATTATTAACGACATCTGTCCGATCTTCTCAGATGGACGCTCATGTAATTTTTGTCTTGCTTTGACTATCCTGAGTGTCCGTCACCCGCACCTGCGAGCTTAATGATACGACATCGATTGTGAGTGTCCCTTACTCGATTTGAAAGGTACCACACGCGACAATATACTGGTTGGGCTCAAGAGTCTGTTTATGCTTCTCACTGATGTCCATTGCGGATGGTCTTCAGCAATGAAGCAGAGAGCCTTCAACCCAGGAGGTCCTCGTCGACCGTACCGTATATCTTTCCGGAAATGATTTTGGACTCTTCGAAACAAGCCTGGAAAACCAGTGTTTACAGATTTCGGACACTGCAGTGTTCAGGGATGCTTCGTACCTTGTTGCACACCTTATACAGCTCGAAGGGTACCGTGCCCCAGAAGTCACACTTGGCGCGCCTTGGACATACAGCGCTGACATCCGGAATCTGGGTTTGACGATAAGGTTGGAAACCGGCTGTATGGAACTGACGTCGCTGTATCACAGATATATGCAGAACCCAATCGAAGATAAAGACCAATGCGATGGATCCGATCCAGAACGTCGAGAATACAAAGAGGCTGCACATCGTGCTTAGCTCATTGGGTTCGTTGATTATCCACTTAAGGTGCTTCTTAGAGCCCTATTTTTTTGAATCTGACAGTAAGTCGTAATGAAATACATTGCCACATATAGGCTACCTGCTAACGGTGCGCCAGGATCATTCGAGCACCCACTGAACCTCATCACACAAGGCGTCACCTTGGCGGATTCTGTGGAGATACTGGAAGGTGAAGGTAAGAGGCTGTTACGTGAACCAAGATGGTGCAGTCACTGCAGTGGCTCCCAGAGAAAAGGAGTATAGCAAAGGAGTTGCTCGAAGACCCTTGGTCTGAACGGTTCGTTTGATTGCTATGTACCTTTCAGGTTGGAACTTTGTTGTCGTGCCCGTGATAGTTTAATCTTTCCTCTATTTGTATCTATTCAGTTCAAAGGTCGGGGAAGCATGGATGACGTGGTTTGAATTTTCCCACCACTCATCGCCTGATCACTTTAAAGTGCTGTTATCGTCTGACGCTGTGCCTAAGCCTCTCAACGTTCTTGATTTTTACCTCCGAGTTGTTCAGCTTACTAAGCTACTGCAAAAGGAATCACATTACTGGCAATCGTTAATTCTGAGTAAACAGTGAACACTTGTACAGAAGCACCCGTCCACCACCAGCCATGGTTCGAATTATCATCAAAGGAGGCAAGTAAATCTATCCAGGCTTTTTGACGCACGTTAATTGTAACCTTGTAAATTAATCAGGTGTTTGGAAGGTACATTGCAACTTCAGTTCGAGTATCGCCGGAATCCGAATCTGACACACTCATCCAGAACACTGAGGACGAAGTTCTCAAGGCTGCAATAGCCAAGTACGGGAAGAATCAATGGTGAGTTGTCCATTCATTGTCAGCCGCCTCGCTCTGGTACTAAGCATCACCAGGGCGCGTATATCGTCGTTGCTGGTCCGGAAGACCCCCAAACAATGTAAAGCGCGGTGGTACGAGTGGCTAGATCCGTCTATCAAGAAGACGGAATGGTCAAAGGTGTGTGTCGTAGACCTCTGTTTTGGTGCTGAAATCTGTAATGTACTACCCAGACCGAGGATGAAAAGTTGATGCACCTCGCAAAAATCATGCCCACACAATGGCGGACAATAGCTCCCGCAGTGGGTCGCACAGCTACGCAATGTCTTGAACGATATCAGAAGTTGTTGGATGAGGCTGAGGCGAAGGAGAACGAGGAGTTGGGGCTGACGGGACCAGCGGGAGAGTCGGCGCCGAGTGCAGACGACATCAGGCGCCTGCGACCAGGAGAGATTGATCCTGACCCTGAAACCAAGCCCGCACGTCCTGACCCTATTGACATGGACGAAGATGGTGCGTCTTCTTCTGCTCGGGAGCGTTTTTTTGCTGATTCTGCATACAGAGAAGGAAATGTTGTCCGAAGCCCGTGCTCGTCTCGCAAATACGCAGGGCAAGAAAGCTAAGCGAAAGGCTCGTGAACGTCAGCTCGAAGAAGCAAGACGACTTGCAGTTTTGCAGAAAAAGCGTGAGCTGAAGGCTGCTGGAATCATGTGCGTCGATTTATCTACTTTGTGCTATGACCTTCCTCATGTGATATGCTTTAGTATGCGACATAAAACGAAAAATAAGGGTATGGACTACAATGCTGACATTCCCTTTGAAAAGAAGCCGGCAGCGGGCTTCTACGACACGTCGGAAGAACAGGCACGCATTACCTCTGCGCCAGTAGGCCAATCTCTCCGCCGTCTGGAAAACAAACGCAAGCCTGATGAAGAAGAAGCTGAACGAAGGAAGCGACAACGTCGCGCAGCAGAGGCTAAGGGCGAGAACGATGGCCATCAAACAAAATTCATTGCCGCTCGTGATGCACAGATACAGAAGTTGAAAGAGGCGGAGAGCATTGGCCGGCGACGGAAGCTTGTGTTGCCGAACGCTCAGGTTGGGGAGGCGGAGCTGGAGGACATCGTCAAGATCGGGCAGACAGGGGAGAATGCCAAGGCATTGGTTGGTGGCGGAAGCGAGGCAACTGCGAAGCTTTTGAGTGACTACGAGGGGCTAGAGGGCGCAAGGATGGCACGAACACCTCGTACTGCACCCCAACGTGAGTCTTCTTTAGTTTTCACTTCCATCGCGGCGACTGAGCTATATCATAGAGGATAATGTCATGTTGGAAGCACGCAATTTACGGAACATGACCATGGCACAGACACCTTTGTTGGGAGATGAGAACACCCCCCTTCATGTCGGGCCAGGGGGAGGAACTGGTTTCGAAAGCGCCACTCCTCGGCATCAAGTTGCTTTTACCCCAAATCCTCTCGCAACTCCTATGCATGGCGGCCCAGGTGACGTTTCTGCAACGCCGCGAGATGGTGCATCGTGGGGCGCAACCCCACTGCGGACGCCTATGCGTGATACTCTCAGCATCAATCCCGCTACAGGCATGCCAGTTGGCGAGACACCACGCGACCTCCGGTTGCGCTCCGACTCTGCCAAGCGTGCTTTGAAGGCCGGATTCATGAGTCTTCCAAAGCCTGAAAACAACTTCGAACTTTTGGTTCCCGAAGATGAAGACGAAGACGATGGCTCCACGGGTCCGATATCAGAGGAAGATGCTGCCGAACGGGATGCACGCTTGAAGCGGATGCGCGAAGAGGAGGAGAGAAAAGCTTTAGCAAGACGGACACAGGCTGTTGCCCGTGGTCTACCTCGTCCTGCACGGGTCGACGTGGAGCAGCTGAGGGGGAACTTGAATGCTGGGGAAGAAGATGACGACATGGCCGAGGTCAGAAGACTTCTCAATTCAGAGATGGTGGATCTCCTGCTGCACGACTCGATAGTACATCCTCTCCCTGGCACGAATATTCCTGGTGGCACGCCGTCAACTTATCAGATACCGCCAGATGATGACCTCGCTGCTGCTAAAGCCCAGATCCATCTTGAACTTGCCTCATCAATAGGCTTCCCTGATGCTAACGAAGCCCAGGTCAAGGAGGGACTGTCAACGCTGTCGAGCAGCGAAGAGATTGATGGGAGTCCGTCTTGGGCAAGTATCCGTCAGCAGCTTGCTTTCGATACCGCTTCAAGAACTTGGGTAGAACCCAGCAGCCTATCCCCGGAAGCCAGGATAGCCGGTTATACCACACTGCTCGAGGAGTGTCGTGGAGAAATGTCGAAAGAGGCCAGCAAAGCCAGCAAGGCCGAGAAGAAGCTCGACATTACCCTTGGTGGATATCAAGCACGTTCAAAAGCTCTTTCCAAACGTGTTACTGAAGCCTTCGATGAGCTCGCGCGAACGAAAGTGGACTATGAGAGCTTCGCTCGGCTCAGTATCAACGAGGCTGCAGCTGGACCACGGAGATTGGAGGCGCTGAGTGAGGAGGTGGGTGCCCTATCGCGGAGAGAACGGCTGTTGCAGGAGCGGTATGCGGAGCTTGATCGTGAGCGTCGGGATGCAGAATCCAGGGTTGCTGTACTGGAGGAGAAAATCATGGTGGAAGCAGAGGCACTCAATGAAGCAGCTCTCGCTGAGATGGAAGCAAGCGGATGATTCATTCTCGAGTGTTTTTATGCAACTATGTATCATTGTGCCTTTACACTAGTACTTATCCCATTTTTCTTTTGAGAGTTATGAATACTCGCAGTTGTTTTCTCGCTTCAATAAGTCAATTGCAACTGGCTACCCTTGGCACGAAATGATGTCACGTCACATGGCTTCAAGTGAGTCACGCTAACAGGTTTCAACGATCCCCTATGATGAGTGTACGAGACAAGATTTCACAAATGCCCGCAAACTTTGCTCTGTCACCTGCAGCAATAGTTGAAGGACTATCATCATTTTTTTCTGCCTTAACCCAGGGACTAAACTGAGCTTTATACATCCTGAAGCAAGATTCTGAACCGAACCAGCCTGTAGCAGGGCCGGGGGTGCAGTCACGGTCGTACTGGCCCTATTTACTCACTCTTCAAGAGCCGTTGTTCCTCGGTTTAGAACAATCCGTTCTGCTACTTCTTTGTCCTCGACATTCGGTCATCTTACGCAGACTTTGGCATATCCATCCATCTTCCTAGCTTATCCTCAGATCATGGAAGTCACCGCTGCAGAGCTTCATACTGGGCGGACTCTTAGGCCAAGAGCTGAGAAGATGCCAAAGATGGTGACATCTGCAACGAAACAATATTGCGACGAATTGGACTCAAACCCCTTGGAGGAAGAGGACAGAATGAAGATTCCGAAACCTCGTCATAAGACTGTCCTACTAAACAACAAGAAAGCGGCGCGTAAGAGAGACACGAAAGCAGCGACTTGCCCTGATCCTGATGAAGATTTTCCATTGCCCAAGATAAAGGGACCGTCCAAGGGAACGGGAACAAAGAACCAAAAAGCTCGACTTATAAATGATGATGCAGAGTTTTTTGATGGCCAGCCTCCAAAGAAGAAACGTAAGCGTGCTCCTAAAACAGAGCCTGTATATGCCATTCCAGAGGTCGAGAGAAAGGAGACCACGTTTCGTGGGCGTCTGGGTAGGTGAATTGGCTTATGAGATTGGATCCTTCTCATATTTTCCAGGGTATGCCTGCTTGAACACCATTTTACGCAATAAGAAACCTGCAGATGAGGCGGTATTCTGCTCGCGGACCTGTCGGTAAGCGTGTGTAATCTGTATTTTGGCATTTACTTAAGCACATCAGCATTGCTACTATCAAAAAAAACGGCATAGAGTGGGTCAAGGACCTTGGTCGACGAAATGTCGAAGATATGCTCAAGATTATTGAGTGGAACGAAGAAAACGTATGCTCCAATGTCTTAACACACCTGTGGTGACTCACTGTCCATCCACTTAGAATATACGCTTTATGAGACTGTGCATTCATTCTTGTTACAGCAATGTAAAACACTGAATCCTTGTCCCCAGATCATCCGAAATGTTCCCATTTGCATCCCACGAACTTTTGGATATTCTCTAGACTATTGTGCCCCCGCCCTAGCTGAGGTCGGCGCCCTAGCAAACAAATATGGCCACCGACTCACGGTTCATCCGGGTCAATTTACTCAGTTGGGTTCCCCTAGGGATTCAGTGGTCAAAGCCAGCATTCGTGAGCTTGAGTACCATGCGCAGATGCTCAACCTCATGGGTATTGGACCTGATGGCGTCATGATTATCCACGGAGGAGGAGTCTACGGTGACAAAGAGGCAGCGCTCGCCAGGATTCGCAAGACAGTTGAGGAAGACCTTCCTAAGGACGTCAGAGATCGTTTAGTTTTAGAAAATGATGAGGTCAACCTTACTTCATTGCGGATGATACTTTATTTGCTAATCCCTTCTGTCCCCTCAGCTTTGTTATAATGCTGCAGATCTGCTGCCGATATGCGAAGAGTTGGACATCCCACTTGTGTTCGACCATCATCACGACGTACTCAATCCATCTCCTGATCTCACTCCCTCCGAGATTATTGCACGTACGAATGTTATTTTCGCCAGGCGTGGCATCAAGCCTAAGCAGCACTTAAGCGAACCTCGTGAAGGCGCCGTCACCGTCATGGAACGTAGAGCGCATGCAGATAGATGTCAGAGGCTACCAGAAGCCCTACCAGATGATATGGGTGCGTCAGGACACTTTTAACATGGAACTACGAAGTTCATGTTAACACAGATTTGATGATCGAGGCAAAAGACAAGGAGCAAGCAGTTCTTCATTTATATCGTCTATACAATCTACAGCCCGTTATTCATGGTGTGTGCCATGTGAAGTTCACCTTTTTATATCTTATGGAAGTCACCTAGCATCACTTCGACCCCCCGCTAGCATTCAAACTAAAGAAACCAAGGGCCCCAAGTCACACAGAAAGACCGGCCCCAACAAGGATTCTTTTGAGGGAGCACTCGCACTAGACGCCGATGCAAACCTTGATGCCCTTGGGTTGGGTGTTGGCACAGAAGAATGAAGATGACTGTGGGGTTCCTACGAATCGCAATTTTGGGAGAATTTTGTCGAGTAATTTTCCCTGTTGCAGTTGAGCACACCATCATCCACTGGCACGCTGTCGGTTTCCTATTGTACAGTGTAGATATTCAGAAATCACCTCTCATGCGCAGGAATGCCAGATAGCTCGAACTTGCCGAACAAGTCGATCCTGGGGGTTCTTTGACAAAAATTTAACCATGGTTGGCGAAACTTCGGGAGCCAGTTTTCGCGTATATCGTTGATCGGGAGTGATAATGCGCATCTCTGCTGGGATGATCTCATCGCGATCCTTTGATCCAACTTGAATCCCGATGATGTTCGAATAGTGTAGTTCGCGACCCCAAGCCGTCTTGAAGTATTCCTGCACTCGCTGTGAGAAGAGCTGTTATGAATGCGATTCATATTGAAGCCTACCTTGACCGTGGTGTTCTCAAACTGGAAGTTGCCAGCACTAGCAACTAAGCCTCGAATCTTTTTGAGGCCCGGCTGGTGGACGAGCGTGTCCTTGAAAAAACTTTTTAATTGGTGGAACTGTGGCGAATCTGTGCGGAGCTCCAGTGCATGAACACCGTTCTGCTTTAGAACAGCAAGAGCGGCGTTCTGAAAGTTACCCTGCTTGAATCTGAGATTTACATGAGTGTTAATGCCGCGTAGTAATTGAGGTGGACTTGCTTACATGACCGCTGTCGACACATCAATGTTCACCAAAACCTTTCTGATGATATGGCGAACTTGAACACCCCTATTGTATGTTGGTCAAATGTGCGTCGCCAGAGAAACTGAGTTGATGATGTTCGGATGGGACCGCACTGGCAGAAAAACTATTATGAGTGTGATTCATATCGAAACCTACCTTAACTGTCACAGTGATGTTCTCGAACTGAAAGTTGCCAGCATTGGCAACCAAGCCTGAGTCCAGCGGATGTTGACATTAATATTATTCAACAACCTGAAGAGAGTATCGCCCCCTCGTGCTATGCAGTGCTCCGCGTCATTGCGTTAATGCACCAACATGTTACACAAAAATGTTGTTGCATATACCGTCACAGTTTCTACATATTCAGTCACTACTGATCATCTGAGATTATTCCAAGGCCAGCTTGAGGGACATGACGATGATTGTGTGGGGTTGCCCAATGTACCCGAGCACAGCTCAGTTAATCAGATCTGCAAAATGTTCAGGAATTGCTGGATTCGTGTCTGTACTTTGATTCAAGTCACCATCGCGTTCAGGCGGGGCAAACGCGACACGAGTTTCCTTCTTCATTATCTTTTAAAGCCACGCTCGCATATCATGAACCATTGCAGGCTGGGAAATCTCCAACGGCTATGCTTGGGACTGCGTAGCATCAAACAGAACCTCACAGGACGCCCAGTACATTAGTACATTCTGGAATTGACATCGTTACTAACGGACCTTGATATATACATACAATTCATGCCTAATAACAACCTACAAAATGTCAAGAGCAAATCATCTCGTCTGCAATTTACCCCCAAGTCAGCAACGAGTTTCGTTTATCTGTTAAACACATGCTTGGATATGAACCTGTATTTCTTCCTGATAGATTGAGTGCTCACACTAGTAAATCTCGATCCTTAAAGTTCTCTGATGGGTCAGCTGGTGATTGCGTGGCCCCAGCGCTGAGCACAATCGTGTTCTGAAATAGAATTATAATTGACACACAGCTATTTAAATGCATGGTGCTCACCAAAGCAAAGGTCTGAGTATCGCTTCTTGAGACCCTGTCCCGAAAGAGCAACCGACGATTCAACCTGTACGGCATCGGTAAGTTTCGTTGTCGGTTTATCATCTGTTCGTTTGGCAACTGACGAGGCTAACAAGGAGTTCCCTACGACTGCACCATACATGGGTCAATATATTTAATGTGAAGTATTCCATATCGTTACCATCAGGCCACAGTAACCATAACCCGATCCATGAAAAAACTGCGTCATTTCAGCTGTGGTAGAATGTGGGATATCAGCCTACTCACAGCCTGAGGGCAGCTGTTTCAGGTTTGGAAACTTGGGAAACTGGTTAGAGAATGCTCCACTTGGGGGGAGATATCGATGACGAAGCCCTCACCCACGTTGCCAATGTAAGAGCCATCAAACTAATCGGATTGTTGATGAAACCCCTTGTAAGCCATAAAAGAGTCAAATACCTAGTGACTAGACCAGTTTCTGAGTAGAGGCAATGTCAGGAGGGGGCAATCATCTGATGGAGGCGCTTCCTAATATCTCACCGATTGTCCATTTAATCAACCGGTCGATCATCGTAACCGTGCTATGGCAGATGTAAGAAACAACAACTTGGGGCGAGATGATGAATATGCATACCCTCCAATCCCAGAGTCTCGTTTCTTCTTTAAACTCCAGGCGATTCCAGCGGTGATGATCAAGTCGCAGGCTGCACGTGCGACAAAAGAGAGCTCAATCAGCAGCATCTGATTATTTCCAAAACCCGCAAGGTCCGTCATAGAAATTGCCCTTGCTGTGACAACGAACGTGGAAGTTTGTGCAATCAGGGAGAGCACTTGGCAAAGAATGGGCAAGAAGATATTTCCAGTCAACCTCCAAAGTCGAAAAGCGTAAAATGACTAATATCACTCGTAAGCACTCAATAATGAATATATTCACCTGGAAATCACTTACCTGCACAATAAATACTGTCAAACCGCTCAACGAAATGGCGAGGTCTGCCGCTAGAGGAAGCACCGTGAGTTGAGATGGGTCACCATAGGTACTGACAGTCATCGTCCACAACATCGATATTACACAAACAAAGTGGCCCAGCTGAATCAAGCTGCAGAATCTGTGTTGGTATTCGGAGGAATCAAGTCAAACATGGGGCGCACATGACTGCAGACACCTAACCGTATGGAGCGATCAGTCAACAGTGAATTGTGTAGTTGGTCGACTTACACTTGCTTTCAGGGCGAGATGATCGCTCCTGAATCTTGCAAAATACAGGTAGGACTGGCAGGCAAGGCAGCCGAATAACGCAGCACTCAACAGCCCACAGACTTGGATCGGTCCGATGACCAGGCTTACATTGAAATCGCTCGCTCGCTTGAAGCTATTCATCGTGCCTATACTTGAAGTTTTACAAGGTTATGAAAAACAGCCTGATCATTCAGATGCGTCTGGCTTACGAAAGTGTTAATTAGTTGGGGATACGAGAGACGGTCGAAAGTTGCGTCCACCAGAGCTGAAGGAAGTACAGAAGTACACCTCCATAATAGATCAGTACGAATGCATGATATAGCACCTGAGTCGGAGGAAAATGCTGGAAATTAATACAAACAAAACACAGCCTTCGCTGCGCGGTAATAAATCTGATGGCCTGTACTTGATCGAAGTGCGATGCAAGGTGGATTTACGGATATGGAGCGCACATGATTGGCAGACTGCAGATAATTATAGTAGGAGCAATCAATAACTTCGATCAACGATGCATCATGCGGACTCACAATTACTTTTAGGCCGAGGTGACCGCTCGTAAATCTTGCAAAATACAGATAGGGCAACCGAATAATGCAGCGGTCAGAAGCTCATCGACTTGGACCATTCAAGTTGGCCCGATGACCGAGCCTTTCCGCCGTTCACAGCAACTTCATCACCTGTGCCGTCCAGCTCTAGTAATATTCTGAAGTTTGCCCAATGAATACGTGGGCTTTCATTGGAACTAATCACAGGCCATCATGCCTTGCATCGAAATTGTTTGCCGAGCCTTCTAAGCTATTCATCATGGCCAGTGGGCCACACCGAGTTATGCAAGGTTATAGGAAACAGTTTGATCGTTGTGTCCAACTTACCAAGGCGTTTATTAGTTGAGGATGCGAAGAGCTTGAAGATCGGAAGTTGCGTCCACCTGGGCTGCGGAAAAGCAGAGATGCAGCTTCTCTAGGCTGCTATGGCTGATGCGTGAATACACAATGCAACGCGCTCGAGTCATTGGAGGCGAATAAGATGAACTTGGATATACAGCCCTGGTGATCGCCATCATGAATCTGATGTGCTTCAAGTTGAAGATTGATGCGAAGCTTGAGCAGCGCTATTTTCAGCGTTATCGTAAATCGACTGCCAATGGTTCCCAAAAATGGGTCTGGCCTGGAATTCACTTTTCGATATCTGTCAAGATACAACTATCGACGTCACTCTCGTACGTACTCTTCCTCATACGCAATCACTCTTCGTTACATGCGTTAGACACGTTCTCCTTTGATTCTCCGTCTCAATCAGCGTATTAATACAAGTCCTGAAGCATTAGCATAGTCATTGTTTCATCATTCTTGATGCACGTAGCCTGAGGGAAGTTACTTATGCCATGAAAAAAGCACAATGCCATGTTCCAGATTGCTCGAAAACACCTGAGCCAAAGTGGAGCATCAAAGGGGCTCAAGCGCTCAAGTGGAGTGTGCACATGGCGCCGACGCGAGTTGCTTCTGCGGGATCAAACGCTCCGTGCTTATAGTATGTAGACATACAATCCATGCCTAATAACAACCTACAAAATGTCAAGAGCAAATCATCTCGTCTTCTATTCACACCAAAATCAATAACGAGTTCCGTTTATCTGTTAAACACATGCTCGGATATGAACCTGCATTTGTTCCTGATCGAATTGAGTGCTCACACTTGTAAATCTCGATCATTGAAGTTCTCTGATGCTCTGGACTCTGCTTGTGGTTGCGTAGCTCCGGCTCTGAACACTGTCGTACACTGAAATAGAATTATAATTTACACGCAATTATTCAAGCGGTACTCACCAAACTACCACCATGACTCCGAGTATCGCTTCTTGGGGCCCTCCAAGTCTCCCGAAGGAGCGACCGTCGATTCAATCTGTATGTCACATCGATAAGTCTGTCGCATCTATCATTTTAAACACCGTTTGGCAACTGACGAGGCTAACAAGGAGTTCCCTACAACTGGGTGGTACGTGGGTCAATATGTTTAAGTCGAGGTATTTGAAGGTCATAACATTACCATTAGGCCACATCAACCATGCTCCGAACCACACAACTGCGTCGTTTCAGTCCTGGTTGTATACAATACCAACCCACTCACAGTTCTGCTTAAGGACTAGAAACTTGAAGCTAGTTAGAGAGGATGCTTCATTAAGAGATATGGTAAAGTCCTTACCAACACCATCACTGTAACAATCATCAAACTGACGGATCAATGATGGAAACAGCTCATGAAAGGTCATATACCTGGTGACCAGAGCAGTTTCTGCGTAGAGGTAACATTAAAACTCGTTAAAAAGGCGTTCATCCCATGGATGCGCTTCTCATCTTACCGATAGTCCAATAAATCAACCGGTCGATCATCGTTATCATGCTATGACTGGCAGATGTAAGAAATAGTAGGTGAGGTCACAGATAGTCATACTCCACTATAATGACAGAGTCTTGTTTCTTCTTTAAACACCATGCGATGCCAGCGGTGGTGATCCAATCACAAACAGCACGTGCAATGAAAGAGAACGCGATGAGCAGGCTCTGGCTTTCCTCAAAAGCCGTAAGGTTCGTCATAGAAATTGCTCTTGCTGCGAGAATCAGTGTCGAAGTTTGTGCAACCACGGAGAACGTTTGACAAAGAATGGGTAAGGAAACATTTCTAGCCAACTTCCATAGTCGAAATGCGTAAAATGACTGAAACTTACTCGTGAGGACTAAATAATCAATATACATTTGAAATCACTTGCCTGCACAATGAATACTGTAAAACTGCTTAACACAACAGCCAGGTCTGTCGCCAGAGGAAAAACACTCAGTTGAGACGGGTCGCCATAGGTGCTGACAGTCATTGTCCACAAAGTTGATATTACACAGATGAAGTGGCCCAGCTGAATCAAGCTGCAGAGCATGTGTCAATATTTGAAGGACAAGTCAGGTATGGAGCGCACATGACTGTGGATACCTGACCGTATGAAGTTCAATGAAGCAATTAATAACATCAACAATGCATCGTGCAATCGATCGACTCACAATTGCTTTTAGGCCCAGGTGATCGCTCGTGAATCTTGCAAAATACAAGTAGGACTGGCAAGCAAGGCAACCAAATAATGCAGCGCTCAGAAGCCCGCCGACTTGGACTGGTCCAATAACCAACCTTGCATTGAAATCGTTCGCCGAGCCTTCTGAGTCATTCATCATACCCACACTAAGATGTGCAAGGTTACAAAAAATAGTTTGATCGTTGTGTCCACCTGTATACCAAAGCGTTTATCAGTTAGAGATGCGAAGAGCTTAAAATTCGAAAGTTGCGCCCACCTGGACTGCAGAGAAGTAGAAATGCAGCTTTTCCATGGCTGATCCGTGAATACATATAGCAATGCGCTCAAGTCTCAATCACCGACGCGTCATCGGAGACGAACAATACAAACAAAGTTCATACATGACCCTTGCGACGAATCCAGTGTTCATGAAGATTGACATAAAGCTTGAGCTATTTTCAGCGTTCTTGGCAGCACGAATCTAGAATGATGAGTGTGCTTGATTGACGCGAGGTACACCACTTGTCGTGAATCAACTACCAATGGTTCTCAAAGATGCGCCCGGCCTGGAACTCACTTTTCGATATCATCGGAGATGCACAACTCGTGCAGTATTGATATGACTACTGTTTCATAGTTCTTAGTGCACATAGCCTGAGGATTAGATCAATCAAGGTGGCAGGGTAAAGATGTTTGGAACAATGACGAAAGTTTGACTTAATAACATGATCAATAAGCTTCAATAAGTATGCCAGGTCTCGCAATGTTTGTACTGTCCACTTAATTTAACGGACATCTTTTTTACACCGCTCCAGAATTTCAAGCAGCCCGCGCCTGCAAGTTGGGGAACACGGCGTCAATTCTAGAGAAGATCGGGAATGGAGTTTATCAGTGAGATCGTGCCAGGTGAAGCCGTATTGTCATGTCCGAGTCTAAGCCATGTGCGGGTGCTTTCCAAGCGCAGGAACCTCCAATTTGACACTAGATCTCAAGGAGATTGGGGCAAATGAGATGTCCCTGCCAGGTCATGATCCGTTGGAATCGTAGGAAATGCAAATGTTGGTTTAGGTCATCCTTTGGTGGTGACACCGTCACGTAGGTCCACCGTCTATTTGAACGGCATTTGCCGATGATATAACACCCCTAAGTACCAACCATCGAATCAAACCGCAAGGCGCGGCATTAGCAACTAAATTTGCGCACACCGGGGGATCTTACAGGCGTATCGTCAAACCAACGGTCAGAAAGTGAAGCGCTCGTTTAATTTCCGTCATCTACTACATCTACATCAAACATCATGATTGTTTTCATAGTATCGTTTCATCTGTGAAATAAGAATAAGCTGATGATCAAGGTACTTACTATGTGTTGTGCCTCACTAGCGTAGTCAGCCAATGAAAATTATTCATCGTTCGATACAACGAGCCTCAGAGCGAGTACAGGCGAACACTTGCAGTCTTGAGTATGCACCTGAGTTTCCTGCAGGCGCTGGAGGGAATTGAAGGTCAAACTTTCGCTCCATGGAGCGTTCGTGACAAAGGATTGGTCTGCATTTTCTTTGAGAATCTTGAATGCATCCAATGATTAACATATCCGAGTCGTAAATTGAACCTATCGAAATTTGAAATTCTCCGCCTTTCAGTGTCGCCCACTGGCGACAACACGTTTTTATCCACATAAGCCGGCATAACCGTATCCACTAGTATTATTAGCTCTACGCATAGCTCATACACAGCCTTCGTGAGCGCGATCATGAATCTGGCGTTTGTGAAGATTGATACAAAGCTTGAGCCATGTTCAGCGTTCTTCAAGTTGGCAACACGAATTTAGATCCTAGAATAATGAGCATACCTGACTAGTACTGGCACGAGGTACACCACTTGTCGTGAATTGACTGCAAATAATTCTCAAAGACGGGTCTAGCCTGCAACTTGAGGTCGTGCAGCATTAGTATAACTGTTGTTTTATGATTCTCGATGCACGTAGCCTGGGGATCAGATTGATCGAGGTGGCAGGATAAAGATGTTTGGAACAGTGACGAAGTTTGACTTGATCGTTGCGACATGACCAATACGCTTCAGTAAGTGGGCCAGGTCTTGCAATATATTCGTGCTGTCTACACCGCTTCAGATTGTCAAGCAGCTTGCACCTGCACTCTGCAGTACAGCGCGTCAATGATAGACTATTAGAGAGGATTGGGAATGGAATTTCACATGTACAGTTTACCATCGAGACAAAGATGCAGTGAGTCTGGTGCTCGAGTCGGGTTCCTGTGGAGTACGCACAATGCACATCTCTGCTTCTGTACGTAACACCCACTCAGAAACAATCATCTACTAACCGTCCCAGTTATCACCAAGCTTGGTCGTTTGAAAGCCATGGTAGTGATACATCCGCATCCAATGTTCACGAAGTGCTGGAGTTGTGCAGAAACGCCCACTTAAGTTGACATTACACCCAGTAGGCCCGCAGCCTCAGGACGTCTTGCATACGGGAACCGATATCATTATCAATAGACCTTAATACGACATCCATGCCTAACGCCAACCTACAAAGTGTGAGGAGCTTCAGCCCTGAATACAAGGGTATTCTGAAGCAGAATTAGAATTTGCATGCAGTTATTCAAATGGTGCTCACTATATCACTATGACTCTGGAGATCACGTCTCGAGGTGCTCCGAGTCTCCCGAAGGAGTAACCGCCGATTGAGCCTGAATGCCACACCGGTAAGCTCGTCACGTTTATCATTTGTTGAGTCCGTCTGGTGACTGACGAGGCTAACAAGGAGTTCCCTATAACTACACGATACGGAGGTCAATAAGTATATTGAATTTGAAGTATTCTATATCATTACCATTAGGCAACATTAACCATGCTCCAAACCACACGACTACATCATTTCAGCGGTGGTAAAATGCGGTACAAACACACTCACAGTTCTGCTTCAGGACTAGAAACTTGAAAGCTAGTTAGAGAGTGCTCCATTCGGAGGAAGATATAGGTGGTAAAGTCCTTACCAACACTGCCACTATAACGGCCATCAAACTAACAGAATCTTATTAATGGAAACACCTTATGAAACAGCTAAATACCTGGTGGCCAGACCAGTTTCTGTGTAGAAGTGGGTTAAAAAGGACGTCTACCTCATGAAGGCGTTTGATATCTTACCAATAGTCCAATAGATCAACCGGTCGATCGTCGTCGTCGTCGTCGTGCTATGATGAACATAAGGAATGGTAGGTGAGACGATGAATAATCATACCTTTCAAGTTTAGAGCCTCGTTTGTGGTATAAAGTCCAAGTAATGGCAGCGGTGGTGATTAAGTCACAAACCGCGCGTGCGACGAAAGAGAGCGTAATCAGCGAAATTTGACTGTTTTCAAAATCCGTGAGGTTTGTCATACCAAACGCTCTCGGTGAGAGAATGAGCGTGGAAATTTGTGCAACAACGGAGATCGTTTCGCAGAGAATAGGTAAGAAAATTTTTTCAGACAACTTCCAAAGTCGAAATGCGTAAAATGACTGGCATTACCCGTAAGCAACAAAGAATGGAATATTTTCGAAACAGCTTACCTGAACAATGAACGCTGTGAAGGCGCTTAATGGAATGGCCAAGTCTGCCGCCAGAGGGAGCACATCGAGTTGTGATGGGTCACCATAGGTGCTAACAGTCATTGTCCATAATGTTGATATCATGCAGACAAAGTGACCCAGTTGAATGAAGCTGCGGAGCGTGTCGGTATTTGAAGGAACCCAGTCAAACATAGAGCGCACAAGACTGTAGATACCTGATCGCAGAGGTGATCAATCAAATCAACACTGCATTGTGCAATTGACCAACTCACAACGGCTTTCAAGACGAGGCGATCATTTGTGAACTTTGCGAGATACACGTAGGACTGACAGGAAAGACAACCAAATAATGCAGCACTCAAAAGCCCACCGACTTGGATCGGCCCAATGACCAATCTTGCATCGAAATCATTGGCTGAGCGTTCTAAGATGTGCATTATGCCCACACTAAGTTATGCAATGTTATAAGAAACAGTCTGATCGTTGTATGCGACTTACGAAATCGTTGAGTATATGGAGATGCGAGGAGCCAGTAGAAAGAAGAAAGATACAGCAGAGTCGATGTGTGAATGTAAGAGCAGACAGTGCGCTTGACCTTCAGAGACACCGTCGGAAGCATGTTCGCCAAATGTTCGCAGGATGACAATATTATCCGATATCAACAGAACCAACGTCAACAAAGTTCGTACCCATGGCTGATTGGGATCAATCTCCGATGAAGTTCTATACATTGACATATCGCTGGGGATTGCCGTAGTACTATTTTCGGAGAGAGCTTTTGTAGCATGGATCTAGATAACTAGTAACAAGCTGGGCGGAGTAAGGTATACACTTTCAAATAGTCCTCTGAGCTCACGAACAGATTATAGAAGATGCCCAACTGGGATTTCGCTTTTGCAATACGCTCGACCTTGAAGATGACATGCTAACTCGCACAGTACGCTGTGCCCAGAAGGCTAAGAAGTAGTCACTGGTAGTATACAGGTGTCAAAAATAGAAAGGATTGGGAAACGGGCGGTTAACCACCACTAGTGCCAAATTTAAGCGGAGTCAGTCACACGCCTTTTAGAGCTATGTAGCCTCACATCGGCTGTAAGTTTTTCTCAGAACTATCCAACCTTGTGGATTTCACATTTGCAATATGCTCGGAGGTCTGGGTTATTTGCCTGAACATTGTTGCATATTCTTGGTGCACGTAGTAGAATGAGTTAGGTTTATGACCAGCTTTCCTGTAAATGCACCAATGCGTACTACTATAAACGAACACGCGGAGGTCACGATGGAGTTTCTGGAATGCGGGGACGAAAATGCGGTTGCGTTGTTGTGTGTGTCAGGTTGAGTCTGGTATTCGAGTCTCGAGTCGAGCTCCTGTGGAGCATGCACAATGCGCATCTCTGCCTCCACCTGTAGACTCCGTCAGATGCTAGACCTTCAGTGAGGCCGTTTGACCGTGATGATGATTGCCCGAGACAGTCGTGCGCTGTAATACATCCTTCAAGTGGTACCCAGGTGGGCCCGCAGCTTCAGGCCGCCAACTGGATCCGCATAGTGGATCCGACATCGTATCGATGGACTTTGACAGAGATCACGCCTGAAAGTCAAACCACAAAATGTGAAGAGCAAATCATCTCATCGCACATTCGCCCCATGGTCAGCAGCGAGTTTCATCATTTGTTGAACACATGCTCGCGTATGGACCATCACAGGCATGGAAACCTACATTTATTCCTGATCCATTGAGTGTTCTGCTTCTTGGGATACTTCAACGTCCCGGTTTTTGAGGTCCGCCAGTTGGTCTGTTTGTGATCGGATATTTCCAGTTCTGAACACAATCGCGTTCTAAAACAGAATTAACCTTTACATGCAGTTGGTCAAGTGATACTTACTAAAAAATTACTACGACTCTGGGCGATCCGAGTTTCTTGAAGGAGTAATCGCCGATTTAACCTGTGTGTTACATCAGTAAGTTCGTCGTGTTTCTTATTTATCAAATCCGTTCAGTGACTGACGAGGCTAACAAGGAGTTCCCTATGACTGTACGATACACGGGTCAGTATGTTGAATTTGGAGTATTTCATATCATTACCGTTAGGTAACATCAACCATGTTCCAAACCACACAACTGCGTCATTTTAGCTGTGGTAGAATGTGGTACAAACACACTCACAGTTATCCTTCAGGACTAGAAACTTGGGCTAGTTAGGTAGTGCTTCGTGTTGGGCGAGATTTAGGTGATGGGTCCTTACCAGCACTGCTACTATAATGGCCATCAAACTAACAGATCAATGATAGAAACATCTTATGAAACAGTTAAATACCTGGTGGCCAGACCAGTCTCTGTGTGGAGGCAACGTTAAAATGGCATTCCATGAAGGCGCTTTCTATCTTACCGATTGTCCAATAAATGAGCCGGTCGATCGTCGCGGTTGTCACGCTATGACAAATGTAAGGAATGGTAGACGAGACCATGTTAGTTGCACTTACTCTCCGATCTCAAAGCCTCGATTCTTTTTTTTTAAGCTCCAGACCGTGCCAGTGGTGGTTATCACGTCACAAACTGCACGTGCAATGAGAGAGAGCACAATCAGCAGGAGTTGATCGTCTTCAAAAGTCGTGAGGTCCGTCATAGAAAACGCATACGATGAGAGAATGAGCGTAGAAGTTTGTGCAATCACAGAGATGATCTCGCAAAGAATGGGTAAGAAAATATTTCGAGTCAACCTCCAAAGTCGAAATGCGCAAAATGACTGACATCACCCGTAAGCAACAAATAATGGAATATGTTCAAACCGCTTACCTGCACAATGAACGCTGTGAAACCGCTCAATGGTATGGCCAAGTCTGCCGCTAGAGGAAGCACCCCGAGTTGTGATGGGTCGCCATAGGTGCTAACAGTCATTGTCCACAATATTGATATTATACAGACAAAGTGACCCAGCTGAATGAAGCTGTGGAGTGCGTCAGTGTTTCAAGGCCCCAAGTCCAACAAGGAACACACATGACTGCAGAGACCTAATCGTATAGTGCGATCAATAAAATCAACAATGTGTTGTACAGTCGACTGACTCACAGCTGCTTTCAGGATGAGGGGATCGTTCGTGAATCTTGCAAAATACACGTAGGACTGATAGGAAAGACAACCGAATAATGCAGCGCTCAAAAGCCCACCGACTTGGATAGGCCCAATGACCAGCCTTGCATCGAAATCGTTGGTTGAGCGTCCCAAGTTATTCATCGTGCCTACACTGAATTATGCAAGATTATAGGAGTCTCATCATTGTATATAACTTACGAAAATGTACTAGATGTAGATGTGAGGAGCCAAACAAAATGGCACGGAGGGTCTAGAGAGTACTTGCGAAATTGAGTTTGAATCACCGAAGCAGATTCAGAGGACAATAATTATGATGAAGTTGATACGTACCTGTACACATGGCTTCTGCTGCGGCGTGGTCATGATGCATGAATCCTGTCCAATTGTGTTTGTAGCGCATTCACCCTATTGGCCATTTAGTGCCAAGAGATCTTTGCAAGACGAATCTAGAATTACGTGTGCACCGTGCACCACTCGTACTTTCTTACAATTCTCTGCCTTCCTTTTCAAAAATGCCCAGGCAGGATTTCCCTTTGCGATATGCTTGGAGATGTACAAGTCGACCTGATCATTATTTTCGGTGTACATCATGCGTGTGTTATCAGATCGATCAAAAGTCGTCTGTACAAACAAATTATAACAGTACAGCCTAGTTTGATGACTGCGAACACATATTATTAGCTAGCCAGTGTTGAACATTGAACTCGCACAGCATGTAGCTTCGCAGTTGCCTGATAGATTTCATGAGACACAATGGTTTGATAGGGTAAAGATGCTTCGGGCCATGAGCATCATCGAAACATGATTCGTAGCAAGTGGCCCGCTAGGTCTGCAAGTGCCTGTAGTGTCCGCTTCAGTAATTGCACGCGGCACGTCGCGTCAGATGGCCAGCTTGAAGCAGCTCGGCCAAGCCGGGCCAAAGATCATGGCCTGAGGTATGTACTGAAAAGCCAAAGCCGGCGAGGCCGCAGCTTTTTGTACTTAGTCAGCATGGTTAGCAACCAATCTGTTACCATCTCAGATTTGAACTGCCCTTGAGTGATTGGACTACGTCCTTATAACAAGCTATGTCGGAAAACGGTACCGATGAGTCGCGACATCCGCGCAACATCATAACTTACTTTTGTGTCATAGGTGCATTTGTTATTAGCAATTTGTTTGCCTTTCAAGTCTCTGAGTTAGCTGTGCTTCGCAACTCCCTTGCCACACCCTCGCCACACAAACCTTGGAGTGGTTGCGCATGAGTGAGTTTTTCTGCGCTAGAGTCCGAATGATCCACCATGTCGAAGGCTGTTGAAGGCCGTTTGCTCATTAGACAGACTGGTCACGAGTCTAACCTTGAGCAAAAATTGAAAAGTTGCACTCCTCAGCAAGCGTACACACATCTAACGTTCAAGAATTAATATTAGTGTACTGTAACGCATCCCTCAAGTGAACATTGTCCGCAGACTCATGATTTCTCGTAGATCCGCATATTGGAACAGATATCGTCATGAAGCCACTCACGCCTAATGTGAACCTACACTGCCCGATACTCAGCAACGAGTCTCGTGGTCTGCATATGGATCACCACAGGCTTGGAAACCTGCCCGTATTACTGGTCGGTTGAGCCTTCTACTAGTTGGAACATTTCAACGTCTAGGTTCCTGAAGTTCTCCAGTGGGACTGCTTGTGATTGCGTAGCTCCAGCTCTGAACATAATCGCGTTCTGAAACAGAATAAGAAATCCAATGCAGGTATTCAGAAGGCGCTCACCAAATCACCACGACTCCGGGCATCGCCCCTCCAACCCTCCCGAAGAAGCAACCGCCGATTTAACCTGTATGTCATATCGATAAGTTCACCGTGTTTATCATTTGCCGAGTCCGTTTGGCGACTGACGAGGTTAACAAGGAGTTCCCTACAACTGCACAATGTTCGGGTCAATATAGTAAATTTTGAGGTATTCCATATCATCACCATTAGGCCACATCAACCATACACCAAACCACACATCTACGTCATTTCAGCTGCGGTAGAATGCGGGGTACCAACATGCTCACAGTTCTGCTTCACGACTAGAAACTTGAAGCTAGTTACAGAACGCTCTGGAAGATATAGGTGGTTAAGCTCTTACCCATGTCGCCAACGCAGTGGCCATCAGACTGATGAATCGTTGGTGGAAACACTTTATAAGCCATAAAAGAACTAGATACCTGGTGATCAGCCCAGTTTCTGTGTAGGGACGATGTTAAAAAGCGCATCCATCCGATGAAGACACTGCTTATCTTACCGATTGTCCACCAAACCAACCGGTCAATCATCGTCGCCATGCTATGAGTCATGACAAATGTAAGCTGATGTGAGAAATGAGGGGTGAACAGTCATACTCCTTGATGCCAGAGCATCGTTTTCTTCTTCTTAAACTCCACACGGTGCCAGCGGTGGTGACCATGTCACAGGCTGCGCGTACGATGAAAAGAATCGCAATCAGTAAAAATTGAAGGTCTCCAAAAGTTATGAGGTCCGTCGTTGAGGTCGCCGTTACTGCGAGAATCAGTGTCAAAATCTGTGCGCCCACGGCGAGTATCCCGCAAAGAATGGGTATTAAAACATTTCTCGTGAGCTTCCAAAGTCGAAATATGTAAAACGACTGGTATTACCCATCAGCACCAAAAAATGAAATCACGAAAGTTGTAAATCACTTGCCTGTACAATGAATACCGTAGATCCGCTCAATGGAATAGCCACGATTATCGCTACAGGAAGCGCCATGAGTTGAGATGGGTCACCATAACTACTGACAGTCATTGTCCACAATGTCGATATTATGCAGACGAAGTGGCTCAGTTGAAGCAAGCTATAAAACACATGAATATTTGAGCAATGAAGGAACCAAATCAAACATGAAGCGCACATGACTGCAGATATCTAACAGTATGAAGCGATCATTAAAATCAACAATGAATTATACAATTAACCGACTCACAGTTACTTTAAGGGCAAAGTGATCACTTGTGAATCTCGCGAAATACACGTAGGACTGGCATGCAAGGCAACCAAATAGTACGGCACTCAAGAGCCCACAGACTTGAGTTGGACCAATGACCAGCCTTGGATCGAAATTGTTTGCTGGGTCTTCTAAGCTATTCGTTGTACCCATACGAAGTTACGCAAGGTTATAGAGAATAGTCCGATCGTTGTGTCCGGCCTTAATAAAAGTGGTGATTGGTGGGGGATGCGAGAAGCCTGTTGGAATTCACGGAAAGGTCAAGGTTGTACCCACCACGCCTGCGGAGGGACAGAGATGCAGCATTCTTATAGCTGGTGCGCGAGTACATATAATGACGCGCTTTGAGCTTAAGTCGCCGAAGCGTTCTTGCAGGAAACGATATTTGATGATGAGGATAAAGTTCATCGAATCGGAAATGGTTCTCAAAGGTGCCCGGCCTGTGTTTCACTTTCAATGCGCTATGCTCGGAGACGCATGACTCGTGATCAAAGTCGTCTGTACGGCTGAGAAAAATTGTTAGGTCGCTAAGGCATTGAAGTCGTGGAGTGGTGACCTACTTGATGGCCGAGTATGAGATAGATGTCCGAAGTCCGAAGTTGACAAGGTAAACCCACTCCAATCGAACTTCAATCTTCATCTTCTGCGCGCCGCGCCAGATGGCGAACCTGAAGCAGCCCGAACTCGCACGGTGTCGGAAATAGATGGACAGGAATCGAGTTGTAGGCAGTTAGATAGATAGCACCCTCTCAAGTACGACTCTGTCGGTCATGCCACAACCGAATGACTCGATGAATCATGATGAGTCGACGGTCAAGATGCTACTTCAGGAACCCCTTTGACGTTACGGGTTTTGCCGAAGGTCCTGGATAGAGTAGGCAAGCGCCAAGTCTGTATGTAATTACAAGCTCTTTGTCCCATGACCATTTGGACTGAATACTTTTCTTTGACCACCTTGCATCATTCAATGCCTTTCAACCTATTAACTGCCTTTGTCTACCAGTGACACAACTGCAATCTCTTTTACATCAGTACGCGCAGATCATCTCTTCGAGTTCTTACCATTGTTATATCAGTGCTGCAGGCATATATAAGCGTATCAATTGACCGTTATCAATTCTAACAACAACAACATGTCCGAGTCGATTTTTGGCTCTCCATCTCACCTTTTGACTGCCGAGTTTGCACCTGAGTCAGCGCAAACTGGCAATGGGATCCGTATGCCAGCCCCTGTTCACCAACCGCCACCTAGTTTTACAGATCTCCAATTCGGTACCATCGGAAAACCGCCTGATTTACTCAGTCGCATTTCTGCGCCAGATCCAGGCCAAATGTCCTTTCGTTCTCCCTCACCGGCAACGTTCAACCATCTTCCACCCCCAGTAACCACCCGTGCCCCAGTTCCAAATTCGTGAAAGCTGGCTGAGCGGATTCAAATGGATCATTCACAACCCAACCCGTCAGCAAAATTCCATCCAACATGTGAACTGCCCCCTGCACCACAGATAAATCGCAACCCTCACGTTCCTGCAAACCCTGATTTAATTCCTCCAATCAAGGTTCTCCCGACTCCTTCCGAGTCAAACATGTTGCAAATGCAAGCCCCAGCAAATTCTGCCGTCAACAAAGTCAGAGAGGCATTAACACCTGAACTCGTCTATCCCGCCTCATTTCTTGTAACTCCGACCGCTGAACAATCCAATGGTGGCATTTCGTCATCGTCTGATCCGTCTGGGTCCCCGAAACCACATTCTTCCACAGGATTCTTTCCTCAACCAACCCAGAGTTCACCCTCGTCGATGCCATCAGCATCTCTTCTTCCGAATTCTAAAACGACTGGGACCAACTCAAGCCAAGTTCCAGACGTTGCGCAGCCTGAACCATCTCAAGGGCAGGTTGCACAAGACTCATTGTCCGCTTTATATGTCAGGCTTCTAGAAAAGAGCAAAGCTTTATCCGTTGCCCCTCCTACATCGCTTCTCGGGACCCCATCCCCATTTGCACCGCCTTCGAATATACCCGAGTTAGCTGCCGGCCTTCACAATGAAACGAATGCGGAGGAGCTTGGTGCCATTGTTCTTCGACACCCGTATCCTCAGAGCAGTTTCACTTCAAACGGTCCCCTGGATCAAGAAATGTTACCAGCTGATGATGGTAATGCCCTTGCTCTGACGAGTTTGCAATCTTCGAATATGTTGACCTCGCAGAACACCGGCATTGAGTCGTTTGTCGAAGCCACGAAGAAGTTCCTATCCGTCGCCGAGGGTGCTGTCAAACAACAGCTTGATACGAACCAAGCATTTGAGGCAGAGCACATTGACTTCGATACATGCCGAAAGGCGTTCAAGGAGCACATGCTCGTGAAGGAAGTGGAATACAATTCTTGGATACAAATGTTGCGGAAGCAGCGGGAGGAGTTGCGCACCAGGGAGGAGAGACTCGTGGTGCTGGAGGAGGAATCGTGACTCCGGGAGGAGATGAGGCACGCTCGAGATGCTCAACGCCATGCACGAGACGATCAGTGAAAGTTGGAGGACGAGTCAAAACGGACAGCCATGCAGGAAGAGATTGCTGAAACAATGAAGCTTCTCGAAGAAGTAAAGGCTGAGAAGACACAGTGGGAGGCAGAGAAAAAGTGTGCCGAGAGAGAAAGGACTCTGGCTCAAAACAACGCAGCGCCACTCCAGCTTTCCGCTGATATCGAGCCTCGTGTCAAGAAGGAGGATGGTATGACTGAAGAAGAGGTTAAGGCGGTCGATGACCACAACAACTCTTTGGTTTACCAACACAAGTTGACTGAGAATCTGAAAAAGCAAATCGTCTGGACTCGTCAATCTTCCGATACGCTCCAGCATATGAAGGAGACACGTTTGCAGGCCGCTGAAGCAGAGCGTCGGCGGGTCGAAGAGGAAGCAGAGAAGCAGAGGGTCCAGGCCGAAGAGGCTGCAAAACGGGCTGATGAAGAACAAAAACTGTGACACAGACAGTTCCTCGCTCAGCAGACCAGTTCGGAAAAGGTAGCTCGCATCCGCGCTGAGCGTGCCGGACACTTGGTGGTTTCCACGACTGATGGTGGCAACGTGGAAGGTATGAATGTGGAGGTAGAGGTCGATGAATTAGCATCGCCGCTCGAACGTACTGTGCTGTTGCCGGGTCAAAAAGGCATCGCGTCAAAGAAGCCTGCTTCGTGAACAAAGAAGACCTCTCGTTCTCAGGGAACTTCAGGCAACGTTATGCTTGGTGCACCGTCAACCTCTGATGGTCCCCCTTCATCATCAATGTCGACACCTACATCATCAACTGCCCCAGCTTCCTCTAAAACACCCTCGTTTGTGTCGGCTTCCACTGACGTCGGGAGACAGGTGATTACAGATGCACCTTTGTTTTCAACTCAAATGGCTTCTGAGTTCTCTTTGCATTTGTCCGTTTCTCCCCCACCAAATGGGCCATTGCCAACTTCCAAAAAAATCACATTGCCCAGTACTCCCAAGTCACGTACCATCCTCGGTAGTGATGCCAATGAGTGGACTGAATGGGCTGTCAGTCAGCAGGTCAATCTTTCACCAGCTCAGAGAGACGTGAATTTGTGACACATCAAGAAGAACAGACATCGCGTCAAGAAGAGTGCCACTGGAGATCGGAGCGTGAAGTAACCTAACAACTCGCTTCCTATGAGGACGATTAAAACAGAAGAAGTGGTGGTCAAGTCGCATGATCAAGAATGGATTAGCAGTCTCCCCGAGGAAGGAGCATCCGAGTGATCTACGGATGCCATGGTTCACACTCCAAATGACAACCTGCCGTCCAAAATTTCGAACATCAATGCTTCTCAAATGAATGATATCCCTCAGACTTCCGTCGAACTCATCATCAGTCAAGCGCCAAGTGCATCTTTGCGCTCCGATGCTCGAGTTGGTTCAACAGATACATCAGCGTCCGTGACAGGCCTCGCACCAATTCAACACAGCCCAGATCCCTGGGTCATGGATGCCTCTGTGGCCCGTCAGGAATGGACTCCAGATGCTATATCCCCTCATTCTGAACCATCGGAATCTGTCTCTCATTACGATCCCAACCAATGCTCTCGACAGAATTCTCAGATTAGTGGACAAACTATATCCCCGGAACCCCCAGGTTTCACCCGTAGTAATGGTACCAGCAGCGAGTCTCGTAGTCAGTGTCAGCAATGGGCTCCTCGTTATTCGGACCATTATTCTCCCCCTCCTACATCTGCAACATCATCTCATCATCGGCACCTCGAACAGAACGAGGCCAGAGCTTACAGGCTTCCCATTCCTCCCCGTCCAACTTCGCCGATGAACAGTGGCAGAAAGAGGCCAGCGGAGCACGACAACGAAGATGACAATCGTGATCGCCGTCAACCACGAGGCGATCATTATGTACCAGAATGAGACTATCGGAATCCTCGTGGACTTGCCCGTCGCTCCCCTGCTACAGAAACGGAGTGGCGAAGGGGTCGTTCTATTTCACCAGAGCTGCACAGCTCAATTCTTGATCGACTACGGTCACCCTCACCCTCCTGTCAAATTAGGCCGTACATTGACAGAGATGCACTTGATAGGCGTGGGCGGAATGAGGGCGGTTACAGACCAGATTACCCCAACACCGCGGATGTCCAGCGTCCCTCCGATTCGGGATACAGCGTGGAAGAGCATTCCACTCGCTGTGAAGAGCGCGATCCTCGTGGCGACGAGCCCTCACTTCTAGGGCAAATTTCAGTAGGTTCTCTGCATAGGGCCTGAAGTAAGGAGCTAACACATTTCTAGACTCCAGGAGGACGTGGAAACACCAACCGCGGTTGGGGGCGCGGTAAAGGTGATATTGGGAGAGGAAGAGGTGGTGCCAGTGGCTGAGGTCGATCACAACAGCCTTTGCCGCCGAGGCCCTTGGAGAGACGCATCGCGAAGTAGGGTGGAACCCTGGCATCCATAAGGTTTGATGTTTTTCTCAAGTTTATCCCTCCATATCCTGCAGTCATCTCATGTTCTCCATGCTATATGCCATTCTTTCATGTTTGTCTAGTGTTGCCGCTGAGGCGAATCGAATCGAGGCGGAAAATTCTGGTCAATCGACACAGTTTGGACTAATGAGTTGAAACAAAGTGTACCTCATTCACCTTGCGACGTGAAAACAAGTTCAGGAGTGATACGAACCGGTAGTCCAACCAATGAGAAGCTAGGGATTCTGCGTGCCAATGACGATTGTTTGCAAGATACTAGTACACCACCAGTAGATATCTTATATTGTAAGGACGGAGTGATTTCCAATATGGCGTCGACGCCATGTGCGCACTCCACCTCTGCTGTTTTCGTTCTCTGCTTGCTCAGAGTCAACTGCGGCACTTTGCGTCATGTGCCTCTTGATAACTCATTCGCTCCACTCATGCCCCTTTGTGTCGCTGTTGACCGTCTCGTGTCTCCAACCCCTTTGTCTCACTATCCACCTCATATGGGTACTCTCTTCCAGCCCCTTTCACACTCGGCTCACACTTTTATGCACTTGCACTGTTAACTCCCACCCACGAATGCCTCGAGCAACCAAAGCTGCACGTCATTCAAAAAAAGATTGCATGGAGACAACAATCAGACAAGATAGCTCGTGTTGACACTGCCTCTGCGGAGCGGTGAAGTTTTTTATCTCTGCAGTCTTCTGCTGCACAAGAGCGCAACCTCTTTTACAGACCTGCATACAATCAATGGACACGTCTTCGACACTTTCCATGAAGCAGCAAGTGACCTTGGCCTCTTCAACAATCTTCAAGAAGGATTTCTCACCTTGCAGGAAGCGGTGGACTCGCTCAGAACACCTTCCCAACTCCGTTTTCTATTCGCTCAAATCCTACTTGAAGGTTATCCAGCCACGCCTCTTTGGGAAAAGTTCAAAGATGCTCTCTCACTAGATCATGTCGTGCGTCTCGCAAACGATGTCAATGGTCAAAACTTCGCGCTGCAGCAGATCGACGATATTCTCTCACACAACGGAAGGCACCTTGACCACTTCAGAATTTACTTGCCACAAAGACGGACGGCAGAGTTGCTGAGCGAAGATCACTTTCTCACTGCAAACCAAGCAACTTTTGAGGCCGAACGAGATAACATGTGCGCGTCTCTCAATCCAGAACAACGCCACATATTCGATGTTATTTGTGATGGAATCGACAGCAGAAGAGACGCCACTTTCTTCATAGAAGGTCGACCTGGACATGGCAAAATGTTCATGATTAATGCCCTATCTTCCACCCTCAGAGCTGCAGGACACATCGTGCTCATCGTTGGCAGCAGTGCTCTCTATGCAACAGCATACAGACGAGGATGGACGGCTCACTATATGTTTGGAATTCCTGTCACTGATGAAAGCACGGACCTCCATTCAAACATCCACCCATTCTCGCCAAGGGCCTGATCTCATTCGCAACACCACTGTTATCATCTGGGATGAACTGCCCATGGCAAACAAGGCAGCTTGGGAGTGCGTGCACCAACTTTGCTGCTGAATCATGAATGTATACAATAAGCCTTTCGGAGGCATTCCCATCATAGGGTTGGGAGACTTTCAGCAAGTAGGTCCAGTAGTCAATGGAGCGGGAGAGCACACATCACTTGCAGCATCAGTCAAATCTTCACACCTGTGGAAACACATGCATATTTTCAGTCTCATGACTCCTGTTCGATCCTTTGCAGATACGGAGTACACCACATTTGTCGATGAAATCAGAGAAGACGTATCTGGTGAGCATCGTTCCCTCGACATCATCGAAGACGTGGCTGATGTTAACGACGCCGTACAATTCCTTTTTCCACCTCACATTCTCCTCAAACTGCAAGAGTGTACTCAACGAGCTTTCCTATCTCCACTCAACAGTCTTCAGTCGACAATTTCAATGATGTCGTTCTGGATGCTTTGCCGGGAGATTTCGGTGAGAATCTCATTATGTTCGTTCTCTCCCTCAGCTGTCATGCATGGTATGTGACTCATACCATGACATATACATAGCAGGAGTAATAAGGAAGGTATAATACACCAGACTGTATCTTATCACCAAGTTACCCCATCATTTTTCCTTAGTTATTAGCTAGTATTTTCACTTTCAAAACTTCACTTCCATTTTTTTTCCATGTATTTCTATTTTGTTCCATGAGATTCTATCTCTTTCCATTTTTCTAGGCATATTTATTCATCAGACTTCCTCTCCAGCCACAAAGCATGTTTGTAAGCTTGTCATGTGACTGGTTAATAATCTGATTTGTAAGGATTCAACTTGACTCATCATGTTTTTGTCATGATTCGTCATGCTTTGTAAGACTTGCAAGTGTATCTATAAGCTACTTAGTAAGAAGGCTGATTCAGCTCACTCAAAAGATTGGATTGTAAGCATGTTCTTACCAATCCTTGGGATGACTCATGTCTTTTATTCATCTTTCTTTGTAATATTACATTGTATTAATAAGCTAGTTAGTAAACAAGCTGACTCAACACACCAAAAGGATTGATTTGTAAGAATGTTCTTACCAATCCATGTGCTGAATCATGCTTAGTAAGATGGCCTCCAAAAAGGTATAAAAGGAGCCCATTTTGCCACTGTCAATCTAGACTTCCCACTTTAAAACCCTGTTCTCAAATCAAGTGAGATTACCTAAGAAATAAAGTGCAGGCAAAACTAGTGCCTTGAAGTAAGACTAAGAAACATCCATCTGAGTTATATACTACCTTACAGGGGTTGACTATATAACAAACTAACCTACTAAACTTAAACTAAACTTCACACATACAAATAACCTCTCTCTTTCACAGGAAGGGAGAATCAAGCTAAGAGAACTATTTCACACTGAGGCAAACTTTCATAGGGTGAAATAAACCTATTTAATTGACAAAGACCTCAAAACAAACCTACAGAGAGAAAGCAAGAAGGGGACATTTTTAAGTAAACCCTCCCAAGAACTCACACAGTTATCTACCACAAAAACTAGAAAAGTCGTAGACCATGTACTTAAGGACTGGCAAGAAGTCTTATCCTATATAGTTGTGCTGTCACTATATACGTGTTGTATATAAGACCCTTAAGTAAGAGGACATCGCATCTTCACGAAAGACATAGAATCATATTTCAGTTCAGATGTTTTAAAAGAGGCTGATCAAGCTCCTCCAGATGCTCCTGAGCAAACACCTGATTACCTTGCAATGCTAACACACCCCAATACACCTCCGCATCGCCTCGACCTCAAAGTAAATGTGATATGCGCAGTGCAATGCAACATGTCGGTGGACAAAGGATTGGTACGGAATGCGCGTGTCCAAATCACTGCGCTGCACAACCACTTTGTCAAAGTGCAAATTCCAGCGATGGGCGAAATTCACTGTCTGCCTCGCATCACTTTCTCATTCAATCCTGCTCGATCGAGTTGGACTGTGAATCGGAAACAATTTCCACTCCGTCCTGCATACGCAACCACTTTCAATGGGTCACAAGGTCTGACGCTGCAACGCGCTGTTGTCGATGTACGGACTGATGGCTTTGCACACGGTCAATTATACATGGCACTGTCGAGAGTACGACATCGACAGGATATTCAGACATTGTGGTCAGAGGCAGATGAGGAGAGAGAGACTGAGAATGTTGTTTATGCTTCGTTACTATTGTAGTAAAGTGAATGCAAAGTCCATCTGTCTGCAGGTGAGCGGTTCACTTGTACTAATTATAATCAATGTCCCTTGCATTCTGGAGCAACTCGTCAAGCTCGCGAAGATTCCCAGCAGCCATCAGCTCATCAACTGCTCTGGGAGTCTCAGGTCCGGATACTGTGTAGTCCCACTCATAAGCCACCAGATCCTCTAAAATTGAGGCGGTCTTGCTTGTACATAAACTTCGGGACTTGTAGTGCTTCAAATGTGGTTGGAGATAAGTTGACACGCCGTAGGATGCATGTCTCTTTGCTGGATGAAAATATGCGCTCGGAAGGCACATATCAAACTTGAGGCAGGACACTCATAGTGACGCGGAAATGTACAGTCTCTCTGCTAACATTATATCTGTCAATCCTATGAATTGCAGACAATATATCACATACCTCCCAAGAATGAACGAGCCAATTACACCAAAGGCAGTTACTACACACTGATGGTAGAACTAGCAAAACAGGACAAAGAACCAAAAGAACATGATCACACGACCTGGGACGGACCCTAACCCTATTCATTATGAACAGGATTAGCGAACATGACAGGGTAAGAGGTGGGGTAAAGAGACAAAGTGTGAATGAGCAACGCGTCTTCTGTAGCATTTGATCTAAGGTGTCAGTTGGCCGACTACATCTCTGCCCATGCACAAGCCAACCACAAGCACATCATACCAGAATAGTTAAATCAAACGCTGAAATTGGTGCACTATGAATTAGGTAGCATGATCATGGTATTGATGCAATGGGGCATTCAGGTGCCCGAACCATAGGAACCCATACCAAATCTTTCCTATCAAAATCACAAGCTCGCCCATGTGAAATGCGCTATCAGGGACGAGAAGAAGAACAAGTTTGATGGTGTGGATGCTGATGACATTGAGGTGAGCGATCCCAAAACCAAGCGGTCGCAATGGCAAAGGACATGCCAACATCACGGATAATGCTTCTGCGGAGTACGGGGGGTGGGGCAGCGAAGGTGGGTGGAGAGTGGACAGAACCCGTGTGTTCAAGTTGGGCTGAGAGCTCAGCAGATGCAGTGGTTTCGGATCTGAAATGTACTTGGTGATTAATGGTCACTGCAGGTTCTTGTTTCACAAGGTCCTCAGTATACGTACTTCTCAGAGTAGACATGGCTCCATCGGTGCAGGCGTTCATGAAATCGATGAACGTCGTAAAATATCGTCCCCGTCATCAAGAATCTCCGTTGGTTCCTGTGAAGGAGGGCTGTTTTTCTTGGTCCTGGACTCCTAGACATGATGTCTCCGATTCTGGCTGTAAAGGTAAACACACAGACGAACCCTCTGGGGAGGACAGCAGGGGCGAGGATCCATTCTCTGCTGAAGGATATAGGGCTGTGAGCATTGGGGGCGGTGGCTTCTTCATCTCGAAAGAGAGAATCTGCAGGTGTTTGTTCGCGGGAGTCTTCAGTGCGGAGATCTTCATACTGGTCTAAGCAATCAGCATTGAGCACACTACCAAGTCACAGGGTGACGAGAAGCTGTTCAACCTCTGATTGAGACCTGCAGACGGACAATAAGACAGGGAATACCGACCGGCAGAATCTAGCATGAGTCACCAGGTCCGCCATGGTCATACATTTTCAAACCAAATCAAGTCCACTCGATCGCCAGCTGAAGTTGATTACGCATCACAACAGTTGACTTGTTGACGTGTTGTTTGGTTGCTTACATATGTAATACCCTTCCGTCCAAGTGTCTGTCGTCAATTTGTAGGTGATTAGTACTACTGTTAAGACCGTACTCAAGTAGTATCGGATCCGAAGGGCTTCGGCCTCAGCTCGTGCGCTGTGCCCCTTTCCCGAGTCTTGCCCCTTATTTCAGAGAGCTAAAGTATCGCGTCTAGTGAGATGGATAAGTCTCGTAACGGTTAAGTCTTGTATTGCAACGGATAAGTATTGCAATGGATCCGTTAAGACTTCCGGATATCGAACGTATAGAGTAACGGCTAATCCAGATCGGATCCGGACTAGAAACTAACGGGTGAGGACTGTCCGAAGACAGAGGTGGATATGTAGACTATAGGAATCTATCCTAAGTCTCGGAGTAGACAAGAGTATCGTACTCAAGTCCGGACGGATAACGGAGGGACTTAGAGTCCAGACGGAATGAGTGCAATCTAAGATGATATTCGAACTGATCTACTACAGCGCATATACAAAGGTTTATATACTACGGATAGCTAACGGAATGATCAATAAGCAAAGGTGCGAGGCTATGTACGAAAGTATAAGCAAAGTCTAAGTGGAGTGTATTGGTAAGTTGGATGGATCACGAATCATGAACCGGGAATGAAGTACAAGTAAAAGCGGATTCGTAAGTGTAGCGGATCAGTAAGCATAGCGGATCAGTAAGCAAAGCGGAAGTAAAGGATAACCGGTATACCGGTGTACAGGAATACCGAAAGGAGATGAACGATAGTTAGAGTTATATGAACAGGAAATGAAATAAGAATCAAAGCGGATCTGTGGACTGGACGACGGATATGTTCATCGGATCTGGATCGGATCTGAGATCCAGATCATCGGATCTGTAACCGGATATATGGTATATGACAACTACATAGTACTCAGCTGCAGTACTCATGCCCCTGATCCCCAGTGAAAACTGACTGTGACGGGAGGAGTCATCACATGCTTAGAAGTGATTTTCCTTTTTAGTTACATGTTCGGATATGCTCGTTTATCATAATCTGACTCTTTGCACACGTCGTGCTTGCAACATTGCATTGGAAAGTGTTAACTTCGTGTATTTCCCTTTGTTCCCTTTGTTCTCTTTGCTTTGCTTCTCTCGCAAATTCCATATCGCAAAGTGCAAACTATGCATCGCAAACACAAACTTTGCATCACAAAGTCCATTATTATATCTGAGTCCAAGTCATTGCAAGCTACATAAATTGCTTGCCCCACCTGTCTTCCTCCGTGTACTTCCTTCCTGCACCTTTCTTCCTCCATCCCCACCTTTTCCTCTCCCCACCATCTTCCCACCTCCAAGTTAAAGGTCCAGCCACTCTCCTCCACTGGTTCTGTGTTGTGAGTGTCTCATGTGATTGTCTATCCGAAGGTATGATTACACTAACCACACGAGTTTAGGACAGCGTAGCCTGTGTCACAGGGATCCTACTGTACTGGGACAGTGTAAGGCTGCAGTATGTCATAATATCATTTTCACGCGCATATCACCTTGCTCTGCAAGGTCATGTTCAAATGTCAGTTTTTATGTGATTATGTATTAATCCACGTGACTTTCCCGCCACATCGTTTTGAATTCCAGCATCTGTTGATGATTTTACAAATGTAATTTCAGATAACTCTGAATCATGTGACCAGCGCAAATTTCGATAAACTCGCCACATCCTTTTGATACACTATGCGCTGTGAATGGCGATGACCTTGCTTTATTCACAATCATTATCACCACCCGCATAAATGGCGACTTTCTACGAATTCTGTGCAGCCCTCTAAAGTACTGTTTTTATCACAGCGGATTCCAGCATCTGTTGATGATCTTACAAATGTAATTTCGGATAACTCTGAATCATATCACCAGCGCAAATTTTGTTTCGAACCTCATCTTTCTCATCTGCATGGTACTTGCCCACGGCATCACTGCTTCTAATTTACACTTGTGCTTTATTCGACAACCTTAGCTCTCTTCCTTTTTCTTCGTCCTCCATAATGCTACGCAAGTTTAATGTCAGCCAATTCACACTGCGAATGTGCGTTTGACTGACCTTTTCAAGAGGTAGGTTGTCAGTGAAATGTCCTTGTTCTCCATGTTGACCAGTTCTTTTCCATCCCCTTTTGCAAATTTCAGGAAAAGCACATTACCATTCTGCTGGTCATAACGTCCTTTCCTCGTGTTGATTCTGTGTAGATGGGCGTTTGGACTCGGCCATGAATTTCAACATTCTATGAATAGCATGTAGGTATGGTCGAGTGCTGTTTTTGTGTTAGGGATTTCTTGATAAGTTTTGTGGTAGCAGCTGCAGCAGGCCATGTATGGTCCACAGTCCCATTTGTTGACCCAATAATTCACCTCGAGGTCACCTAAAACATGGAACTCAGCTGTTCCATCTTTCAGTGGGATGTTAACCACGAAGGGCCGTAAACTGTTTGTAGGGAACAATATTCCTTTAAATGTGCAGTGGTAGGTCTGTTGCAATTAGATTAGACTATTCCTCAGTGACCTATAGAGCTTTCATACGCACTGGTTTGTGGTCTGCGATATTTTTCATCTGATTGCAAATTTCTGCAGGTGTTGCTGGCGTGCGGTTAGGTGGCACCGGACTATTTTCAGAAGTAATCTCGATGCAGAACTCACATGCCGGATTCTGGCAATGTTTTGCCAAGTGCCATTCTAAATCACTCTTGCAAAGTAGTATCTTGACATTGTATTGTACATCCCAGTTCATAGCAAAGTATTGGTCAATGTTATTGGATTGTCGCCAAAGTGCAGGACAGTTTGATGCGCAAGAACGTCCAAGGAATTCAGTTGAAGACTCTAGCTGAAATAGGCAGTTACGCTGTCTTAATAACCGAGGGTCTTATATAAATACGTGTAAGAATGTAATGACACCACAATTACACTGGATAAGACTTCTTGCCAGTCCTCGATTAACACGGTCTACGACTTTTCTTCTTTTGTGGTAGATAATGTGTGAGTTCTTGGGAGGCTCGCTAAACCAATCAGTTAGATTAACTTAGCCAGAGCTTTATTATCTCTGATTGAAACTATGGGATTGTCTAGGATATACCGTCTAGACACTTGAACTGGTTTTCTGAATATACGGTTAACTGTTGAGAAGCTGGTCTCAAATGTGACTACGTGGACCAAAGCTCGTGTTGGTCAATATACAAATACCTGGTGAGAACGCTGGTCTCACAAATAACAACAAATGACAAAGAGAAAACAATGACAAATAACAACAATGACCAAAGCTCGTGTTGGTCAGTATACAAATACCTGGTGAGAACGCTGGTCTCACAAATAACAACGGTGACCAAAGCTCGTGTTGGTCAGTAAACACTATGTGGTGAGAACACTGGTCTCACAAAACTGGGTTTCTATTGCGAGAAACTTATGTAATCTCAAGGGAAACACTTTCCCTGCACTTGTCTGGACAGTTTTTACAAAGGAAATGGGCTTTGTAAGCAGCAATTTGTTCAGACTGAAGCTTCTTAGGTGAGAGTTCAATTTGCTCAAGTGGGAGTTCTTGAATGCAACAAGTGGGAGATCTATTTTTTTGGGGGAGAATGGGCTCTCCTTATATACATTTTGTGTGGGAATATTATGTAAGTAAAAAGGTGATGTAATGACTTCAGAATGTGAGAAGAATATTCCAAAAACTGGAGCAGAATGTTCTAGCAGGTGCAAAAGAACATTCCAGAATATTCATGGTGGGATAATGACATCATTCTGAGTCACTATGAGTCACTATGAGTCATTATGAGTCATTGGAATGTTCTAGCAAATTCCATGGAACATGACATCATTATGACATCACTATGATATCATATCTTTCAACCAAAATACCTGCAGGAGTGTAGGTGAAGTCCTATGACATCATTATGACATCATACCCTGTAGGTACAATTTTATGAAGCATCTGATTAGTCAGAGCATCCTAATAGAAAAGTAAAGTAAAGAAACACTAGAGAAAACAACTCAGAAATAATGGAACAAATAATAGTACACAATGCGCGGGCTTTTTAGATAGGTTTTTGTTAGGCTTTGAACTTTTCTCTATGGGTTTCTCTAGCCAAAGTGAATAAGCCAAATGAAAGGCAATACCTTAACCTTCATTTTGCTTCTCATATCAACTAGGTCATTATGTGATTCCCATCTCACATATGACTTTTCTTCAAAACATGGTGGATTCATGAATCACTGAGGGAAAACTGAAACTATTGGACCAAGGTTTGATACCAAGGTATGGGTTGACTAGTCTGAGGACTAAGCTAACAGACTTTGTATTTTTAGAGGGATACCTAGTAGTCATGTCCATGCATGATTCCCAAATCATGCAGGACAACGCATGCTCCCAAATTTCTCGCTCTCAACCATCCTTTTTGCTGTGTCAGTCAAGCAACTGACATGCTCGAATGTCATGTCAGGGTAAAAGGTTGCAGCACTCCTGGGGGTCATAAAAGACATATCGGCCGTGGTGGGACTCTTCATGATCACTTGCACAACATCTTTGTCCTTCGCCTCCGAAAGTGTGATAGAGATTCCGAGATGTGTATATTTGGTGAAAGTTTGGATTGTACCCTTCATGATCCTGTGTATAGTGGTGGTACCACTGACAAACCCCAGGCGAACCGTTATAAATTCATCCATGTTGTCAAACTCTCCCTCTGGCACGACAATGTTCAGGTCATTGGCCGGATAAGAAGGCATGCCCAGTATCATATTGAGGGCACAGGAACCCACCACAACGCCCCGTGCCGCATTCAAAACCAGGAAGAATTGATGGTGGTGATGCTCCGAATGAATGAATGGACTGAGAATTTGGTGTTTGCGCTTCTCTATGAGCCAGAGGGCAATATCATGCATCCTCTTGCATGTCCTCACAGTGTTGAGCATGTCTCAGAGATTGAGTTTGTCCAGCATCAGAATGATCAGTTCTTTCACTAATAAAACTGGTTATGGGAGTCAACCATCGACAAGAATAAATGGTAAGTGTCTACACACTTTCATCAGTCGCCCTCATAACTGTAGAGCTTAGGGTGGACATGTTTATGGAGGAGTCGATGAGATACCGTATGTGTTGATGGCGGCATCACTAACAGTTAGGAGATGATTGATCAGACATGTGAAATGGTAAAGGAGTACACATTGGAGGTGCGTCATTCATTGTTTGGTAAATACTTGAGATAATCGCAAACCTTGTCACTAAGGGTACATCGAATATTATACTTAGAGAAACAACAAGCATGATCATATGCAAGAGGAATGTAATGACATAAGAAACAAAGGATCAAGGTACATGCTCATATGTTGTGTGCACTTTTGACCCCTATTTTGATTTTGCCTACACATCCTTATTGATCAATTCTCCAGTGAATGCAAAGTGCACCAAATCTCTGGCCAATGCAAGTGACTCAGCATACACCACTGATGTCCCAGGATTGTTGGAAATAAGATTAGCGATACCTGTCAACCTTTCAGCGACCAACAACCGATGTAAAAATTCCAGTTCTTACGATCAAATTCTCCTCCGTCGTCATACACAGCATTAGTCGCTATGACAGGGGGAGACTCAGTGTATATCATCTCGTTCTTGTTTGCCTTGAGGGCAGCTTTCATTTTGTCACTGGTTTCAATATAAACATGGGTGTTACTGCGGTTTTGATGTTCTACTGCAATCCGAGCAGTCAAAGGCGTTGAGTCAGGATTGATCCACCAAAATACTCACTGAAAATGAAGGCACAGTCATTCCCAGATGTTTTGAGCAATTCAAAGATGGTTGGCTGCATAGTGATAGTACAAGTCAATGGCACTCTGTTTAGGGGCACTTTGTCTTTACAAAATCCTTTAACCGCTCGCTTAGTCACGATTTCTTGTGAATACCTCCTAATTTTTTGGCGTCCTCTCCTATTCCATTATGTCATAGCCTGTCGGATCAGCAGTCTGAATACCTGTCTTCCACCTGATTCGAAGGGCTCGTCTGGCAACGACATAGCTTCGGTGACGAGCCTATGAGCAACTGCAATACTCTCACTGTAGAATATATTCAAGCTCTTGTCATTGGCGAGGGCGTTCACTGTGTCTTTTGACAAATGTCAAATGAATATGTGCTTAAACTTTTATTTAACTTACTAGCAAAGAGTGTAAGCTTGTTCTCCACATGCTCAGAAACACAAATAAGCCCTCCATATCGCTCGTCCGGTGCTACTTCATGTTCATCACACCTCAATTGAGCAGCTGTGATTATACGAAACTCAGGTTTTCCAGTATACGGCCGAAAAACTGTCAATGAGCTCATCACCTTACTGACCATGAATTTGTATTCACACTTACCGAAGATAAATGCTCCTGAATCGCTGCAGATATGTAGGAGCCTAATTATATCACGATCCATATGGTAGTATGATAGTCAGAACAGCAATGGTAACAGGATCATGATGATGTCACAGACCCTCACAAGCACAGTCACAAAACATATGTTCCCATCTGTCATTACAAGTTAGTATGATCACACACGATTTATACATGCACGAAACACTCACACTGTGATCATCTCGGCAATTGACCAAGTGGACCATAAACGCCCTTAGCATAATTCTCGTTAGTCTGTCGACTAAGTGCTTTGATTCTTTCATCTTCAATGCGCAGGCTCTCCGAAGGATGTTTTGTGAACAATGAATCCTCGAAATCTCTCAACAATCGTATAGTTTTCTCGGCCACGCCCACGAAACAGAGTGACATATGCATTGAAAGGTGATAACGAGAATGAACTGGTTTTGCCGATATCGACTAACACATGATCAATGGTTTGGCCTTGAGACTTAAAGTCGGTGAAGGCATATGCGGGTGCGAGAGGCAATTGACGCCATGTGATCCGAGTTGTAGGAGAAGCACCAATACTGAACTTGTACTCAACAGGCGCAAGTGGGATTTGTCCCAGTTGTAAACCAGGAAGGGCAGGAAAGTCACAGAAGTCAAGCTGAAGGATCACCATTGCAGGGGGGTAGTGCAAGCAAGTTGTACAAGCAGCAATGGCTTCACAGCTGACAGAAGGCTCCCGGGGATTGAGAAGAATGTCTGCAATGCGGCCTCTTGAACCATTGGAAAGATTAGTGTGAACGGCAATGTTTCAGGTCACCATAACATGCATGCCTTGAACAAGACAAAGGATGGTAGGTAAATGCCCTGCCTGCTTGATACTCAAATGGGCTACCGCTCGTTGTGACATGGACAAGCTAGAGCCATGTGCAGAATCTTCAGTGGGACAAAGATAAAGCATTGAACCATTAGAAGTGCTATGCTTAAGGACAGCACGAGTATTCCAACGAATTTGGACACTGTTGCGGGGAGTAATGAGGATCACGTTGTCCCAAGGGGAAGTAGAAAAATCGGGACACTGGCATCTGTCATCAAGAAGTAGTAGAGTCCTAATCTCCGACAAATCTGATGAAGTACAGCCTCCTACGCGAGCACATTGAAGAATCTTGTCCCAAAGAGAATCAATAATGCGCATTTGTTTGTGAAGGGTGACCACGGTTAAAAACTGTTCATAGATGTTTTTGCCCAGCTGGGATCGAGAAATATTCGGAGATTGAGAATAAAGAGCGTGATGGATGTTCCCAACAGGTGGGAATTGATGAAAATCACCGACAATAAGGACCGAAAGACCGCCCAAGGGAAGAGTGACCACTGTTGCCGGGAAGCCTTCTTTAGCATGAAATGCAGTTACAACTTGTGAAAGCAACCACAAAAAATCCAATGTCATCATGCTCTTCTCATCCACAATGAGCATGAATTTATTGTGCATATTTGCCTCACAATGTTGCACGGTCACAATAGGAGGACACAAAATCCATGAATCAGAGCAAGGCAAACCTTTGCCTGCGGGAATAGTGGCCCAAGAGTGGAGAGTGCTTCCTCCGATCTGACACGCAGCAACACTGGAAAGAGCTGTTTTGGCTAATTGATCACCACAACCTCTGTGAATAAACAAATCTGTAATGGCGTGTATAAGCTTGGTCTTGCCAGTACCACCTTGACCATGAATTTGCATAAGCAACTGCACAGGGTTTTTGCCTGCAAGATGATTGGCGACAATTGTGAAGGCGACCCGTTGATCTTTGTTCAAAAAATCTGGGCAATCAGGCGAGGTCGGAGAATGTGTAATGATCGACGCAACACTGCCGGATGCATCAGGAGAAGCCGGATTAGTGTGGGATTCGATATTTTGCACAGCTCCAGTATCGCGAGGGACTTTGCCAGTCACTCCAATGTCGCAGGCTTCAGCTTTTTGTATGTGATTGTGCCACATATCGTAGTTTCCCAGATCAACATCACGAGCATTGCTAGCAGGCTTCTGCAAAGCAATGTCAGGTAAGTCATCAACAAAGACTCCATGTTCTTCCGCAATATTCATCACAACTTCCGCATAAAGCATCTCACAAGTGGAGAAAACACCATCTGAAGCTTGTAAAATCTCTTCCTCCGTAATCTCAAGAGCAGCATCTGGAAACTCAGATTCGATGACGTTGTCACCTTCATCAATATGGTCTCCCATGTCAGCGTGAGCAAATGTAGTAGAATGAACATACGACTGTTGTTCCTTGCGCTCTCTTGCTTTCTCTGAACAATCATGAAAGGATTGAATGTTCGATATAACGCGCTTAGTGGCTTCAGATTCTCCATTGACAAATCTGTCAAAAGCAACAGAAAAGGTTTCATCTGCAGCTCTTGATATCCGCGAGATCGCGCCATGGTTTTAGAAGTGCAAGCATTGAAGCACAATATAAGGAATGTGACTGGGGATCATTCACACGTGGAAACCAAGGACCTGGAATGTAAGGCATGGTTTCATGTCCTTCAACACGTAAGGCTCGTACATGACCAGTATGAGATGTGCTGTCTTTGTAGGGAATCCGTGATGTGAAAGAATGGTTCTTGTGGAGCGTAGAGTCCATGTGGGAGCGAACATCGTAGGTGTTAAAAAAAATTCCATATAATTGAAATGGTTGAGAGCATCACCACAGGTCTATATATTCTCGCACTTGATCACACAAGTGTACGATGCCATCCCAGACTTCAAGTACAGCATGTTCCACCTGGACATCATGTTAATGAGAAGAATGTCATGAAGAACAATATAGATCATACTTCATTTTGACTTTCATCAGGAACATGAGCTGGTTGACCTTCCGATGAAAGTGTCACAACTGGTCTAGAATAAATTTCAATCTAGAATCAAATTGAGTACTGAAGAATGATTAACACTTACCTTGTCTGAGCCAAAATCGGGAAAGTCTTTTTGAGTAAGGACATCACAGAAGACCAATAGATGGTCTCGAAGTGATGCGAGATATAGCGATCCTCCCACTTCATCAAGTAAGATACGACTTCGGGTGCGCTAAATTCCTGCTCATGACTAAGTGAGTTAGCACATTGTTGAAGGAGGCGCTTGTTGAGTAAACTAAGATCATTGTTATGGCTTTCAACTTGTTTATGATATGCAAAGGTTTTGGCCAAATGTTAAGACCGTACTCAAGTAGTATCGGATCCGAAGGGCTTCAGCCTCAGCTCGTGCGCTGTGCCCCTTTCCCAGGTCTTGCCCCTTATTTCAGAGTGTTAGAGTATCGCGTCTATGGAGACGGATAAGTCTCGTAATGGATCCGTTAGGGCTTCCGGATATCGAACGTATATAGTAACGGCTAATCCGGATCGGATCCAAACTAGAAACTAACGGGTGAGGACTGTCTGAAGACAGAGGCGGATATATAGACTATAGGAATCAATCCTAAGTCTTGGAGTTGACAAGAGTATCGTACTTGAGTCCGGACAGATAACGGAGGGACTTAGAGTCCAGACAGAATGAGTGCAATCTAAGATGATATTCGAACTGATCTACTACAGTGCATGTACAAGGGTTTATATACTACGGATAACTAACAGAATGATCAATAAGCAAAGGCGCGAGGCTATGTATGAAGTATAAGCAAAGTATGTGTACAGCATATCGGTAAGTCGGATGGATAACAAATCATAACCGGGGAATGAAGTATAAGCTAAAGCGGATCAGTAAGTGTAGCGGATCAGTAAGCATAACGGAAGTAAAGGATAACCGGTATACCGGTGTACAGGAATGCCAAAAGGAGATGAACAATAGTTAGAGTTATATGAACAGGACATGAAATAAGAATCAGATCGGATCTGTGGACCGGATGACGGATATGTCCATCGGATCTGGATCAGATCTGAGATCCGGATCTTCGGATCTGTACCTGGGAATATGGTATATGACACCAAAAGGGCAGACACGTTCGAGGAATGCTGTTGGCGCTTCGCAGCAGTAAGAAGATATATACCAACTGATGTGTTTTGTTTCACTGCCATTGGTTATGAGCTTGCAATCGTGATTGGATCTAGTCGCCAGGAGGATAGTGGGATTCCAATTATTCATAAAAGCGTAACTTCATTTTGGTCCCATGTCATTATCTGCGTTCACCCAGGCATTATCAGCAAGAGGAAATGGTGCATGCCACTTGCACAGCAAACATCCCTTCTGCACCTTCAAACAACCTTGTCCACATTTGTGAATTTGGACAGCACGGACGAGCGAGCACTCCACTGCTTGCCGCTGATTTGCAAAATCTGTCTTGCAGTGGATCCAACAGGACAGGAGTAAGAAATGCATTTTGCGCGTGGAATAGACAAAAGAGTATCAGCAGTGACATCATCAGTGATGACTGCTGAATGTTCGATGATATATAATGAGTGACTCGTGCTTGGAAATCTGGACATTGCAACTGTTGCTTCATGTCGTCAATGGAAGGGGCTCCTCAAAGCCAAACGATCATGTGTAAGTGCAATGTTCCGCGACCTTGAGCTTCAACAGTGCCAATATAACTCTCCACTGTTCCAAAGATCCCCTCACGATGAGTAATATGCTTCTTCTCATCCACGCGAAATACCGAACAGTTCTTCCAAGATTGCATAGACCATAAATCGGAAGAATTTGGCAGCAGTGTAAGGATCATTAGCAACGATGAATGCACGCCAAGTGGAATCAGGACCAGTGTTGGCGTCAAACTGATCGAGATCAATGTCCTCGCCGGCAAAGACCTTAAAAACATGAATGAGCATCTAGAAAGGAATGATAAAGATATAACAAACTTGAGCGATTGGATCGTGTGTATCGGTAGGATTGATAGTGATCCATAACAAGGGAGGATTTTTCATAACCATCATACCCCAAATGTAAGATCGAACCTTCGTTTGAGACTCATCCGTACCCACTACTTTAGTACAGACAGCACTGAGATGATGTTTCAACAACTGGACGGTAGGATCAGAAAGCAGTTGCTTCCTCGACTCTTCCTGACTTGCTGCCAAGAAATCTCTGGGAGTTAATTGTGTGAATGCCTGCTCATGGTCTTGATATGCTTTTTGCCAACCTCTAATACCGCAGAGCGGCATACTTGACATTTTTGAATGACACCAAAAACTTGAAACATGAAATGTAGGTCTTGGCGAAACCATCTGTCAGCATACTGCATAGTCCACTTCGCGTGAGCTTCGTAAGACACTGTACAAGGACAAGCGGTTTCAAATCCACCCATACCATAAGGGAAAAGGTGAGGAAAAGTGCCCAAGAGATGATTAGGATTCTCTGTGTCGCCCGGAGAACGATTACCCTCGTCGTTGCGCCTTTCATACTCATTGACAAATCCCCCGTGACGGACAGCATATGATTCACAGGCAGCATTACCAACGTTGGAAAGCGCATGAACAAGAATGTCTTGGTTTGACAAATGGGATGCTTCAACGTCAATAACACCATTGGCTTGGAGAGGAACGATGCAAGGATCTGACACCACTGAGAAAGAGATCTATAAAATTCAAATAGACAAGGATGCATACCAGGAACTTGCTCTTCAACCTCGGTATCTCCTTGCATCACTGCATGAGTTTGAAAGGCAGCTCCAGGAGCTATTGATGATGGTAACAATGATACCAAAACAAATAATACTACTCACCCTCGCTATTGTCATCCTCGTCATCATCTTCTACCACATATTCGTCCCGTTCTCGGTCGAGTAAGTGGGTGTCGCTAGAGTGTTTGACAACAGCCAGAAGTTCACGAGGAACAACAGGATCCATAGGTAAAGGGGCGAGATGAGCATCAGAAATCATTATATCACAATACAAAGGATTCTCTCTCTTTAAGAAGATAAGAGCTTGCTTGACACGATCGCGACTGACAGTAAGAAAACAAGGGAGATACGAGCAGGAAGGTTCTGTGGTCCGATGATAGTAATGCCAATAGTGGCAGGTAGAATGTCTGGTACTTGAGGAAGTAGACGGCCTTCCACCATCGCAGCAACATCATCTGTATTCAAGCGATAAGTCGAGACGTTACCACGAATACCACTGTTCAAAGATGATGTATCCCAGTTCCGCGAGCCTTTCATCTGAGGGTACAATTTGACTATGAACGACACTGGGAAGTACAAGCCAATCAACAATCTTTCCGGAAACGTCAAAATGGCACATTCCGGTGGGGTTTCACCGACCCAAAGACCATTAGCTAAGGCAAATTTCAGTAGCTTGCGAGCGCAAAGATCTTGCAAACACAGCGAACAAACACGTCCACAGGGACGGCCATCGATGACAGTGACCACAGGAAAATGCAGTAACTTACCATCAACGAGACGCTGTGCTGGATGTCGTATTGAAGGGATTAAGAGATGGGACTTGGGAAGGTCTGCCAAAATGACTTCCTCGGTATTGACGAGAAAGACTTCTGACGTGCAGACAACACACACAGCTTGGCGCATGCCTGCATTGCCAGTGCAGTCTATAAAGCTCGCAAGACACTGCGACTTCGTTGGTTCCTGAAGCTGAATGCAAGTATGTTTCTTGCTTAGAGCCACCATCCTCTCCAACCACTTCTTCAGTAGGATCATGAAGCTTGGCACTGCTTCAAGCACCGTGCCGTATCGTCCAAAACCCTCTGTTCTTTTCGCAAATACACCTCCCAGGATACTTGCTTGCAACACAGGTGATGCTTGAACAGTAGCAAGAAGGAGGTCGCATCGCCAGGCAGTTGCAGATAGGTGAATGCTCCTTCGCCTGATGCAGTAATGATCTCTTTCATGGTGAGAGATTCCGCAAGTTTCATACAATCCAAGTTATCTTGAATGGAAGGCGCCATTATAGACAATGAAGGAGAAGAAAAATAACCAGTAGCACAGTTGTAAATGGTACAAAATGACATCGGCTTGGCAGACATCAGAGAATAAATAAAGGGGCAAAATCAAAAATTACAACGTTACAACCAGACTGCCATCATGTCTTCGACGCCAAAGCATACCGCGGACAAAAAACACAGCTAGTCAACTATGCCGCTTCACCTAAGCTTCTGAGCGCTACCATGTGGCAACACACCACTTCAGGACTGGAACTAGTAGATTCAACGGACGAAATGCCTTTCAAGCTATTGATAGCAGGAAGAGTGTCAGCCTTTCGTCTCAAGGTCAGACCTGAAGGTAGTCACATGAAGAACGGAATGACTTCACTTGACAAAGCCAAGTACCAGTTTCATCTGACTCACCCTGCGGACACGGAATTAGGAAAAGACTACAATGCTGCTATTAGCACTCTGGAAACCTTGCAAAGCCAGGTAGCAACAACCAAGGACCAGCGGAATATGGTTGCAACAGATGTCACTGGGAAAATGTTGCGAGTAGTGCGAAATATCTTTGCGTTGCGAGTGCGTGAGCAAAGTTCCATAATGAAGTAATTAGCTGACTCACATTAGGACAACATCGTACCCGATTCGCCTCATGGACAAGCGGCTGATAATGCAACGAAGATGGACAATGAAACAAAAAACTGGCAGTTGCCTGATGAGTTCATGACAGATTTCGATAGAATCAAGTATCATTTTCGCGCCGAACGACTCCCTGTCTACTATGAAGGGGTCGCTATCCACCCTACCGACGTCAATGACATCTTAAACGGTGCCATCGTGGAGGTAGAATTCACAGTACAGCACTGGAAGATCAAGGACCATGATAGTTTCCAAGTGACTGCACATAGGGATTAGCACGGGTAAACCCGCGGTGTCCAGAGCCCTACCCACACCCGTACCCGCCATATACCCGTACCCTGTGTACCCAAGGGTACCAATGGGTACAGGTCTTCGAACAGGGTATCGACGGGTTGTGCGGGTATGGCAGTAAACCCGCGGGTATAAATTCAAACTATACTAGAAAACATTTAGTAACTACAAATTAATAATAATACCTAAATCTGAGCCTTCGTCGTTGCCTCGGTGGTGAAAGCAGGTGGAGAGTCGAGTTGCAAGTGACAATGGCCAATCTGTGTGACCGACCAGGAGCAAAGCCAGTGCTTCCATATGAAGTGCAATAGCCTCATCTAAGTCTTCGTCGTTGCCTCAGTGGCGGAAAGCAGGTGGAGAGTTGAGTTGTAAGGTTAGTTAATGACATGGACCAATGTGTGTGACTGACTGGGAGCAAAGCTAATGCTTCCTAGTGAAGTGCGATAGCCTCATCCAAGTCTTTGTCATTGCCTCGATGGTGAAAGCAGGTGGAGAGTTGAGTGGCGAAAGCGGGTGGAGAGTTGTAAATGTCTGTACCGGGCTTCTTCTGCTTCTACATGGACTCTTGTGGTTGCTTCTCGATTGTTCGCAGGAGGGTTATCGAGGAGGGAGCTGAGGTCTCTGAATTTCTTCATCAGGGCCGCTGCGTGATTGCCTGCATGTCTGGAGGCTGTCAAGAGGCGTACGGAGTCGTGTCATCTGGGTCCAGATGATAGTCCTGCCTTGTTCTAACAACTCAACAGGCGCGACACACGTCACCACTACGAAGAGCACACGATGCAGCATCCATGGCAAGCGTTCTTGGGAAGTCCTTCATGATATTGTGACGAGACGATACTGAAGCTGTCGTGGACATGTAAGCATCCAGAAGTTGCATGGAAGTTGCATAAGCCTCCAGCTCGGTGGCATGTGAATGTTGACTAAGCATATTGAACCCAGCATAGACTTGCTCGCAGGCGAGATAGTGAGCCTCCGGAGACAACATTTGCTGTTGCTTTAAGATGATGCATTGCAGAATTCAGACTGTTAGTATCTTCGCCCGCTCCGGTACCATCAAGCCCCGAATGATGGAATGATAGATAGACCTTAGCTAGCGAGTTGTGGACTACTAATTGATGAGGATCATGTTGCGTCAACAGAGTCAATGCACAGCGTAGGTTCTCTTGTGACTCGTTGAGATTTTCTCTATTGCCTCGGTGCTGAAAGCGGGAGGAGAGTTGATTCCCAAGGTCGTTTAATGACGAGGACCAATCTGTGTGACCAACCGGGTGCACAGCCAGTGCTTCCCTCTGAAGTGCGATGGCCTGATACAAGTCTTTGTCATTGCCTCGGTGCGAGAGGCGGAAGGAGAGTTGACCGGCAAGGTTATTTAATGACATGGACCGATCTGGGTGACCGACCGGGCACAAAGCCAGCGCTTCCCTGTGAAGTGCAATAGCCTGATCCAGATCTTCGTCATTGCCTCGTTGCGAGAAGTGGGAGGATGAAGACAGGTGTTATGTCGAAGAAGATGGAGGAGAATAGCAGGGTGTGGGCATTGGCGGTATCACAAGATGGACAATTGATAGTAGTAGTCTAGACTCATGTAAGTAGTTAATGCGCACCTTACCGCAGACTATGGCAGTTGCCGCAGCAGACAACCATATATGGAAGTGATGGGTACGCGGGTCACAGGTCTCAAAATCCCAACCCACACCCGCACCTGTACCCACCAGTACCCACCAGTACCTGTACCCGCGACCCGCCGCGGGTTACCCGTACCTGTGCTAATGCCTAACTGCACACAATATTACCATGCTCCACCTGGGACCCTACCACCACAAATCAAACTATAAACACACCAATCCCGACGACTCACTAGAAGAACCACAGGCAAAGAAGGTGCACCATAATGCGACTGCGGGATCGTCCAAAGAATGAAAAGCCCAAGTGACTCATTGACAACATGGGGATTACTGTACAAAGTGCGAGGGAAGTGTAGACAGTTGTCCTGGCCACCAAAATGGCTGGCAGATTGATAGTGACTCAGAACTGTGTACGTTTGCAATAAAATAGTCGTGGAAAAACAAGACAAAGGATGTGCACGTGCCACGGAGCAAGGTGAATGTCGGCAGGGCTGGCACCTAGTATTCATGTCTATTGCAGGAATATGACGAGGAGATGACAGAACTTGTAGGACACTGTTTTTAACAGAAACCTAGTGTCAGATCAGTAGTTTGTGACGGTCAACTCTATTAGATCTCCAAGTCACTTTATTTCAATCCCTCCCATGTCTTTCCTTCTGTTCTCTTCATCCGAGTCTCGCATTCATCGTCATTATGGCAATCTGACACTAGAGCAAAAGGTAAGTGATATAGTCTCTTGTTTTTTGTTGTATTTATTCTTTTACACTGACAGACAGGGATATGACAAGTCGCTATGCTCATAAGTTCTTCATTCCCTTAATAGACACCTTTCTAAATCATTATCTAGGTTGCCAGCAACACGTGGAACAAATCCGTCTGCGAAGGACGGCGTTATTAGATTCCCGCACCTGCATGATCCGATATCGATACACTGTCATTTCCTATGATGTTTCCGAGTTGCTGCCTGTGTTTTGGAGCTCGTTTTGTACCGTATCTGTATGCCTGTCACCTGCAGCACCTAATATTATTTGAGCATATTTGCGCACATTTTCAACTATCTGGCAAGGAGCGTGAGTATATGCGTTCAAATGCGCAAATATGTTTTACATTGAAAAAAGCACCCACGTGCATGAGGAAACCCGCCCCCGCATATATTGAAATGTGCGGATTCACTCACTACGTGTCATAGCATGTTCTCATATGTTTTTTCACTGAGCTGCTGACAAAATCACTTATCGTCACACCACACCTCCTCCCGTCACAGTCAGTTTTCACTGGGCCTGATCAGTCCTTCTCAGCTGTGAAGTGTATTGTTTTCCTATGTGAAGGCTTCGTGTACTTCACTGGCCCACTGTACATGTCTTCAACGTTCAACATCCTCGAACGACTGACAAGCCTGTCCACCGCTCTTGACCTCTCCACACTCCCGCATGACAGTCCTACAACCCAATACCTCATAATTGTGTATTCTATGGTTGAGAACGGCTGGCTTGCGCTTCTCACAGGCCTTTCCTTCGTTATCTCGACAAATCTGACAGAGCTCTTCATAGATGTTCTTAGCAGCTATCAAGCTTTGACGAACATTGCGGGAATGCTCACCCTCAGCACTCCTCACAACACATTGTTCAACCTGCTTTCCAAATTTGCAATACCTTCGCGGGTAGTGTCCAGCGGGGAGTCCTATGTTGAACCTCCGATGCTCAGAACATCAGCAGATAACCTGAGGTTGACAGCACCTACCCAAGTTCCAGGACTTTCCGAGTGAAATCTGGCACGTCTCAAAGTGTTGGTATCTTGTGCCCTTTTCCTTGCCGGCAGTTTAGGAGAGAGCTGGTATGGCTGTTTTGGAAGTGTTACAGAATGCAGACTATGTTTTGAACGTCAAAGCGTCTCAAGCATCTACCAACCTGCGGATGCACATACCCATGATACCCAGTCGATCCGTGTCAGAGATGAGCTCTGCTGAACAGGGGAAAATGGCTTGTCACCCCTTCATGAATATTAATTCAGATGACGTGCTTACATTTGCTCAGTCATTGGAGGGCGAAAGGGCTAAACAACTGATTGTCGCACTTCCACGCACAATGCCTCTCTCAGGCAAGCTCTGCATCACTCGATGTGGAAACTCGATTTCGCGTGTTGACCGCAATATGTAAAATTAAGCAAACCCTCGTTTAGAGATAATACATTTGTGTGGGTGAGTTCTGATGAGCGCCGGAGGGAAGGTAACCTTCTGACCTAAATCTTTCTCGCACAGTACAAGATGCCCTACATCTTGGCATTAGATCAGCATGTTGATGCAGCCTGCTGTGGTCAATTGAATTACATCCTCGAGTGTCCTTGACAACAAAAATCGTTACAGTGGTGCAGTTGAGTACAAACAATTACCAATTCCAACTATAACGGACCTTTTAGAACATCAAAGCTACTGTTGGGTGTGTGGGCGCACGAAGGCGCTGGGGCATCATTGATAGTTCCGCCGACCACATCCAGCCTTCCAGATTGCATTTGCGGAATTGGAACTCGAGGCTGATGTTAGGACGGACGATGCTGTTCATGCTAGTGACTCCGACCAATTAGACTAACCTTCCTTCGTCTGTTGTACATTTCTATACATGTTTAGTGGTTTCTAATTGATGAGCCAATGAAATTCATACCTCGCGCCATCAAATTCCATTGGCCTAACCATTACATTCTGTTGTTTTATCTATCTTATCTGATAAGTCATGCCCATTTTTTGGTGATCCTTTTGAAATTCATGCATCAAATTATTATTACTGAGCGCTGAGTGGCCACACTGTCAATGAGATCTATGGTAGTGGCCAAAACAATGAATACACTTGCTGGTAGATTCAGTGTTATGCATATTGAGGCTCATGAGTCCGATGCTCAAACCACTGAAATTCATTGGTTTTACTTCCCACACTAGCACTGAATGTAAAAGAACTGATGCCGCGGCTTAGCAATTTTGAGGGTCCATCACAGGTATATGGAATTCTGATTGTCAGGGAAGAACGACCCAGGCTCCTTCCCAGCCACTGCTTCGAGTGTTTGACTTCAGACAGTTCCACACCCCTAGTATGCCGCCCTCAAACACTCGAAGCAGTGGCTGGGAAGGTGCCTGAGAATGACCAGTGACTACAATGTCCAGGTTAAGTATCTGCCACTTGGAGGTATCATCATGATGGGCCATGTGTATTGTTGCAAGGAACTGATACTGACAGGTATGTCGCCATCGACTGGACGGACACGTGTGCTGTGCTGGTTGGCTTTCTTGTCCACTGGCAAGATGGCTGGATCAGTGACCATGGCCAGGGCCATGGCATGGGCTATATTGAGTGATTTTTTCGCAGCATTCAAAATCCTAGATTTTGAAGAAGGGTATATGACTGAGTGTGCCATACTGGAGAATCGCTCACTCAAAAGATTGTGATTGCGCCAGGTTTTGCATATGTGCATTGCCCGTAATTTTCTAACACTATCATCACACAAGTGGTTGTGCAACATGCTCACTAACCTTGGGTCAGCCCTCACCTACAACAAACATGAACGGCCGCTGTTTAAGCCTAAGAAAATTTTAATACTTTACATGGTCCAGGTTCTCGGTTCGAACCCTTGCTGAACCAGAACCGGACCATTGTCAGACCGAACCGATGGTCCGGTCCACGGTTCTGCTTACTGAGAGAACCGAACCGTAGGTCCGGTTCTCGGTTCTCTGAATTTGCTAGAGAACCGGACCGAACCGGACTTTTCCATCACTATTTGATTCAAACCTTAAAAAAAGTCGGATTGTCGTCTCGCACCTCGTCGTAATCCAGGAATGCTTTCCAAACCACAGATCAATTAATGTAACTGGATTTCAATTGAGGTGTTGATCAAAAGGCATGTACAGTACACTATCTCATAATGCATAACGTCGGGACCCCCTTCGACCCTATGCACTATGAGATTTACATATGTCACACTTGTGACAAATTGTGACACCGTGCGGTAGAGCATCATGATCGCCGGCACAAGTACATACTACATATCTAACGAAAGTAAGCATCTATTGTAGTCTGTCGAGTGTAGAAGCTCCTCGTGTCACAGCTCAGCACGGAAAAGACGGATCTGTTTCAACAACTCAAGTGGAAGTGTTAAATCAGCATTTCCAAACTGGAGGCAAACCTTTTCGAGCCGCTGACACAGTGCAAGTGTTTCTGCGCGGGAAACCTCTGGTTCGATCACTGAGAGTGAGGTTTTGATGTGCTGTGTGCACTGTAGCAGCTGGTTGTGCTGAAGTTACCGGATTATTTTTGACCTTGGGTTTTTTTTGCTGTCTCTGGTATGGTGGGGGTGTATCATGATCTCGAGGTTTGCGTTTCCGAGCAGACTCGGAAATGGTGGATGCCACTGGATGGTAATTGAATCAAAGTTGGTTACTTTGGCAATGTAGCATGAATAAAATGACCCACAAGCATCACCGATATGACTCAACCGGCCAAAAATGCTATCTCATAATGCATAATGGACCCACAGGCTTATGCATTCAAGTTATGGTTCAATTTCTCACTGGCCCACGGTGGGACCTTCCGAAGTCGATGCATTATGAGATTTATGCATTATGAGACGATGCATCATGAGATAGTGTACTGTCATTCGAAAGGCTCGTACGTCGAGTTCATCCATTGATCGCTTCGGGCGGTATGGAGGAACGGCAAGGTCATACTTACTTACGTCTGAAATTTTTACCGAGTTAAAAGGACCGGAGCTTCCTCGAGTCGCTCTTTGAAAATTTCATTGTAGTGTCATGTCCGCTCTATGATTTCCTTCTTGGTAAAACTCCCCCTAGATAAGCCTCTTTTGTACGACTGTCCCTCTCCGCCCCCCTTTCTTTGTAACACTGCCCTTGTCGCTACACACGTCAATCGTGTTCTGTGGCAAGGAGTTGGATACGACGAATTTATGTACTTTTAGTCGCATCTGTACTAGTAATCAGCGTGTATATGAATTAGAAGAACTGTAGGTTGTGGTTTTTCGCCAAGAGGCCAGAGAATGTTACTGAAGCGCTAACCTTTTGAAGGGATGTCTGCCACGAGGTCGACTTGGGGGCTTGCCAAGGGTGCTGTGTTACATCAATGAAAGTGTCGGCCCATCAGTGGGTTGGCCCGCAGTAGGTCCCAACACTGGCCTGCGATTCACCAACAACTCCCGCATCGACCGCATCGGTACCATCCCTTCCCTAGATGCATATTTCCTTTCTCCTTTAGATCATCCTGTGATACTTACTTCGGTCAACCAGGTATCATCCTACCTCACTTCGGCAACTTAAGCGCTGGATGGTGGTATATCAACCGAGCCACGAATACCATCCACCACGTTCCCCGCCGCTCCCTCGCTCCCATCTTCTAACAGTATGACCCTAGTCTCAAATAATCCCAGCTGGTGGCCAGTTCATCAATTCCCATTATATTTTCAGCTACTTAACAGGTTCGTGGAGAGACACGCGGATGATGACGGTGACGATTTGATTAACCTTCGCCACGGTTGCAGTTGCCGCCTCTGTTGGGGTAATCTACGATTGGGGTGAGCAAGACTGAGTATGAAAGAACCGCTGATATCCTTATAGTATTTTGAGCACTTACGTTTGGACAAGAGGTATATCGATTCATTCCTGGTGTAGCCATCTCACTGAGAATGGTTTAATAGATTGAACTATTCTGGGTGAGTGCATTCTGGCATCAAACGAATGTCGTAAAATTATATCTAATTCGTGGCAGAGGCGACGATGGTCCTCGATGACCGTTCTATATCTCAGTGTATGTAGCTTATGTTTAAATATGCTTGGCAAGTCGTGCTGACGTGAACACATCCCAGTTACGCTATGTCGGAATAGGATATGTTGTGTATGTGCTAAAGGCTAGAAAATTGGCATTGTGCTTATCAACGATCTCTCACAATCAGCCTCAAGATGTTGAGCATGTCACCTCACATTCACTGTCTTTATTTCTTCTGACTGGTGGCATACAGCCAATGTTATGACAATTTCAATCACAGATTCAGTGAGTGTTCTGCACTGACGGTTTCCATTGCCATTTAAGCAGTTGAACCACCATGCAGGGGTGAGTGAGATCCTCGAAAAACTTGGTTCGATATAATGACTGCTTCAGTTGTGAGTTTTTTCAAGTGTGTGATCCTCCGAGGCTGATAACTAATGTTGCTGGATTTTCAGGCCGTGTCATGTACGTTACACTGGAAAGCACGAATGAGGTTGTAAATGTAATGCTGGGTGGTGAGCTATACACCTCTGTGATATTGACTTGACCATAACATCGGCCAAGTCATCATGATCGCTCGGCTGAATGCCATGTATTGACGATCCAAGAAGGTGTTGGTATTTCTGGTTGTCGTCTTTCTGGCCATCAGAATCGCCAACGCAGTGATGGCCGCAATATCCATAATGCATATTTCAGTGGGTGAGCTGTGATTCTGGATGAAATACTTGGTTACATCGGGCTCATTGACAAATACCAGAGGAATTCATCCTCTCCGGCACCTATGTATGCAACATCGACTACCCGGGAGATACAGTACTTCTGTATACCATCACTTGGATACTCGCCCTTGCATGGGAGGTCCTTCTGCTGTGTCTCGCAGTCCGGATTACTGTAAAGCACTCGCGTGAACTGCGACAACACTCACCAAGAGGGATTATTGGGGACTGTTTCGCTGCGCTAATGAAAACTCACGCGGGTTATTTTGCGAGGTGAGCTCATAATGTGAAAATGATTCTCTTTTCCGCTGAAGCTCTGCACATGCTAGTTTTCTTGCAGTTTCTTGTTTCTACGTCGGTTTTTCTTCTCCGACGCTCTCAGCGGTATGCTGATTTGTCGTCGACCTCTGCATGCAGCCATAATTCATCATTTCCCTTAGAACCCAAATTCCCTGAAAACTCAGGTTTTTCTTGGTTTCGCTCAAATTTTCCAATTCGCGCAGTTGTTTGTACTGGGACCCACGCCTTCTCCTTAGTGTTCGAGAATATCGTGCTGAGCTCCTACCCAACTCCGATACAGCAATCGCTATGGCTCCAATTGCTTTCCAGGGGTACAACCGTGTATCAACCGGCAGCAGTGGGTAATACTGGAGATGCTCGATGTGATTGATTTACAATGAGCGGGTAGTCTATAGGGAGAGTGTTTGTTTAGACTTATCTCAAGTCTTGTCGTGGTACTTATTCAAGCTATAGTTAGTGTTGCGAAGTAGTAGACGTTCGCGATTTTGTTTTGTGTAATGTATCTTAGGTTAAAATTTCTCGAATAAGTATGCTATGCTATGCTCTGCAGTAGTGATGACATAGGGTAAGGATAGTCATAACATTAAGGATAATAAGTATTGGCAAGGGCGTAATTAATATGCAAGGGGCGATAATGGCAAAGATACATACACCCATTCAAACAATCGATGATACACCTCTCTCCTACACATGCCACACACAGAAAGTGAGGGACAGCCACTTTCTACAATGACGGCGTCTTTCCCATATGCACTCAGGACGGGTGTGGTAGTAAACCAAACCCTCCCGTGACAACCCCGCGGACCTGTTCGGAGAATTGCTTGATGCGAAGAGCCGGGGCCAAACCGCACAGGAAGCCTCTCAAAGGTGGCACAGAATGAACATCTCCTGACGCGAGCGTCTGCTGCCACCTCGCGACGCATTGTTCCACCCGCTTTCCAAATTTGCGATATCTTCGTGAGTAGTGTTGTAGTGGGGAGATCTGGCATGGGGTGCCAGGTCCTGGCAGGATGGACTGGCGCAGGTCATAGGGAGTGCCAGGGGTTCTAGCAGCAGTAGCAGGAGTCCTGGCTCGTAGTCGTCCTGCGGCTTATGTTGTAGTCGGTCCTTGATAGATAGAACCGCAGCCTCCCGCTATAGAGCTTTTGCCTGGGTTTCTGCTTACAGTCCTTGCCCGTTCCAGTGTCCAAGATAAGCCGAATCTGGTAATCTGGTCATACCTTGGGCCTGTGACTGTGACGGAGTCTTGGTAAACGCTCTTCACTTTGCCCTGCCCGACTTCTTACTTTGCTGAGTCTGACCCAGCGCTTCTCGTCGTGCGGCAAGGTAGCGCGACCAGAGACCTGTGGAGGTGTGGCCCGCCGCCTCATGCTCTGCCACTGGCCAGGACAGCTAGATCCGTAGTTTGCCATGCTTTGCGATTTTGATGATAGGTGGCCTGCATTCCCATTCTTGTCACTCTGACAGATTGCCAGGCCGACAGTACTGCCGCAGGTCACACAGTAAGCGACAGGCCTGCTATAGGCTGGACAGGAAAGCTATGTTGGCCTGTGAGAATGCCGATGCCATGAAGGGTGGGATAAAAACAGCTTGAAATGGATGAGGGAAGAGACGCAGGGAGATGAGGTTGATATTACTCGGTTCAGACGAAACCCGAAATCAGCATTCCTTTCGACATGGCGGGCGGCAGGCAGCGGAGCGGGCAGGACGGAAACCATGAGGCCTAAGGCTGAGCGCTATAGGAGTGTGATATTACAACTACGATTTTAATTTGCCGAGGCTACCAAGGCTCCGGCACAGTCACAGGCCCAAGCCTTGTTTGTACAACTGCCCCTTTCCCCCCGCTTTCTTGTAACACTGCCGTTATTGCTACACACGTCAATCGTGTTCTATGGCAGGAAGTCGGATATGACGAATGTATGTACTTTCGTTGCATCTGTACTATTAATCAGTGTGTATTTGAATCAGAAGAAATTTAGGTTGTGGTTTTTCGCTCGTACGAGGTCAGAAACGTTGCTGAAGCGTTGACCCAGTTTGAGGGAATGTCTGCCACGAAGTCGACTTGGGGCTCGGGTATTGTTCAAACCTGTGTTATATCAATGAAATACAAAGTATCACATCAGTGGGTTGTCCCACAATACGTCCAACACTACGGGCCTGCGATTCACCAACAACTCCCACATTAATCAGATATCATCCATCAAACCTTACTTCGCCGACTTGGCAAGCGCTGGACATCGATGGCGGTATATCAGCTAAATCATGAACGTGATCGTCATACATGCATCAAGTTCGCCGCCGCTCCCTTACTCCCATCCTTTAACAGTATGACCCTAGTCTCGAATGATCCCAGCTGGTGGCCATTCATTAATTCCCATTATATCTTCAGCTACTTAACAGGTTCGTGGAGAGACATACGGGTGATGACGGCGACGATTTGATTAATCCTTCACCACGGTTGCACAGTTGCCGCTTCTGTTGGGGTAATCTACGAATGGGGTGAGCAAAACTGAGTATGAAAGAACCGCTGACATCCTTATAGTACTCCCAGCGCTTACGTTTGAACAAGAGGTAGGTCAATTCATTCCGGTGTAGCCATCTCGCTGAGAATGGTTTAATAGATTGAACTGTTCTGGGTGAGTGTATTCTGACATCAAAAGAATGACGTAAAATTATATCTAATTCGCGGCAGAGGCAACGCTGGTCCTTGATGACCGTTCTGTATCTCAGTGTGTGTAAGCTCATGTTTAAATATGCTTAGCAAGTTGTGCTGACATGAACACATCCTAGGTACGCTATGTTGGAATAGGATATGTTGTGTATGTGTGAAATGCTAGAAAATTGGCATTGTACTCATCTGCGATCTCTCACAATCAGCCTCAAGATGTTGAGCATGTCACCTCAAATTCACCAGTGTTTGTTTCTTCTGACTGGCTGCATACAGCCAATGTTATGACAATCTCAATCACAGATTCGGTGAGTGTTCTGCACCGATGGTTTCCGATTCCCACTTAGGCAGTTGAACCACCATGCAGGGGTAAGTGAGATTCTCGAACAACCTTAGTCCGATGTAATAACTGCTACAGTTGTGAGTTTTTTTAAGTGCTGTGATCCTCCAAGGCTGATAACTAATGTTGCTGGATTTCCAGGTCGTGTTATGTACCTTGCACTTGGAAAGCACGAACGAGGTCGTGAATGTAATGCTGGGTGGTGAGCTATGCACCTCTGCGATATTGACTTGACCATAACATCAGCCAAGTCATCATGATCGCTCGGCTGAATGTCATGTATCAGCGATCCAGAAAGGTGCTGGTATTTCTCGTTGTCAGTCTTTCTGGCCGTCAGAATCGCCAACGCAGTGATTGCCGCGATATCCATGATGCATATTTCAGTGGGTGAAGCTGTGATTCTGGATGAAATACTTGTTCCATCGGGCTCATTGACAAATACCAGAGGAAGTCGTTCTCTCTGGCACCTATGTATGCAACATCGACTACGTGGGAGATACCGTACTTCTGTATACCATCACTTGGATACTCGCCCTTGCATGGGAGGTCCTTCTGCTGTGTCTCGCAGTTCGGATTGCTGTAAAGCGCTTGCGTGAACTGCGAAAACACTCACAAAGAGGTATTTTTAGAGACTGTTTCACGGTACTAATGAAAACTCACGTGAGTTACTTTGCGAGGTGAGCTCATAATGTGAAGGTGGTTCTCTTTTCCGCTGAAGCTCTGCACATGCTAGTTTTCTTGCAGTCTCTTGCTTTTACGTCGGTTTTTCTTCTCCGACAGTTCTCGGCGGTATGTTGATCTGTCGTCGACCTCTACATGCAGCCATAATTCATCATTTTCATTAGAACCCAAATTCCGTGGAAACTCAGGTTTTTCTTGGTTGCGCTCAAATCTTCCAATTTGCGCAGTTGTTTGTGCTAGGACCACGCCTGGTCCTTAGCATTCGAGAATATCGTGCTGAGTTCCAAGCCTGACCCTGATACAGCGATCGCTATGGCTCCAATTGCTTTCCAGGAGCGCGTCTCTGTGTCAACTAGCAGTAGTGTGTAATACTGGAGATGCTCGACGTGATTTATTTACGAATGAGCGGATAGTCTATAGGGAGAGAATTTGTTTTGATTCATTTCAAGTCTTGTCGTGGTACTTTTTCAATGTTATAATTTAGTAGTAGTAGTAGACGTTCACGATTTTGTAATGGGTAATGTATCTTGGGCTAAAATTTCTCGACATAAGTATGCTCTGCAGTAGTAATGTCATAAGGTAAGGATAGTCATAAGATTAAGGATATAATAAGTACTGGCAAGGGCGTAATTGATATGAAAGGGGCGATCATAGCAAGGATAAATACGCTCATCCAAACAATCGATGATATACCTCTCTCCTACACATGCCATACATGGGAAATGAGGGACAGTCATTTTCTCCGATGATAGTGTCTTTCCCATATGCTCAGGACGGGTGTGGTAGTAGACCAAACCCTCTCGTGACAACGCCGCAGGACCTGTTCGGAGAATTGCTTGAATGTGAAGAGCTCGGGCCACACCAGCCCAGGAAGCATCTCAAAGGCGGCGTAGGAGTGAACATCTCCTAACAGGGATGCAGCAGACTCATAATCTATCACCTCCATCATGCATCGTTGTCAATTACCAGCGGTCATCGATAGACAACAGGACGACCTGTACCAGTTCATTCTAACAAGTCAGACTTTATTAGCTTGTCAAGATCTCATGCGCACGGACAACGGACCTCTCAAATACAAAAACCACGCGCTCAAGTGATTTGTCAATCAAGGTGAAGTTCCTACAAAGTGCAGAACGTCAAATCATTAAATCGTGTGATTTACGTAAGCCATTATGAAGTGGTGCCTGGGCCAAGATGGGTCCAGCGGCTGCGTATCCAACTTGATCAACACCACTTGTCATTCCGACAACCTCTTTGGGGTGATATCACTAAGTACAATGAGCTGGACGGGGTCTGTTTCCTACTTCGATGTAGCTCACTGAGGTCTGAATATCTACTAGGTTCAAGAAGTCGCTGAATAGGGCGGGTACAACGGTAGGAACACATCTTCGATCCTACGCGGAGCACCCATGACTCGTTTGCAACCATTCAGGTCTTACAAAAGACCGGACAGATAGAACGCACGATAGATCGTGAATTTGCGGATGAAGAAGGCCAAGTACAGAGCGTACGTTCATCCGCAGTTCCGTCTCCTTGTCATTTAACTTGGCCCAGCTTCGAGAAGGAGTGTCAGGCGTTGCAAAGGGACGCCAAGCAATATCAGGATGCCATGCGCTGTAAGTCGTGTGGCCTCGTTATATCATGTAACATGTTGAAATAGTGCCGCAGCGATGACAACTACACAGGCGCGGTTGGCTGAGACCATCGAGACTTTCTACGGCGCTGCAGATCGCACATCAGATGGTGCTATGGCCAGTCATGCTTTCACGAGCGCAGTTGAGGAGCTTGATAGTGGCATTCAGAGGGAACTTGTAAGTGACACTTGCTTCTGTTGATTCCATTTGTTTATTATCTTCTACAGGAAGGTCCTTATCGTACGACAATCATGGAACCCCTCGGGAAGATGAATGCATACTTCCCGGTCGTTAACGAGCATATCACCAAACGGAACAAGAAGGTGATGCTTCCTGCTATTGATCGGCGGTCCTGAGCGATTCGACTAAACGGGTTTTTCAGCTCCTGGACTTCGACGCTGCACGTAGCAAACTACGAAAGACGATCGAGAAACCAAGTGAAGACCCTACAAAGCTTCCAAAAGCACAACAAGAACACGACGATACGAAAGAGGTTTTCGAGCTCATGAATGATCAACTCATCTCGGAGCTCCCACAGCTCTTGGATCTGCGCATACCGTATTTTGATCCCAGTTTCGAGGCTATGATTCGCATGCAATGTAAGTTTGCCGAGGAAGGATATGAGAAGATGAGCGCTGTACAGAGGTGGGTTTTGGGTTTCAGGAATGACGAGTGCGGATCTGGCTTATGCTATGATCAGGTATTTTGCGGACAATGTGCGGGACGATTATGCTGCAGGTCAGCTGGATGCACAGGTATGATCAGCTATTACGTGTACGTTCTTTGTTCATTGGTGGTCAGGTCGAGGCGGTCTTACAGGAAATGAGAGAACTATCTATCTGCGGGGCGAACTGATCCCTTCACATATCTCATGTATACCATGTATACTACCTACTGTTCGGGTAGATTCTGCCTTCGGACGACATAGTATTAATGCGTGTAGAACCCTTGTAAGGTTGCATATTCCGTGACTGCATTAAAAAGACTAGTTAGTGACCTCATCTGCGTTCAGCATTCGCGTTCGAGTTTAGCACACGCATCTGTATACGGGTTCCCGTGTGTGTTGTATATACCAAGTAGTTTTCTTACTAGTCAAAAACGCAAAGACAACGCTAGGACAACAGACTCTTCTGCACCGTAACTCTCCACTGGACCAACGCGGTCTGGGTGGTTTAAACCGATGCCCATGCACACTGGCGAGACAAACAATGTCACGAGCTCCAACGAGCCAGGAATATCCCTCGAGGACCACGTCCACGGTCTCAGAAGCCTAGAACACTTGCGCGCGATACAATGAATCACAGATGTATTATGTTAATTTTGATCTAATCCATCATGCGATGATTGTCAATAACGAATGGAGTTAAAGGAGGACATGAATTTGCAGCCTAGCCCCAAGGAGCATCCAACTGCGTTTCAACTTTGAATCGGTTATTGTGTGTCAGATGTGGCTCATCGGGAAAGGTAACTAGTGGTCCACCCACACCGCGCACCACTCTCTTCGAATAACAGTGGACATGTCGCGTTCAATGTTGCATCCACACTTCGAAAATATTCCCGAAACAAAAATCCCACAGCGGCTTGAATATAAGTCCAGGTAATCTGTAGACTCAAACCTCAAACCCAACCGTTTTTTATCTGTCATTTGCTGCCTCGGTAAGCACATGGAATGAAAAACTCAGTGGACTGCAACTGACCTAGTCTCACAGCCATATCTTAATATGTCTTCCCAAGAAACGTACTATAACGTCGAAGTCGTCCAGTTTTGGCGAGGCCAGATAGAGTACCTTCGGCCCCATCCCCTTCACTGGGTCATCTACATCCCAACCGATCCTGGTGTCGGAAATACGTATCACCTCGTGGGAGACGCGGAGACCTATGCCATGGAGTTCAGGCGTGACCAGCCGCACGTAAACCCCGATGACTGGCGCGGAAGCCACACCATGGGAAGAGTGGCTGCGAATAAGGCTCGCCCTGTTCGAGTGGCACCTCGCGAGCGTTCCAATCACGCGTAACGACCCCCGATGGAACAGCCAGAACTGGGTGTGGGACTGTCTCCGCCACCTCCGCCACCAACGTTTTGAGATCAGCTGGGAGCTTAGACAATGCGACCTTCAAACAAAGATGTGCTGCCTGCGGGAAGATTGGGAATTCGGTCGAATTTAGAGATGGTGGAGATCTGGTATACCCCAGTGGTTGATCAAATATTCAACATTCTTATTCGGAGTCATTGGGAACACTCACCATAAATATAAGACATTTCATTCTGCATGTGTATCACCATTAGCATCGTAGGCGTCTTGGGCGACCGTGAGTGGCCTTCGGTATCCTGACTGAATCAGGACTCAAGAGCCACTTAATTTCTGTCGCTCTGACAGACAGAAACGACAAGTGAAAGGATGACACCCTATCTCTTCGCATTAGCAGTGGAAGATATGCACTTGCGCATCGCCTGCGCGTGGATTTAGGGGTGAAGGAGGCGACAATGAAGTACTTGCGATCCGAGTCGACATGCGATGGATTTGGAACTTCAAGCTTTCGAGCTTGGGCTGCAGCCGCGACGCGACGTCACTTGAAGTTAGACGTACGAACAAGACACGAAAATATGTCTGGGCCGCTGATGCTTGGCATTTGAACAACCTAAAAACTCTTCAAGTTGTCAGTACATACTGCCAGTACAACGTTGCTTGCGGCAGCTGACTAAGCTTTTGCCGAGCGAGTTCTCATTGCTCAATTCAAGTTGCATGGATTGAAGTGAGTCACTTGCAACACCAGGCATACGCACGGACTCTCATATAAGCAGAGCCTAACATCAAAGTCGAAAGTGGAGTCGTACATTATGCATCATGCACTTGTCAAGGACGATATGCAACTAACCTCGAAAGGCCGCCCCCCTTCACTCAATTTCATCGGACATCCACACAAAATATTTGAAGTCGAACGGACCTAAGGTGGCGGGGCTCCCTATCTGACCTGGATGAGGCCATCGAGCTCCATACTGTCACCTTAGCGCAGTGCCCCCCTGGCCATTTTCCTTGATTCGACTATATCAACGACCTCGCCACCAGCCTTCGTGACCGATTTCAGCAGCAGGGCACTCTGTCTAAACTGGGAGATACCATCGAGCCCCACCGAGCTACACTCGCATTCCGTCCACCTCACCATTTTCTTCGATTCAATCATTAACAACCTTGCCGTCAGCCTTTGTGACAGATTGGCCGCCTTTAGGTGGCAGGGCGTTGTGTCTGACTTGAATGAGGCTATCGAGCGCTAGGCCTTTAGGCTTTATATGCAGCTCTCATTCAGTCTCTCACCAAGATCTTTATGCCACAAAGTCATGTGCTACCTCCGCAGAACAGTTAAAGCATCACTCTGCCTTGCTTGCCTATCAGACCGCATTGAAATTTCTTGATCAGCATGTTACTTTCTTGACGTTCTTTTCCATCCACTGCGATGTGATTAGGGAGGGTACTTCATCCATCGCAATGATTTCTCTCTCATGCGGTGTTCGTCACGGTACTTTAACCACTGCTGTTGAACTGGTTGAATGCAATATTCTGGGACCCAGTTGGTCCGCTTTCGCACTAGATGATATTTCTGCATCAGGTGACATTGGTGAAGCCTTGGCAGAAGAGTTCAAGCGATTCAGCGTTCGGACTCGATGTTGTTACGGGCCAGAATATCTCTCTTCTATGAAAACCTGATGATTCAGGAAGATTGGGATGCAAAGGCGCTGCGGGGGTGTTGTACAAAAAGATTCCATCTGAATAGCAGATAGGCGCTTAGTTTGAGACTCATTCCCCGATTTGACATTTGCAGTGGCCGACTTATACCCATTCGTGTCGGCAAAAAAAGTTCGCGTTGGACTCTAACACGTGTAAAGAGTCATTGGCATGTATGTTGCATGTATCATATATGTGGTTTTCTTGAAACGAGATTCTCGTGCCACAGCTGATGTTTGACAGGATTGTGTGAGCTCCTCCTGCAGCCTGACTGTTCAAATGAAAGTCTGAGTGGTTCGATCCCCTAATTCAAATGATTGATTGACAGAACATAACAAAGAACTCCAACGAGCCACCGCAAGAAGTTCGTTTCCATAAGCCTTAGCCTAGAACACTTGCGTGTGATACAATAAATCACGTTAATCTTTGATGCGTTCCATCAAGGATGATCGACAGCAGTGACCGAGGTCAAAGCCCTAGCGAAGTGAACATCCACCTGTAGCTTTGAATGCGGTGGAGTCACCACGGATCGCTCGATCTAGAAAGACAATCCGTGGTCCATCAAGCAAACTCAAAGCGCACAGCATATTCTCTTCGAGAGATAGTGGACAAGAGATAGTGGACATGTCACGTTCAATGTCGCGTCCACATTTCGTTGTTCCCGAAACCACATTCCACAACCGCTTGGATATAAATCCAAGTCATCGATGAGCTCAAAACTCAAATTCACCCATCCTTCACCTCTCCGTCGTCTGCCCTCTTGGTGAGTATACCGAATAAAAACTCAGCGAACCGGAACTGACCGAGTCCCATAGCCACCCTCTAATATGTCTGCACCAGCTACGTTCTATAACGTCGAGGTCGTCCAGTTTTGGCGAGGCCAGAAAGAGTACCTTCGGCCTTATCCCCTTCACTGGGTTATCTATATCCCGACTGGTCCTGGTATCGGGAACACGTACCACATCCTGGGAAACACAGATACCTACACCATGGAGTTCAGACGCAACCAGCCACACGTAAACCCCAATGACTGGCGCGGAAGCTTTACCGTTGGACGAGTGGCCGCCCATCAGCTGGCTTCGTTAGAGAGGCACCTCGTAAGCGTGCCAATCACGCGTCACGACCCCCGATGGAACTCCCAGAACTGGGTATGGGACTGTCTCTGCCACCTCCGCCGCCAACGCTTTGAGATCAGCTGGCAGTTTAGACAATGCGACCTTCAAGTGAAGATGTGCTGCCTGCTGGAGGAATGGGAATTCGGTCGAATTTAGAGGTGGAGATCGGTGTGCCCCTCGGAGTGTTTCATCAAAATATTTAATATTCTCATTCGGAGTCATTCAAATCGGAACACTCACTATAGAATCTAGACACTTACTTGCATTCTGCATTTGTATCATCATTAGCATCATAGACTTTCGTTATCCTGATTAAATCAAGAGGTTTCCTCGCCAATCAAGTTCTGTGGCTCTGACATACAGCACAATTGAGAGTGGCGTTTTGCATGTCGCGTATGGAATGGGACGAAAGAGGCCAAAGCGTAGCGAGTAGTAGTTGAGTTGAACGCTGCCAACCTCAGTAGTCCAGTAATTAAATGCTGCGTCATCATCTGGAACATCAATGCATCAAGGCTTCAGCACTTCAGCACTCAGCTGCGATGGCAAGTTGGACGTATGAACAAGACACAAGGGTTTGAACCTTTGATGTTGACTAGGAGAAGTCCACACACTTTGGGGTCTTCGGGAATGATATAAGAAAGTTAAAAATGGCAAGCAAGCACCCAAACTTCCAGACGCCAAAAGTCCAACTCAAGATTACAAAGGACGACGCGACATCGAGGCGCATGAATAAGACACGGGAGTATTTGATCTTTGTGAACCTGTCCTCACATATCCAAACACATTGGTGTCTCGGAGGAGAATAACATTCATGATGATGGTGCAAAACATATAATACTAAAGAAGTGTAAAAATGGGGAGCAACTTGCACCCAAACGCCAAGCAAACTCGAGATTATGGCGAAGCGACGAGACACGAAAATAACTGGATTTTCATCCGTATTATAAAACCCAGTCACTTTCGTGTCTGGTAACGACATCATGGTGGTGGTTCGGAACAAGAAGTACAAAGAAATGGCGAGCAAGTACGGTACTCATATACACGCACAGATCTCCCACGGTTGACAGTGCATTCTTCAGTAAAACACGCGATCACACAACCAACCTCGCATCGCAAGAGATTCCCTCCATCCATTCCATGGATACAAAAAGCAACCAAGTAAGTATACAAAGTGATTAATTAAATACGTCGTCATCATCCATAGTCTTCAAAAGGGCGGTATTGCAGACGACCTCCAGCACCATAACAGCCCCGTAGACAACCTCCAGCACCGCAAAGCACTATGTAAGTAGGTGAAACACGAAAAATATCAAGTATGCACTCGGAATCAAGAAACAAAAAAAAACTAAATGAATGAATGCTTAGCCATAGCCATAGTAACTGTATCATAGTATACAACTAAAGATCTAGGGAAATCATGGTATGATGATGCGGTGAGATTGTATATGGAGACAATTTGAAGGGATGATCAAGGATAAAGAAATCAGGACTATACTCAGGGGATATAAGGATTCAGATGGAATGGGAAAGGAAGATGCGGATGAAGGGGGAAATAAATAACTCCAGCCCCTAGGATGCCAACGACGACGACACAGAAAGATACAAGGAAAGAAAAACACACTCCTTACCCCCTCCCACCTCAATACGGCCCAAAACTAGTGATAGCCAAACACCCCAACCAAACCATCTCAACAGCAGCCCTCCCAACCGGCGTCAACAAGTGCCTCATCTCCGATGTCGGAATCTCCAAATAAACAGCCTGAGGGTTATTAACAGCAGGCAACGCCACCTCTTCTTGGAGGCACAACCCAAGCTTGGACAGCCCCTCGGATTGGAAATGAAACCCGTTTTCACGAGAGCTGCACATGCAGATCGTGAAGGTTTCGAGTCCTAGCGCTCCTGTCCCTGACTCCGGTGCTGGCTGTGATTTTGATTCCTCCCGATTCCGCACCCCACCAAGACTCCCAACATCCAAAGTAGGCGCCACGACCGCCAACCCATCACTAGGCACCCTAATCCCCGTCCCCCTCAATTCATCATACCCCACCAACCGCGCATTAACCCGAAAATTTCTCAAATAAACATTCTTTTGGTTAGATTCAGCGTTAGGGTCGCTTGTCGAATGCGCTTGTTTGAGTTTTTTCTTGTCGGCGGTTGAGGATGCGGAATTGCAGTTGGAATTAGAATTGAAGGAGGAAGGGTTTTTTTTCTCATCTTCGAAGGGGACGTACCAGACGAGGAGGAATTGACGGTCTTCGGGAATTGCGAGGAGTGTGGCACTCGTGGCTGTCGTAGCGGTCGTCACATTCGTGGAGGCGCTAGCTTCGCTGCTGCTGCTACTCTCCGCCATGATGCTTCCACTCCCTACACCACTTCCTCCACCCGGATCTGTTTCCCCCGCCCAAAGCGGCAGAAGCATATAAAGCGAGTCCTCCGGGATATAATCAAAAATATCAGGTGTCACCGCCCTCTTCTTCGCCCCTCCCGCACCCACACCCACACCCTTCCCCACCCTATGACTCGGCTGCGTATGCAACAACCCAACATCCCTAAACGAATTATTCAGATCCGTGAGCACACGTACATGTTCCTCGTTCTGGTCTCTGCCAGCAGTGACGATCCACGGGGGACTATAAGCGTTTTGGGGTGTCGCAACTGGTTGGGTGATGTTGTCTGCTCGGTTAGCTGCGCCTCGGAAGCGTCGGAATATACGGTTCGCAAGGCTGCTGCTGCCGTCGGTGGGCTTTTGGGCGCGTCGGAGGTGCTCGATGTCGTTCGGGTCTAGGGTACCGAATGCTTCAGCGTGCGGGGTACGTGTGGGGAGGTATTCGTCGGAATCGATGCTGCCCCGATGACCGCGGATGTGCGAGGTCGCCACAGATGTAGACGAATCAGACTGGAGTTTCCTAGAGGAGTGGTCGAATGTTGATGAGGTCTCTGGGGATGACGGTCCGCTTGTTGACTGGGCCGTTACAGGAGACTTGATCGAAGGCACGAATGTGATCTTGGACGTCGTAGCTCGTGCAGGTGTCACTTGAGAAGCGTTGATGCTCCCTCCACTACTCGTCGCCGTGCTCGACTCCGCACCCTCTGTCGCATTACTCGCGCGGTCACGGTCACTATTCTTCTTCAATTCTTTCTTTTTTTCTTTGGCTTTCGCTTTCGCTTTCTTTGCATCTTCCTTTTCTTTCTCCCGCCGTTTTTCCTTTTCAAGAAGCGTGCCACGACGCGATTTATCACCGTTCCCATTCCCGTTCGTGTTTCCGATGGCCTTGCGCGATCCATCTTCAAGTAACCCATGCGTATCAAGTTTACTCGTCGTTTTCGTACTTGTATATTGTTCCTGCACCTTCTTCGGCGCGAGCATGATTCCCCCGCTCGTATGCATATGGATGTTGCGAGATCCAGTCCCAGCGCGTTTAGCCGTAAAAAGTGTATATGAGCGAAATATGGAGAATGCAGTTGCGCGAGAATGTTTATGGATGACGGTACTCGGCCCGGCTGTCTTGGGGCCTTTGAGGAAGGGATCGGGGATATGCCGGACGTTGATGCGTTGTTGGGCGGCTTTGGCTGGGTCTGCTGTGGATGCTGTTAGGGGGATGTTAGTACATAAAAGGAGGACGTAGAAAAGACGTACGTTTGAATACGAGTCTGTCAACTCGATATCGACCGACGTGCCCGCTCCTCCATATTTCTTGTGTGCCAGGGTACATGGTGTGCTTTACCTTGTCCACAATTATTGAGGCGCCTGCCTGGGCGTTCGAACGGCGTACGGTAGGGGCAGGCTGGGCGTCCGCCTTTTCCCTAAAAAAACCCCAGGGGTTTTGAGTGTCGTACATGCCGATATGCCTGCCAAAGGTATCTTCGCCGCTGTGGAGTGTACCGGTGCTCGTACGGCGTCCGCTGCCGCCCCACATATTAGAGAGACGAGAAGAAGAGGCTTCGCCGCTGTTGCGTGCAGGCCCGGGAGCGAGAAAGGAGAGCTGCGCAGTCGATCGGACGGACCGGATGCTTCCTTCGCTCTTTCTCGAGAGAACATAGGTCAGGTCCCAGCCTGATGCCCATGTATCTGGTTCTGACTGCTGCTGTTGCGCCTGCGCCTCGAGTGAACGAAAATCAGCGCGAGTGAGGGGTTCGCTGCGTGGTATAACAGCAGCTGGATCTTCTCCGCTATGGGAAGACATAAAGTCGTCGTCGAGGCTGCGAGATGGACGACGGATGGTGAGTATGCTGTCTTCGCGACTGCGATTGCTGCCTGCATCTGATATGGCACCTGGGATTGCCATTGGGAGGCTACCACGACGGGGCTCTGCGAAGAGGGGACGAGGATGGAAGATAGGGCTATTCTCGTTCTCGTCGATGTTATCGAGGTCACGGGCGAAAGTGACAGGCGAGGAACCTCCGTCGTATGAAGCGATCTCTACTTCCTCGTCACTGCTAAACTGAAGGTCTGAGCGGAGACTTGCACGTGAGCTTGAGCGGGAGGAAGTGATTGAGGCTGCTGAGCAGCTTACTGCCGGATGGCCAAATGTGTGCTGGCTGACGTTGTCTGTGATGAAACGACCTCTTTGAAAGCCGCGTCTCGGGTGGAGATCGGGTGATGAGGGATCTTCGCTGCTTTCTTCATCTGTATGCTCAGTTCTGTATGATCTTTGAGAGCGTGAAGATGATGGAAAGGAAGTTGAAGCTGGGCGCCCTAGACCCTGCGAAGGATGACTGCTAAAAGTTGAAACGGATGGACGAGGTGTCCTATCAGCGCCTGTGCGTGTTATTGGTGTGAGCGGGCTGATTGCATCTGGTGATTCGTCGTCTGGTGAAGTTGTGCGAGCTTCACCAAAAGTGAAAGTTGCGAGATTAGAATAAAGATTATCTTGAGAGATGGATGCCATTGTAGTATGTCGAGGAGGGGGAGCTGTGAGAGAGATGGGTGGTACAAGAGAATGACTGATTATTGTCAGATTAAGTCTTCCACATAGTATAATGATTAGGACTCACACATCTCCTACTTGATCACTTAAAATTCTTGGATCTACAATATGTAAACCCAATGAAGATGACATGTCCACCGGAGAAGGCAGCTGCTCATTCCTTGAAGACCAGACACCCACGTGGCGACATAGTTTTAAAACTCCGATGTTCCTTGTCTTTCGTAATTTAAATTTAAACTGATTACAAGTACCAATTGCTGCATCGCAGGCAGTGCTATGGTTTCCGATGGTATAATCTTGTTATTACCTGGACAAGACTGATCATATCTTCATTACATCCTATAGAATAATCTACCCATATCAACAGATACTCACCCTTCGCATGGAGCTCGACACCCACTCCCGCGAAGAAAACTTCGTGATGATGTCATCAAAACAGTCGTTGAGCGTCAACGACATTGACAGCGTGGTGCCTGCTGTCATCACTGGTGCAGTTCTCAGGGCTGCTTCAGTGGCATTGTTGACGGTGGACACACGAGAGGAAGAGGATATATGAGTCCTTATTCAAGTTATCGGTGAGGGAGTGTGTTAAATTTTTCATGGAAATATGACTGTCAGCGTCCCTGCAACAGGCACTTGCCTAGCAGCTTCCAAAGTCTACTTATGTGTCGCGCTCGTACACGTAGTCGACCTCACACTGAAAGAGATCCATGAGATGGTGCACTGATCCATTCCTGTGTAGATCTAGGCAGCGCAGCGCTATCAATCGTCATACCAGCTCCATTGCTACTATAAGAAGGGAACACCTCACTCAAGCTGTTGACGAGGATGGGAAATTTCTGTCACTAGAAATCTGAGCTCCTGCGTCCCTGCGACTCGGAACAGATCATGATCGATTGACCCCCGGGCCTCATGGCATGCATCACCTATCCACACTGAACAAAGAGGTATGGCATCGGATCGAAATGATCCCACGAAATGGTGCGTTAATCGGGCAGGGTACTTCATTCTACCAGCTCCACTGCTATTCAAACGCACTTCATCTTTATATGCATCTACCAAAAAAACCCATCGTGAGAATGTCTCTTCAGGCTCTGTGCTCGGTGCGATTTTTACTTACGAAATAACGATCGACATTGATGTGTTTACGAAACACACATGCTCCTTGTGGAACTCGAGTCATACATCGTCGGGATGATGTCATCAAAAAACGCCTCAAGCGCTGATGGCTGGCAGCGTGGTGCCTTCTCGAACCGCGCCATTATTTAGCGGCGGTAGTATGGATGATGTACTTCCACCGGCATGCCGTTTATAATGCTTATGCCGCTTTTTTCGGGATCAAATATCTGTCCTTTGGGACAATGTACCCTATGTAGGACATTGTCTAGACTGAGGGCCCATAGGAATCCGCCGCCGCCCCTGCCGCCCCTTTTGAGTGCGTCAGTCCTTAAAGATGATTTGACCGGTGTATGTATATATGTATCAGTCTGAAGTGGCTGAATTTGTTAATCCCACAGAGGCTGTGCCTTCGTTCGTCCGCTGGACGTGGAATACATGCGATGGCGATTAATGTGACGAGTTCACAGATGAGTCAGCAGCCCCTAACAAATTAATATAATTTCGCGATCGCCGTATTCTCTCCTCATCCCGTCCTTCAACCTTGGGGTTTCCGGCTAGAGAGCTGGCCGCTGTATGTTTTTGTTCTCCTCATCTCGTCGAACAGCGTTCATATTCGAACATATCTCTGGTATCCCCACTCTAATGACCTCAACTTCCATAAACATACCCCATTCTAGCTCAAATTTGAAATGAATGATTTTTCGAGTGGGCCAAGGTGGCTGTTTTAGAACCAGCGGTTTTAATGATTTTCCAGTGAAGATGAAAGGTGCACCTCAGCGACGATGCAGATACCGCGAACATCGCCTTGATTGACAAATCTCTTGAGCGCGTGGTTTTTGCATTTGAGAGGTCCGTTGTCCGTGAGAGGCTAATAAACTCTGACTGGTTAGAATGAACTAGTACCCGTGAGGCCCATTCTCAGAAATGTGGGGCAAGACAGTATATCACATATGGTATGTCAGTATTATGAACTACACGACCGTCGAATTGTCAATGAAAATCGTTTATCGTTAATCTGCATCCATGGGAAGGTCATCCTGGAGGCTTGCACGCATGTGTAGGCACTGGCGACAAGCTCAGGGCCGCGTAGTGTGGTCACTGGCCTGCTATTAGTGGGGTGTGTGCACACGAGTATACAAAGTTTGAGTGGGGCTAGTGCATGACGTCAAATGTTCGTTGGGCGTCATTATAGGACACGCCCTAGTGGCAAGGTTGCTTGTTAGTCTGGCAGGGTTTTAAGGCGCCTTGTTGGTTGATCGACACGAGACTGACAGCGGTCTGCATATATGTTGTCCATTAGCATCTCAGGTTCCTTTCGGTGTGGCCATCCAATTAATTCAGAAGAATTTCGCTTTTGAGAGAGGCCGCAAAGGGGAGGACGAAAGTTGTCTGAGGGAGCCGGAGCGCCGAGCACCTGCTGGTAGTGTGCATAGTCTGACTAAGTTGACCAGCAGAAGGAAACCGGACTTCTCCTCTACGTACGAGGACCCTGAAATCCCCAAAAAGCATATATTAACGTGTATCCTGATGTGGACAGTGATCGCAGTATATTGAGTTCGATACAAACGAAGGGCTGCCAGAATTGCCACATGGACGATGTCCGAGTTGAACTTGAATCAAAGGAGTGTCGGTCGCAGGTTCATTATATTCGAAGACGACAAAGCATGACAATAACCAAACTGGACCTCTTTACGCCCTGTTTACTGACAGAAAAAGTTACAAGTAGCTGATCATAGCGTTTCTGGCCCTGACGTACAACCAGGAGAAAGAATATATGTGATAGCAAAAGAAGTGAGAGCAACATTCCGACTCACAACTCGTCCACCCAATCCTGTGAAGAGGCAGCAGTGCCGCATCTGCCGGACGCAAGCTGTCTCTTCTCCACCTTGTGGCGTAGGATCCTTCGGGCCCTTGCAGGGATATGTTTACGGCAGAGTCCTATACAGACACTGCGGCCAGTGGTTAAGTGCAAATAGATATGATCAGACAGCCTTTGTATCTACCCGCACTTACCGTGGACGCTGGACGCATTGGAGGGCGGAGTAGTGGATGTAGGAAACCTGAAGGCTAACAGGTGAGCAGTTTGAGCGAGGTTGCTGTGCGATATCAGGGTTCTAGTCCGAAGTCACTGGACATTTACCGGAAGCAAGTATTCGTGTCTGACGTGGTTTCAAATCATCTTGACTGGATCTCAGATCAAACTAATACTTCCAGCGGTTTTGCAACTTTGCACATATGTCACTGGTTAGCTCTGGTTAGTTGACAGCACCGGGCAGTGAACATAACGTTTTGGTATTAAAAAGAAAAAGATCTGTTCTTGAGGAGCATATGATGACCTTCTACCTAGTTGAGGGTGTAAGGGAGTCGTGGCCTAGTATCTTGTGGTTGACAACTGCCTCGAGGTGAGTGGCTTTCCGGTAGCACCGTGACTATGATAAACATGCGACAAACATCTTGTTTCCTGCTATGACATCGATAGATACGTTCCTCGAGGCTCGAAGTGAAGATCCTAGATTGGCGGCCGGCCACTCCTGTGAAGGAAAACCCCGCAATTCGAATATTCAGCTGCAGACTCGGCACCTCCCGACGAAGATATTTGTTTTCATTTGTTTACAAAATAGGCCGATTGTCACTGCCTACTATGTAAGCCTGAGTCTCTTGCGGCTTGCCTTCAACGTTTGTGGTATCATAGTCAGTGAACTCCTGATTTGTGCCAGCCTGAGGCTGGTAATGAGAGACATTCAGCTGGGAAATCTTGTGATGTTGACTGCGAGCGTCTTGTCACTGACTTTGGCGTTATTCGGGTGGCAGAAGTGTTGGAGTGCCAAGGCCCTGGGATATGATGGGACGGGAGGTATGTAGCGTGCTCTGTGACTGAAATTAATTACATAGCTTTAGGTCGTCCTGTTGTCTATCGGTGACCGCTAATTAACAATGATGCATGATGGAGGTGATAGATTACGAATCTGCATCCCTGAGCAATAACGTCAATTTTACTCTGGGGAGTTGCGCCTCATAGCCCGAGTCAACTCATTTATATATCTTTTGGCCACTTCCCGCTGTGGTTTGTGGCGGCACCGCGATGGTTTCCACATCTACTACTTCTGGAGATCCTCCAGTCATTCCGAGTGAACAGCTCATCAAACGGATGGACTATGCGGTTGCTTCGGGAGGCTACGGACAAGTCTTTCAATGCACCATGCGGCCGCCAGCGGCTCCAGAGATTTTGGTAGGCTCATTCGCTGTCGGCGCTGTCTTCATATTCATATTCCGCAGGTGGCTGTTAAGGTCTTAATGCGTCTTACTGGTGATGCTTCCAAGCTTAAGGTTGATATTCTCTTTTATTGTATTTTTCACATGCAAACATGGTTTACTAAATTCCTACTACAGCGTGCACGTCGTGAGATGAAGTTATGGATGGAAGCAAAACACGATAATATCGTCCCTATGCTCGGCATCGCGGAGGAATTTTCCAAAACAGGCTTTGCTATGGTTTCTCCCTGGATGAAAGGAGGGACCCTTGCACTATATCTCCAGGTTCACGCAGGAGCAATACATAGCAAGAAAAAACTGACTTTGGTAGGTGAGATTGTTGCACGATCACACCACTCACTCACATATTTTGCAGCTCAAGGATACTGCTAAAGGCTTGGCATATTGTTCGTGATGAGTTCTGACGTTCAACCTGCTGCACAAACTAATTTTCTTTTCTTCTGGCAGTACACTCTCGTCAGATTGTTCATGGCGACCTCACCACCGTAAGAGGCACCTTTATATATGAGGCAGACAAACATTATGCACACTTCTTTGACAGAACAACATTATGCTCGATGACAATGACAAGGCGTTGTTAATCGACTTCGGATTATCAAATGTGCTTGAGGGCATCGATGGTAGTTGCCTCACCCCCTCTCCAGCACGGCCAGGGGCAGTGCGATTTGCTGCACCAGAACTGTTAGGCGTGAAAGAGGCGATAAGCCAACCTACTGGCAAAACTTCACCGATGCACTATCAATCACCGATGCCGAATAAGCACAGTGATATTTATTCGCTCGGCTGCGTGATACTCAACGTAGGCGCCTCTCAAACGGCTACCATCTTACCAAAGAGCTTATTGACCATCTGAAAGGTCCTCACGGAACAGTTGCCATGGCATCGGTATCCTAATATGACTTTTCTTGGGGATCTTCATGCACCCAAGCCAATTCCCATTCCCGCCCACGGCCATCTATCTAATGAACGCAAGAAGCTTATCTGCGAGTGCACTTCAGTTCAAGTCAACGGGAGGCCATCAAGTCAATATGTTGTGGATTTCATCGAAGAGGAGCTGCATATCGAAGATACTGTAGCTCCTATCCAGGAGTCGATGCCAAGCCAAGTTGCTTCGACTTCCCTCCAACAGCCGAGCGCAGATCTATTCGGTCAAATCCACTTCCGAGATGACGGCATCACCCCTACCACTATCCATTCTGAATCGTCATACTCAAGTTGCTTAGTGAGTCTTGTCAACCACAACTTCTTGAATATTATTTTCATGCAAAATGTGGCGTTACACGCAGACGTCACTGCCAGATGATTCACACGATGGAGCATCCTCACAAACTCGCAACGTGCCCACTGCAACTCAGCGACCAAACCTAGATGTTCCAGTTGAAGTGTTGATTACTACCGAGATGCCAAATAATAACGACCCACCTGCCATCAATTCCCCGAGCAGAAAGGTATCCTACGGCCCTAGTTTCGGACGGAATGTGTCACTGACTGATGAGTCCAGAGTAATATCGTTGTTGCCGGGGCCATCGGTTCCGGGAAAAGTTCACTCGTCAATATCCTGTGTGGGAAACATGTCGCACAGACGTCAAACAATGCTGAGCGTTGCACCAGAAAGTTGACGGACTACCAGACGTCCTTCCGCAACATCGAATATAGAGTGTTTGATACTCTTGGTTTTGCATGTAGTACCGGCACTTCCTTGGGGCCCAAGGAACGGCCAGAGAAGCATGAAAAACTGCAGATCGAGGAAATACACGAGCAGAGAAGTATCGACTTACTATTGCTCTGCGTGTCGAGCAGAAATTTCCATGTGCAAGCGGTGCTCGACGTTCATAGAAGGATCCAGGACCAATTGCACGGAAGACACGTACCCATCGTACTCATCTTCACTCACTATGAGGAACGGTCTAAGATCGACAGTTGGTGGTCCAAAAATTTGTTGACACTTCAGGCTCAACTGAACTCCATCGCCAACCATATTTCCATCACTTCGATCGACGACAAATGCCTTGACGAATCTCGCAGGCATATCTTCCAGATCATTGCACAGCATCGCACCTCCGATGCAGGGGAGCCGTGGCAGGAGACGCCCGAGTCAGAAGATGTTAATTCTGCGCCGCCTTTGAGAAGCTTCCTGGGCGATGCTGCCCGGGCTCTTCGCATCAAGCAATTCTCCACACAGGTCCGCGGGGTCGTCATGAGTGGGTTTGGTCTACGACCACGCTCGTCCTGAGCATATGGGAAAGACACCGACATCGCAGAAAATGACTGTCCCCCATTTCCTACGCATGGCATGTGTTGGAGAGAGTATATCATCGGTTGTTTGGATCCATTGTCGCCCCTTTCATATTAATTATGCCCTTGCTAGTACTTATTATCCTTAATATTGTGACTATCCTTATTTTATATTATTATTACTGCAGAACATACTTGTGTCGAGAAAAGTATTTATTATCCTTAATGTTGTGACTATCCTTCAAGTTACCTTATATCATTACTACTGCAGAGCATACTTATGTTGAGCAATTTTCGTCTAAGATACAATGCCCATTACAAAATCGCAAACATCTACTACTTCGCAACACCAAATGACTTAAATAAGTACCACGACAAGACTTGAAATAAATCAAAACAAATTCTCTTCCCACAGACTATCCGCTCATTGTAAATCAATCACATCAAGCATCTCTAGTATTACACACTGCTGCTGGTTGATACACGGACGCGTTCCTGGAAAACAATTAAAGCCATAGTGTTTGCTGTATCGGGGTCGCCTAGGAGCTCAGCATGATATCCTCGAACGCTAAGGATCAGGCGTGGTCCCAGGACAAACAACTGCGCGAACTGGAAGATTTGAGCGAAACCAAGATAAACCACAGTTTCCAGGGAATTTGGGTTCTAATGAAAATGAGGAATTATGGCTGCATCAGAGGTCGACGACAAATCAGCATACCGCTGAGAGCGTCGGAGAATAAAAACCGATGTAGAAGCAAGAGACTGCAAGAAAACTAGCATGTGCAGAGCTTCAGCGGAAAAAGAGAATCACCTTCACATTATGAACTCACCTCGCAAAGTAACTCACGTGAGTTTTCATTAGTACCGTGAAACAGTCTCTAAAAATACCTCTTTGTGAGTGTTTTCGCAGTTCACGCAAGCGCTTTACAGCAATCCGAACTGCGAGACACAGCAGAAGGACCTCCCATGCAAGGGCGAGTATCCAAGTGATGGTATACAGAAGTACGGTATCTCCCACGTAGCCGATGTTGCATACGTAGGTGTCGGAGAGAACGACTTCCTCTGGTATTTGTCAATGAGCCCGATGGAACCAAGTGTATTTCATCCAGAATCACAGCTCACCCACTGAAATATGCATCATGGATATCGCGGCCATCACTGCGTTGGCGATTCTGACGGCCAGAAAGATGACAACGAGAAATACCAGCACCTTTCTGGATCGCTGATACATGACATTCAGCCGAGCGATCATGATGACTTGGCTGATGTTATGGCCGAGTCAATATCGCAGAGGTGCATAGCTCACCACCCAGCATTACATTCACGACCTCGTTCGTGCTTTCCAGTGTAACGTACATGATACGGCCTGAAAATCCGGTAACATTAGTTATCAGCCTCGGAGGATCACACGCTAAAAACAAACTCACAACTGTAGCAGTTATTATATCGAACCAAGTTCGAGAGTGTCACTCACCCCTACATGGTAGTTCAACTACTTAAATAGGAATGGAAAGCATCGGTGCAGAACACTCACTGAATCTGTGATTGAAATTGTAGGAACATTGGCTGTATGCCACCAGTCAGAAGAAACAAACATGGTGAATATGAGGTGACATGCTCAACATCTTGAGGCTGATTGTGAGAGATCGCTGATGAGTACAATGCCAATTTTCTAGCATTTCACACATACACAGCATATCCTATTCCAACATAGCGTACCTAGGATGTATTCATGTCAGCACAACTTGCTAAGCATATTTAAACATGAGCTACATACACTAAGATACAGAATGGTCATCAAGGACCAGCGTCGCCTCTGCCGCGAATTAGATATAATTTGACGACATTCTTTTGATGTCAGAATGCACTCACCCAGAACAGTTCAATCTATTAAACCATTCTCAGCGAGATGGCTACACCAGGAATGAATCGGCCTACCTCTTGTCCAAACGTAAGTGCTGAGAATGCCATAAGGATGTCAGCGGTTCTTTTACACTCAGACTTGCTCACCCCAATCGTAGATTACCCCAACAGAAGCGGCAACTGTGCAACCGTGGTGAAGGTGAATCAAATTGTCACCGTCATCATCCGTACGTCTCTCTACGAACCTGTAAAGTAGCTGAAAATGTAATGGGAATTGATAAATGGCCACCAGCTGGGATCATTCAGGACTAGGGTCATACTGTTAGAGGATAAGAGTGAGGGAGCGACGGGGAACTTGGTGGATGTACGACAATCGCATTCATGATCCAGCTGATATACCACGATCCAGCGCTTGAGTCGCCAAAGTGAGGTTTGCATGATATCTAATTGACCGAAGTAAGTATTTCATCATGACTCGATTCAAGGAGAAAGGGAATATGGATCCAGAGATAGTACCGATGTGGTCAATGTGGGAGTTGTTGGTGAATCGTAGGGCAGTGTTGAGCGTATTGCGGACCAACCCACTGATGACACTATGTATTTCATTGATCTAACACAGGCAAGCTCCAAGTCGACCTCATGGCAGACATTCCCTTAAAGGTTAGCGCTTCAGCAACGTTCTCTGACCTCTCACGAGCGAAAAACTACAACCTAAATTTTTTCTAATGCATTTACACGCTGACTAGTACAGTTGCAACGAAAAGTACATACATTCGTTATATCCAACTCCCTGCCATAGAACAGGATTGACGACAAGGGCAGTACTTCAAGCGGAGCTTATATAGGGGGAGTGTAAGAACAATCCAGATAGTCGTACATGCTCGTACATGACACTGTTGTGACACTGCAACGAGAACAAGAGCTTGGGGAAGCTCCGGTTTGCGGCGTTCACGTAAGTCAGTCGTAAGTATGACCGTGCCGGAACCTCCCGAAGTGATCGGGCCGAGGCCCCCACTCAATGGATGATCTATGAACGTTGATTTGAACCCGACTTCAAAACTACATGCTTTTTGACACCTCAATTGAATTCTAGATACATTGCATAATTGGTCTGTGGTTTGGAAAGCATTTCTGGATTGCGACGAGGTGCGGGACGACACTCCCGGAACTTTTTTTCATGATTTGAATCAAAATCTAGGATTCTAAATGCTGCGAAAAGTCACCGCCCCAGATGACGGTCCACACGTATCCGTCCAGCGATAATGATATGTCTGTCAGTGTCAGTTCCTTGAAACAATACACGTGGCCCATCATGATATATGATACCCTAGCAGATAACCTGGACAAATATCGTGGTCGTTCATCCTTGACGGTTCGACTTTCATGCACCGTGACGGCCTTGAATAGTATCACTGAGTTCATTACGCTTCTAAGTCTCAGGGGTGTTCAATATTCAATCATGCGATTTGACTTTATCTGTACCGCTCTGAACTCATCGCAAATCTCGGTTGCGACGAAGGGATTTGGAGACGTGGAGCAGGACAACAAGGGATTAGTACACCGGCCAGCGATGAACCCGCTGAAGTCGGATTTCTCTAATCTGTCTGGCGAAACCTGCGCCACGTAAGTCACTCGCACCCAACTTTAGATCTGGAATATCAAACAAATAATTTGACCAACTGGCCAGATATTTGTTCTTTCAAGCTGTTTCGTGTTCACTTCCTACGCCGACTTGAATACCATAGTTTGGGCATTCATATTTCTAAGTTCGCACTCCCTGTGCAAGTACAGGCGACACAACAGTATCTCACTCGTGCAGACCTAGAACAAGTCATTACGGTATTTATTCACTCTCGTGATACTGCGCCAACCGCACGGGCTACAGCCGGCTGTATACGGCCACCTCCAGACACTGACAAACCACGCTGATCAGTGCTCGCCTGTCATGATGATGTGGTTGGGCCCAGACGGAATCTTGTATCGTCATGCCGGTAGGTTTCTTTTTTGTCGTCGTTACCTGGACGCGTGTACTGAGGCCTTTAAATAGAGACGAGATCACGTTGGCGCTGCTAGTAGTGTCGAATCTCGTTGTCGTGAGTCCTTGCTTTGAACAGATATTTCCTAACTTATCTTTTTCAAACAGAGGGCCTGAATCTATATCAGGTAATACATTGACGACGCGCAGCGGCACAGCCAGTCAGTATGCCATGGAATTAATCATTTGCCATGCTGTCTGCCACGTTACAGGTGGCTCGGGACGTCGTCACATCATATTATTAGCGATGAGTCAAGAGACGCCGAGCGACAACCACAACAGCTATCGAACAGACGGCGTTAGGACATACGGAATACAATTGCGTAGGCTATACCTATCACACAGACGAGCACGGAGCTGAGAAAGCAGCCTGAGAGAAACCGATACAGAACGTGTAAGCATTGATCTAGAAAAAGGAAACTGAATCGAAAGTCCTGACAGCAGCGCTCATGACATATTGATATTATTAGGCACTTCTTTGGGGGTCAAATTCAGAATAATTCTGTTTTCGAGAAAATACAATACCCTACCAAGACGCGTAGAGGACATGAAAATATGACCAGTCGTTATGATATGACATACGAGACTCACGCGGGCAACGCGCGGGTGGACGAACGCTAGTCAGCATAAACATTTACTTCAATACCAGTGTATTGCATTTTGTTGGGATTATCATGACGAAATTAGAGCCCCTTCCAATGGTCTGATGGCGTAGTTGGTTATCGCATCTGTCTAACACACAGAAGGTCCTCAGTTCGAGCCTGGGTCAGATCACATTTTTTTTCGCACTCAATATCACTCCATTCCAGACGTCATGTTTTGCATCCAAAGAATATGATGAGTCAATCGCCTCTGTACCTCGAGTTGTAGAACTGAGAATTACATGAATTTATGCATAATGACAAATCTAGACCACGGGGGTCATGAAAAACAAATGGCTCCGAGTAATGAAGAGAAAAGGAAATTACATAGGCTCCTACCTCAATCTCCTCATTTCCTGATCGTTATCCTCGTTGTAATCCCGGACAGAACTTGCTCGCACGGGCTGTGCTAGAACAGGTTGCGAAAAGTGGTCCCTCATGCGGTTAGTAGCTTGTGTCTGCACCTATAGCAACCATGATCCATGAGGCAAGAAAAGCAACAGAACAGACTTATAAAACATACCTCAGCCAGGACTGTTTTCGAAAGCTGAAACAAAGGTCCTGTCAAACCCAGCTTGACAATGAAATAGCTAAAAGGTAACAGATGGTCAAGTGAGGATTTCATCGATAGCCGAATTGAAATCATATACGTACGAAGTTATCAGCGCCATCAAAGTAAACGTGAAATACAGAGGGTTGAACAACACTACCATAGCCTCATTCCAGCCAAGCACGACGAGGACGCCGTACATCCAGTATGGGATCTGTGCAATGCTCGACACAGTGCTACGCTTCGCTTCGACGTAGTAAGCATCTGCATCCTTTCGAAAGCGAGAAGTAAGGTCAAGAGACTTCGTCTCAGTAAAGATGACGAGCGTTGAAGGGAAATCAAATTCATCCGTGGAATTCAGTGGGTCAGAGGGTTCAGAGGGCAGCACGAATCCAAGGGAAGGATCAACCGGAGTGATCTTGGCATAGTGAGGAATGAGATCCATCGTCTGTAAAACCATTCAAATGTAAGATATGTAAGGAGAAATTCGCGAAGACACGTACCTGGTCCTTAGCTGTCCTGAAGGCCCCATCAATATCATCGTCAGGTCTCCAAACTCGAGGAACAGCATTCTCATCGTAGCGGAAGCGCTCTTCGAAATGAGTCCGAAGCTTGCCAAGGATCGCAGTATCAGCAGTTTGTTCATCAATCTTGGCCCTTAGAGCGAGCCAGGCACGCTTCCGCAGGGCAGCGAGGGATGTTACATTCTCATCATCCGTGCAGTTGAAGCCTGCATCATACATTATTGAGAACAACGTAATAGAGAAGGCGAAGTAACTCACTTTTCGCCTTTGCCAGATAAGTCAACTCGGCTTTCTCGAGCGTTTCTTTGAACGTGCTCAAGACCTTATCCCACATGTCAGGTGTAGCTTTGTTGAGACTGATGTCGACAGGTTCAGAAATTTGCTTTTTGAAGTTCCTCTACGAAAATATTTAGTGGACAATGAAGACAATTCTCAGACAACACACCTCAATCAGGTTGACCATCTTCTTCGTCTCATCCTTCCTGCACTGGTCAGCCACATTACCAACCTCCTCTCTGAGAGACACGAGTTCGTCCTGCCACGTCCAGTCAGTGTCCTCCGGCGAGACCTCCTTCGCACCATCTGCGAACCGTGTCTCGCACTTTGTCCGCGCTTTCTCAACCACATCCGCGAAGCTATACTCATCACCACGCAAGCCTTCAAGAAGCTCCCTTTTGAAGGTACTGAGGCATGACTTGTGCAAGTTCTTGAGCTGCCCGAGAAAGAGGGGAGAAAGTGTCGAATCCATAACCCCAAGAAGGTCAGCACGCTTGCGCTGGTACACCCCTTGATGATAGCGAGATGCATCACGGTCATAGCGGCCTAGGACATGGATAAGAATCCATATAACCTAAACAGAAATAGCATCCTCACTGAGTGCTTGAGACCTCCAATTCCGCATCAAATCACCAAGACCTTCCACAACGTGGCCTGCCTCAATGGGCCTCCGCTGCGACTTCGACTGCTCTGTGAAGTCTGCGAGCGCGACGGACGATATCTCGTCGCATCGGAATTGTGCGAGGAGTTCCTGCTGCGTAGGCAGATCAAGGTCCTTGTTCGTTTGTACTTGTTCCTGGAAATTTTCATCTTCAGTGCGTAATTTGTGGACATGATTAATTTCCTTACCCATATGTTTTCCATGTAGAACGCCACGCCATCAGCAGGAATTCTCTTATGGTAGGCGGGCTTGAAGACAAAATCATCTCTCGTCTTGTCCACAAACCGTTTCCGCAGTTCTTGAACTTCGGCTTCAAATTTATCTGTAGCCAGTATCTTGTGGGGTAGTGCTGTGAATGCAAGGTCAAAGTAATCCGAAAGTTGACGATCCTGGAGGTCCTGCGGTTTAGAAAGGGAATCCCAGATTCTCTCGAGGTCTGCAGTAAGCGTAGCTTGAAGGTTCGCGAGGGGAGTGACCCCAATATGGTCTCGGATTATGAATAGTAGCAGAGTGCGCCCTTGAGAGCTACGCGTAGGATAAATTCAGGACGAGAAATGGATTGGCATGGGATGAGCTTACCCATCTTGAGCTTTCTTACCGAACAGACCAAGGTTCACCTCAAACACGGTCTTTAGAAGACCCATGTTTGCACCCTGGTATAAGCCAACTTGGTGCTCCCAGAGGTTGATGAGGAGTACTTCTGACGAAGCAAGGGAAAAAAGAGCGGATTTGCGTTCGAAGTCCTGAGAATGGTTGAATGACAAAAACCACTATTAACTGAAATTCATTCGTACCTGGTCCTCTCCACGTTCCCGTCCATCCGTGCCTTCCACATCCATGACCATGACACCCATGTCTTTCCCTCGGCACATCCAAATACCTCAAGCTGAGTTAGCACGAATACGAAAGTTGAGTAGTCCAAATATTTACCTTTCGTAGTCTGCTGCCGTCTTGTCTCATCCATGACGTCAAAGGTAGTACCGAATAGCCTATTTAACAGTGTACCTGCCAGTCCTCAGTGGACAGCACTTCCAGACATTGGCATTTCAGCAGCTTACTCTTCCCAGTAGACTGCGACCCGAAGACAGCTACTATGTTGTAATTGAAGCCGGCGTCGCGCAGACCCCATCGTCCTATCTGGGATGTCAAGTGGGTCCTGTTGGAAGTAGTGTAATTGAGGACTCGAGGAAAATTTATACATGTTAGCAGACTGACGTGAAGTTCTTCTCATCATTAATGACTTGCAGACGCTCAGAGGTTGACGAACTCTCGTTATCTTCTAACGCGTGTCCATTCATTGTTGGCTTGGTGCCATTGAGCTGTGCAGCTAGTAACGATTCAGAAGAGTCAAGAGTTGAATGAGGAATTTTAACGGATTGACCGTCGAGCGACATGACTGCGAAATGAAATGGAGTAGAAATGAGTGTCAATCAAGTAAAAAAACACGAAGTGTGAGCGTGCAGTCAAACTGACATTGACAACGTTTTGAGCGGAATGTTCCAACACACCTTCTAAAGGGTCTATATCTCACGTGACTTTACACGTATCTAGCGGCTTCTTCCGGAATAGGATCGTCGTCGAGCACAGCGAAGCCTTACGAAATCCATGGGGTGACTCTGAAGCAACGAAACCTCACATGCCTACTTGTTAGACGCATGAAACGCTTCATATCAATTTTTCGATGATGATCAGTGTGCCACAACTGCTGACCAATGATTCGGATAACAAAGAAAGGGGCTTGACGATGAGTATTTAATTCTTGACCAGTACTCCTCTTTCTCTTACTCCTCACACCACCATGATCATGTTGTTTATTCGTGCAGTTAAAAAGCACAAAGCCAAGAAGCAGGCAAGGAATGACAAAAAGCAATCCGACCCTTCTGGTAGCAACGATGAACACTCCATGAGGCGGCCGAGAGCTCAAAGGCGTGCTCAGCGGGCTGCTGCCAACAGCAAATAGTACGTGTTCTCATAGCTTACAGCGAAGGATAATTCTGTAACGTCGCTTGTAGATGTATCATCAGCCGTGCTCTGCAATCCGGCGCAGATTTAGCGCCATTCTGAAAATCGTGATTCGGGAGGCCTTTGCCGAAACTTGGGCACTTAAGTGTCTGTGTTTTGGGTTATTAGACTCCTTGCTTGCGTCTTAATAACCCCCTGTATTTATGGTGTACTCCGCTCACTCATGCTCATCGTCCCCATCTACATATTGTGAGGACGGAGGTTTGATCCCGCGGAAGCAATTCGTAAACACCATTTTCTTCGATGGTGTATTAAACATGATCTCGACAAATATTGGCCACTGCACAGCTGCAACTCCTTCACGTGTCTTGTTGCAAGGTATCCGTGCGATACGAAGACCTATCTGATCAATCCATTCCTGCCGTCGTTTGGTCACATATGCTATCATCGCGGATCATAATAACTGCCTCCTGCCTTCATGGTATAGTTGATTTATCTTCGAATATATACATGCACTTACACTGCAAATGTACGGCGAACGGGGCGTAGTACTATTAGATTATCTGGACAAGTGCGAAAACAAAACAAAAAAGCATACATATGCAATGGCTCCCGAACCTAGACCCGATGTGAGCAAATCCAATCTGCCGTTCGAATGGGATTTTCTTGCACGCCGTCTTCGGACTCTTCACAGCCTTGTGCAGAGCTCCTGCAGCATTTATACAGTCCAACCTCCCTTGATTATCA